CCGTTTACTCCCAGCATAACACTAAAAGATCTAAGTTCAAGTTCAAGTTCTATTCACTCCGTCTAACCAATTCTACGAGTATCATGAACAGTTCATGAATAATACGCCAAGTTTTGTCACAAAGGTCCAACCATTCATTAAGAGGTACCCAAAAGAACATCCCTAACGCTGGTCTGGTCGCCATAGCCGTGACGGACTCGAATATTTCACGAATAGGAACCCTCTTCCCTGGGTACCTAGGTAGTCAACATCCCGATCCAATGCGACACATATTTCACGATTTACGGCCGTGAACAATCTTACCCAATAACTACCTTGGCTTTCTTCTAACTTGATCTTCCCAATCTTGACTACCTAGGTAGCAAAATAGATCAATCGCAATGTTGTCCTCGCGTAATGATCAACATATGACAATGAATATGAGTAGCATGGATATGTCGTCGCACTCGTCTATGATGAATATGGTCTTTCAAAACAGCATCACTACCTCTCTCTACTCGGATTCCTGGACACCACACACAAGCGCCGCCTACGCTGGAACCATCATATTCTTACTCATTCTTGGCATAGTATTTCGACTACTACTTGCAGGGAAGGCACTAGCAGAGGAGCGATGGTTGGATGCTGAGATGAAGCGTAGATACGTTGTTGTGCAGGGAAAGCTCCCCGTCGCGGAGCAGGTGTCAACTGACAGCTTCAGCAAGAAGATGACACTGACGGAAAATGGCGTCGAAGAGGACGTTATGGTTGTTCAGAAGAAACAGCTTCACCTTCGTCCTTGGAGAATATCGGTAGATCCCATGCGAGCTGTGCTAGATACTTGCATTGCCGGTATCAGCTATCTTCTGTAAGCTCAAACCATACCAATCAGTGATTATGGCTGAAACTAACAAAAATACAGCATGTTAGCAGTCATGACAATGAACATCGGATACTTCATTGCAGTTCTCGGTGGTACATTCTTAGGCAGTCTGCTTGTCGGCCGATTCTACAGCTCAGAACACTAAAACGCATCATGGCGGAAGGAAAGGGAAGCATTACCGGTTTTCAAGTTGCCAAGACGGCGCACATTAATTTTTCAATCTACGATACGACGGCACGAGCATGATTCCGGTGGTGTTTGCGAGCTTATAAGGGATAGTAGTATGCATTCGGTTCCAAACTAGTTGATATCAGCCTATAAGGCAAAGGGAGGGGCACTTTATTATCATCACTGCGATTTGAGCATGGCGTTAGGGGGGGCAGTAAGCAAACATGCAAGCTGAGGTATTTGCTACTCAAACGAGGCAATTTAGATATTCAAAAGCTGTATTAATTTCGCAATAATCCTATCAATATGATTATTAGTTGAGGGTTAAACCGGTCCAAAGCTATGGAAGTAAGGAGCTATTCTATGTCGTACATTCACTCCACGGCCGGTGGGGGTTAAGAAACCTTCTCAAATCTGCTCATCTAATACATACCTACATACTGTAGTGTAAATACCCCTGTCGCTTACCCCACGTATTTTCCACAAATCATCAGCTTTGTTTGACCTATTCCGGGACCCTTGTTACCGGTCGGTCCAGTTCTGAGGCCAGAGATCTGGGCTCGGGTCCAGACTCAGATCTCCGTTTCACGTGCTTAGAGTTGACTGCATGTCACTATGCGTTCCATCGCTGACCTTACTATCCTTGAAATAGCAAGATATACTCTGGTCTAGATCTATATACGAGCCTCATTGTTGCCATTCCAGCTTTACGCGTATCTACAACTTATTTATTTTCTACGCAATCATAAAAGTTAACCTATGGAGATTTACCTCAGGGTTTTCAAAATAGGGGTTGAATTTTTATTGGGAGAACAATAGGAAAGGAATGGTTCAACGATAATAGTGTACAGTAGCTTTCTGGAAATGAATCATAATGGAATATAATGGATATATTGTAGCCTCGCCTAGTATACAGGATGTATGAACCAGTTGGACTCTCAAAAATCTACAACTTATACTTGTGGAGTACCGCTTCCAAATAATACTCAAAATATGATAAATACCGTACATTAAGCGATACACTTACCAAAGCATAACTAGCAGCTCTGTCAAGATCTACGAGAAGCCTCCATCACGATACCCAGTCTTCCATCCTCCTATCTAACATTTAAGCCACTAATAGTTATTAGATTGGATAAAGGTCTAACAGTTAAGTTACCGCAATGCCTTTAGAAATTAAGTGAAATTTCATCTCATGGTAGGTAGAGAATAATTATAAGTTCCCGTTAGCCTAAGCATAAGGCCGTAATTTCCCCAAGCCAGTTGGATATGCCTTTTCGCGGGTGCATGCTGGCCCGCCATAGGCTACGAAGGAGAAATAGGATAATAGCGATGGCGCACAACTGAAGCCCATCTATGTTGCTAATAAAATCAGCCAAGGCTTAAAGATCTCCCGAAGGACCTTGGCCATTATTAGAGTAGGTACTTTTCACCATCTCCATATCTCCTAGGGATATGTCATAGTTTACCTTAACTAAGTCTAAAGCCAAATTGGATTTATATCAAGGACTGTTAAAAGGGGCAGTCAATAAGGGATATGAATAGTCACCAGAAGCTAGGCGATCTACCCGATCTCCTATCTCATGAATGAATAGAGAAGTATATGAGTGCAATATAAGGGTGTTCCAAGGATGGCGGCTATGGGTCCGGGGGTTGGATGCCTTACCCATCTTAGTAGGATAGGGATATATACCATTATCAATTCTTCAGTAGGCTAAAGCCTGATCTTTATAGTTAGCATAGTAAATCTTACGCATATACATCCAAGTATTCTTCATGGTTTGTACGAGCTATTAACTAACAAACACTTAGTGATTGGTCTGTTTGCGATCGACTGGTGTGGAGAACATGGATCTGACCGAAATGGACAAGGAATGATAGCAACAACTGAGAATATTACATTGTATAAGTTGAGTTGCCTTACAAAATGAACATCAAAAGCTTAGAGCCATATGAGATAATATTAACGCTTTCTATATCCTGAGCAATGTAAACTACATGTTATATAGCAAACAACTTGAGAAAAGGGGCACGCCAACTACTTAGTCCCATTCATCAATACAGCAACTGTGATGAGAAAAGACTAAGTTAAGATCCCTTAAACTGAAAGAGAACCACCAGTGAAACTTTATCCACAGCTTCTATCAAGCTCGCGCTCCCTTATCCACTTGTGCCAAAGAGATTAACCAGCCCACCACTCGCCAAACCAACTACATAGACCCGAGAAATTCACCGCAGTAACACAAACATGAACTCGTACCCCTACCAACTACAACTACTCATATATACACACCATGGCTCGACGCATACAAACGCTAGCCATGAACACAAGATCTTAATATGAAAGACTGGTGTATTTAGATCCAATTACTTCCGAGCGTGATGTGTTAGAATATGTGTGGCACATCCCGCTCTCTAAAGGTACGCTAGTAACACCTGTAGTTCGAAAATGCGTATTGAAAACAGGTAGGTACCTACATACCTGTTTACAAACCCTCCGTTTTACAAACTAAATATATAGAATTAATGGTTGGTTTCCGCTCCGGATCAGCACGGAAAATAGACCAGAGCTGCTATAAAATCCTTCGCATTAGATAATTACTAGACAAATCACTCATATTAAATCAACGAAATTCACAACGGCAGAAAGCTTCGAGAAATTTAACTTCGATATGGAGCAATTCTCAACTGAAATATCAATTGCCAGACGCCAAGATCTTGGGGATCTACGGGAGGGCAATGCCTGCCTGTGGGATGATTCCTATCATACAAACGCGCCTCCTCCTACGACGGCGTAGAGCGTCTCACCTTTCATCCAGCCCATCAAGGCCAATGCCTGGAGAGGATGAATTTAGATGGATAGAAACGATCGGATTGAAACTCGAGACATGTGCCCAAAACTATGCTGATGCCGGGGTACTGAAAACGCCAGAAACGTAAACTCTATCCTCAATCGAGTACTCATGACGAGGACAGAAACTTATAACTGCGTTAAGGAATGATTGTCACCCATCCCACGAGTTTCTGGTCGTCAAAGAATTTTTTTTTTTAGATGGCAGTGTGAATCGTAGCAGCAGCAAAGTCCTGGTTCACGAAAATGCTCGCTTTAACGGTCGATTAACAGCAAAGTCGGTTCCGATCGATCGGTTTCGTTCATATATTCGTCAGCCATGATTCGTAAATCATTGTCGCCGTATCCTTGTCAAACATAGGGACGGTCGATCCAGTTCGAGAATTAGTAGTGGCCACGTAGACTTAGAAGGCGAAGTATCCATTGAGATTCTTTCGACAACTCTTGATCCCATCGTATATTATCTTAGTGCGATTGCCGTCTCCTGCACCTCTATGCCCACGCAGATGTACTAGGAAAGCGACCCCAGACGTATGCGGTCGAAGAAGCCACCGGTAGAACTAATATAAACCGACGCAGTGCATGTCGACAAAGACCACTCTTTCAACTTTTTAGTGGTGAGTTAGTGTCGAAGGTAGTGTGGACCATTTCGGAATAATGACCGAGACAGAACTCATAACGGCTAGTTATAGACGGTGTAAGGGCGACCGTCATTGTTATATAGCCTACTACCATTTGGGAAATTGAAGATCGGGAGAGGGTGAGAAACCAAGTCCCTAAGCTTAGCAAAGCTGGGCCTCAGTTTATTCGGTGGAATATGAAGCAAGAATTAATGGATACTGAAAATTTGGGTCGAAGCCCGGGATCACCAATCGCAAATTCTGTCAGCGACAAGTGATATAATACGAAAGACGGTCGAAATCGGTACGGAAATAATATGGTCGCATTGTGCAGAACAAATAAGAAATAAGTCACGATGACCCAACAACGCCGGACCACCGAAGCCTTGCAATTATAGGTGTGTTCAGAATGCCTCGAATAAAAAAAAAAAGAACCTCGTGAATGCATTAAATTCGGGGTATCAGGTGCAAGGCAATACTGTCGCCATTATGGCAACCGTCACGATTGATGTGAGGTATGCTGCGGCATACCAGACTGTGCTAGCCCAAATTGCCCGCGCTGTTGATGCTGCATGTAACTTTGATACGCCATAGCTTGTTGAGGGTCCATGGGCACGTTGGGTACGTAGTTCGGAGGCATATGAGAAGGCATTCCCGGTCGGCTCGTCTGAGGGGGCAGGTGAGAATTGGGCGGCTCCTCAGGCGATTCGACTTGGTTGGAATCGTCAACACCGTTCTCGTTACCTTGGGTAGGCTCGGGCGCGTTCAAGCAAGCCTAAATATAATTGGTCAGTTTAGGACTCGAATCGAGCTGAGCTAAGTCGCGATACGAACCTGAATGAGATTCTTTCCCTCCGCCTTGGTCACCAGCGGTTGGAGCTTGGGGGTGGTAAATGTGTACACAAGCCCAGTCTCCGACACGACAAGCAACAGAACTTGAGTGCCCGTCAGAACAGACAACTCATATGCCTAATTAGGAAATAAGACGTTAGTACAAATGTTGGCACGATTGAAACTTCAATTTCAAAACAAGTAACGCGTTCAACGCGATGGATCGATGAACTAATATGCGATGAAGGTAATAGAAGCCGATGCATAAACATACCTTCTTCATTATTCCGGCCTTGCGCTTAGAGAAGGTGATGTGACGACGCGACTTGTCGCTAATGAACTTTATCTCAATTTTGCGACGCTCGCGACTTCCCTTCTCATCATCATCGTCGTCGTCGTCCGCGATACTAGCGCGTTGGCGCTTGATGCCACGGTTTTCTGCAGGACCGGCATTGCCATTGCCGACGTGGGAATCGTCAAGTTCAGTGGGAGAAGTTTGATCGTGTTGGTCTGTGATGTCGGCCATTTTTATCGAGGTACGACGATTGTATCACGAACGAAAAAGGCAAAAATGGTGGAGATACTGTTTTGGTCGTGGTGCCGACGACCTATACTTGATCTGGCGTTGAGCGGAGAGGCTCTGGGTTGTAGTAGGCTGTAATTCTGTCGCAGAAACCTGGTTGGGGCGCCTGCTGTATCGAGTCTGGTGCGCGGCCACCGGGCGGATTAAAGTTGGAAGACGAGGGCCGAAGAACAAGCGTAGAAACTATTAATTACTACTTCCTGCTTAGGGAAATAAATAAAAATATAAAAAATGTGTCAAAAGGGAAAATAAGGTAAAAAAAAAAAAAAAAAAAGTAAAAGATTGGCCGTGCGGCTTTGTTTGGCTTCGGGTTGGTTGTTTTTATTTTTTTTTTGGGTTGTCTCTCAGTACACCGGTCGGGTGGTAAACTTGGAAAGTATTCGTCAATAGGTCGGTCAAATTTTAGTATGTTTGCCTGGTAAGGTAGGTAGAAAATGTTAGTCAATTGCCCAAAACAAACAATTTAAAAAGTGTAGTTTTAAAAATAATAATTAAATCTCAATTGGTAGTGGGCGCGAACCTTGAAAAAAAAAAAAAAGTGATTGACAACCCAAACTAGATGATGGTCGGTGCTTTGCGGGCTGATGCAAATAAAGTCAAGGGGATTCTGAAAAGGGAGGCTCGGCGATTGTCAAACAGTACGTTTTTGGAGTTAAACTTCCCCTGTGAGAAAAGATCAAAACGTTGACAGTATCAAGCTTGGTCTGATTGATTGATCAGGAAAGGTGAATGCGGGATGATTGAAAAGAGGATAGCGAGGTGGTAGCACACGGGCTTTTGCGTGGTCAAGGCCGCACTGTTTAAAAAGAAAAAAAAGACAGAAGCTGCGGGGGCATGGGCCACTAGGTGGCGGGTCGTGATTTTCCACTCTTTTTGCTCTGATCATACAGTTCATAGCACCAGACTGTACCAGCCTGCACCAGCAGTAGGACCGTTGGTGCTTTCCCCCTCGTTCCCCTGCTCTCACCCCCAGCCCAATGCTAGAGGGGCCCTGCTAGCTCTATCTAATCGTGGAGGTGCCTCTCTAATCAAACCAATCACTTACCTGGCTTTATGACCGAACTAGCTACCTCTGTGCTTTAGTGCAGAGCTAGTGCTGGCGATACCACTCGACTTTCTAATAAAGTAGTAACAACCCTCGCTGCCTCGGGTGGGTTGATAATAATAATAATGATAATAATAATAATCCTATTGTAGGGACTGACTGGTGCTCCTGGTACGTCTAGAGGAACCTTAGGTACACTATATGAGCAGTTACCATAATGCGCGGTTGCTTGCTTCGCTTGTCTGCATACCCCACGGGGTGAAAGACATGTACCCAGGTAGATAGATAGGTAGGTACAATTAGGTACGTAAGATAGTGTAATAGTGCTGAAGCTATCGGTGTGACCTGGTACTAGGTAGCCTAAGGGTAAGTATGTATCTCACTGGGCTGCCTGGAGGGCAATCAGACTGGCGCGGTCGAGTAATGGATGGATGGTGGAGACCAATGCTTTGTGAGTTTGGACCAAAGTATTTTACTGAAGTAAAGGATGAGGCATTTAGCCAATCAAATCATCAAGTAAGTGACATGGCTTACCGAAGGGGGGAACGCATGCAGGCTGGTAGCTCCTAAAATAACGGTGCAGAAATTTCCGCAGAACGCTCGGGTCCACCAGCTGATGTGGGCCATAATGGGGCTCTCTAGGTTCTCTATGTACGATTGTACGTACCGAAGACGCTACGCGCGGTCTTATTATTATTAATGGTAGCGCTCCTTCTTCCCCCACCTAAGCAAGTTGCTACCTGCCACCTGCCACCTGCCAAACTTGGGATCGCAAAGCTAAATCAGGTACTTTCCGAATTCAGCACTGTGCTTGACATCTTATTCGACGATATGTCTTCAGTTCTTTATGTGAAGCTTCGGGAGAGCTTCAACTCAATTTTAGCTTTATGATGTCTATAAGCGAACTATTTTTAATAGCTTAACATTTATTTTAGAAACCATATATGTATATATATATAAGTGACATCTATTTTTTTTTGTAGAAGCTTAGGTAGTTTGATCATTTTAACATCGTATCTTCCTGCTTACGAGGATTCTATGTTAAGTGCAAGACTTCTCATAAAATAACAATAATAATACTGATTAGGTTTAAAGGATATATTTAACATACCAAGGTAGAAAGCCTTTGAACTAATAATGGTATTGCTATTTAAACGTAACTACTAGGTACTTTAAAACCTTTACAAAGCATGTGTAAGAGAAAAACGAACGTTATTAATATATATGAGATATATTTTAATGTCAAATCCTAAATACGATTTAACGTAGAAGATACATGAATCATATAAACTCTAGCTGATATAAATTATTAAGACGTAAAGAAATATTATTAGTGCCCCCGTTTGTATTTTTGAGTTGAGTGAGTGTACTTATTTAGAAGCAGTAAAAAGCTAGCAGAGCGAATCGTAGTAATACAACCAATGGTATATGATACTCCTTGTCCTCACAAGACGCATACTTAAAGTCAAATAAGCGTTGCGGGGTACGTGTCTACCTACGTAATACTCAAGACTCGAGGAAAGTTAGGATTTAATAAGTAGATGTCATATTTGTAATGACATCAAAGACTGATGTCTTGGTATGTGGGTTAATGTACGTACATCGTATTGTTTAATAAACGTTGGAATGGTTGTATAAAGAATATGGATCATAACTCATACCAAATGTCTTCGTAAGTGCCGCTCTTCATTTTACGTATGTCCTCCCATTGCTGACGGCATGAATAGGTAGGTACATATTATTCATATTTTGCGATATCGCAGTGAAATATGATTAAACAACATACCATTCACATCTAAGACGTATAATTCTACCACGTGTAAGTCGGTTTTGAGCCGCTTGGTAACATAGTAGTCAAATGAGACATCTCAAATTGGTAGGATTCGATTGAAACGTTATTATAGTAGGGTAAATTTCTATTAAATTTCTATTTGTCCGGTTGGGTCTATTTGAGTCGAGTGACTCGTTGCCAAGTTGAGCTGTCATTAACTAATGTGATGCGTAACGCCGTTCTTAGAGAATATCTGGCCACCTCATCCCGGATATCCGGTTTTCCCGTACTACTGTCAATCTATTTGTCGATACACCAAATAGTCATCAAGAACCGGCGCCTAGCCATAGGCTCTCAGTTTGCATCGGTTTCGCCGTCGTTGAGAAAGGGTGGCTACAACCGGTTGGGGTTTATGTATTTTATTTTTTTTTCATTTTTTGTGTGTGTTAAATGTCCCGAGGCCAAAGTAGTTCGGTTCAAAATACATCTCATTGTTGCATATTGGAGCTAGTAATCGGCGACCGTCGGATACTTATTGGTTTGATTAGTGGCTATGGAAATTTCCTAGTAAGCAGGATACACCAATGAAGCTCAAGATATGCCGTCGGGATTTGGAAAGTAGGATACAAAGTGAAAATAAGCTTTTAAGATCGTTTGTGATAGGTATATCAATTCCCGGATGAGGTGGTAGATAATGATACTGGTCACAATTTGTCTTGAAGTGTTGGAATTTACCTAGGTAAAAATGTTGGTTCTTAACAGTGCGAGCTGGAAAATGAGTCAAAGTACAATATAATACCTAACATAATACATAGAGCGGCTTGCCAGGCTGCCAGGACCCTACTCGATGCATGTCGTACTGCATTAACCATTAACTTCTGCAGGTCTTCTACTGACGCTAGACACGCCACGCGCAGGCCCCCTAAAGAGCGGCCGATTACGAATATTCATGAATCTGTCATCTAGGTACTTAATGTATGTGGACGTATGTAATTCCACCATATGAGCCATAAGAGCTGGTGCCTCCAGGATTCCCATAAGCCCTGCTAGTTTTACATTTGCGTCAGCGGCACAGCAGTCCGACCGAAAGCCCGCTGGTTGGTGATTAACATGCATATTATGCAATACATATGAAAGTAAGTAACTAGGTTAGCCGGTTAGTTAGCTGGGTAACCGAGTAGCTAAGTAGCTGGGCAAGAAGAAAACATGGGTTTCATTACTATATATTGCTGCAGGTTTACATACAAGGTCTACATAGTAATAACTTTGTAATGGAATATAAGTGGTGAAGATAGTCAGCAAAGCTGGAGCCCGCTGACCGCTTCTACATTAACTGGCATTGTAGGGGACCCTGACAGCGAGTTGACAGCCGAACCGTAATTTTGACAGGCTCTTAGTGCTTACGGGGTGGGAAAAAAAGCAACACAGAATGCTGTCTTAGCACACGTATTATTTTAGAGAGAGAAGAAAACAATATGTACATATGGTCTACGTATCTGGTATGGTTCTGGTATGGTCTTATTCTTGTCGTTGTGCTACTTTGCGTAACCACACAAGGCCTCGGTTCTGATTAGAGACGTCTTACACTAATAAGCCCTAAGCCTTAAGCCTTACGGAGATGTCCTTATGAGCTTAGGTAATTCGTAGAGGTAAGAAAGCCAGTCGTGAAGATCTGATGTTGTCGCCGAAGAATCCTAATGGGGATTTATCCTTAACGCCGCGTGGAATGTCTACGTTCTACCTTAGGTACCTTAGGTACACTACATAAATACAGTATATATTTTTAAAAACACATAGCTCACCCAGCTGTCATGTAGTGTACATATTCATCTCTGCCACCTGGCAAGCTCTCCACTCTCATCATTCTGAGACTCGCACAGTGCATTGCCTCACGGATCTGGTGGATGGTTCTCTTGTAGGAACAATGCGGGCACACTCCCCCATGCATGAGGGGCGAGCAGGGGTTCAAGGTCGCATCTTGCCTCCGTTCCAATGAAATGAAGGCCGTTCGACCATTTTGGAGTTGACCATATCGGGAATCCAATCCAGCACGTTGGTAGTGGATGGATGGTCTTGACGTTTTCATCTTGATTAAATCCGTACGTTAGCAGCTGTCTAGATAGGTAAGGTATGTATGTAGAGTCATGTTTCGATTCCAATGCCGTCAAGGCTATCTTTAGACTTGAATTCCATTCTTTAAAAATGTTTCTAATGATGAGACAAGGAAGAAGAAACAAAGCCCGTCAACGTAACCAGATAAGCAATAAAGACGCCCCCTCGGAGAGTATCGCTCTTAAAGCCGGAGTTGCTATGATTGGTTCATCTCTTATAGCGTACCAGCCTGACTTGATGTTATACCGATGCATCCAGCATCCAGCATCCAAGCATTGTATGTATGTCTTGCACAGACTTAATTGCCCTCGGAAATGCACCAAAGACACCGAAGAGATGAAATGCCATTCATTTTACCCATTTAGCTCATTGAGAGGTGGATGCCTAACATCTGGGTTTACACCCACGGGATGACTCTTCAGCACAATGTAAGGTTTTACATTGTAGGTATTGTAGGACCGTTTACTCCCAGACTCACTACGTGAATGGGAGGCTTAGGAGGTCATCTGGGAGGTCATCTCGTAGGGGTCCGCTGAGAACGCGAACATCCTCGCTAGTCTCTAATAACGCGATTGCACCATGTGCCCCGTTATGGAGCTTCAACATTAGGGCCGTAACGTTGAGATGGAAAAAGCGGGGGTAATGATACGTCCTGAATTGGTTCTATCCATTCAATGGGCAAAGGATAGAGCAGCAGACCCTAGGAGCGAGAGAAGTAGAAGGAAAAATCCGTAGTAGTGTCGGAAAGAAAAGGTACCATTACATGCGGACCATCCAAAGGACGGGCGTTTAATTCGGGTTTATCGAGATGAGAGATTGCTGAGTACGTAGAGGTATGTTATACGTTCCAGGCTCTCCATAATGTAGCTGATATCCATCCGTACCTATATTCACTTATGACTATGGAGGCAATACGTAGGTATCGACAGGAGAAGGACTATATAGGTAGGTATGTGAGATGATATGTCGTTAGTTTAGAGAACTGATAACTGTTCCCGATCAAGAAATAGAAAAGCGCCAATCTCTTCTCCCACGAGGCATCCAGATTGATCATGACGGCCCCGCGGGTAGTAAACGACTTTTCCTTTTTGTGCGGTTCGGCACGATCTTTTGCCTGCCCAAGACTGCCAGGGCCTTGTTAAGTTGTGCCAGGGTCCAAGCAAATCATCGTTCCACTTATTAAGCCACTCCATATTCTTGAGAGGTTGGGGTTCAAAGCTCCTTGCACGCAGCGTGGCTTCGTAGGATTGATGAGAAATTGGAGAAGGCCGATCTGCGTTTTCTTACCCTTGCCCATGCCTTGCTTGGCTTCATACTATCTTGTATATCTTCTAGGTCGCGTAGTAATGAACGATCAGAGCTACATGGCAGTAGGCTATGTAGGCTATGTACTGCGTACCAAGCCAGACGATGTAATACTCCGTTCATTGTGAAAGTGCCCGGTGGTAGATTGGGACTCGGACCGTAGTTAAAAACAGTCCGAAAGGGGAAAACACTAATAATCTAGCAACGCCATTCGCAGGAAATACGATCTACAACGCGACCCCAGAACTACTATGTGATCGATGCGATCGGGGGCTGCAATCTTGGATGGAATTTGTCCGTGGGAACCTTTAACTTGGTGGTTAAAATTGCTGTAATCTGTATTACGCAATATTAAATGAAGATCAAAGTTTATTAACTCGAGTTAACCAACGTCTGTATGTAAATTCAACAAACCTCTTTACGATTAGTAGACGGGTAGAGAAGATGAAGGCAATATCGACGACCATAGTTTTCCTAGGCATACCACTCTAACCTAGACTACTTAGCGGGCAGCCATGAAGAGCTAGCAAATCTATGGAATATACTTCGTTACCTATTCCGACGTTAGAAAAACAATTAGATAGACTTATGACGAAGAGGCTCTGGTTGTAAACTACTACATCCAATACTACTACCTATAAGCGCCGTGACAATTCGATGAGTGTCACTCTTCTGCGCCACTAAGACGCATCATGAATACCAATTGGTCGTGTTTTCACATCCGAATGACACTCTGACTCTGGTGCCTCGCCCGATAGTCGAAGAGCGTGAACCACGGCACCGGGAGAAGTCACGGTGAAGGATCGCCCAGCATCAAAAGTCTGGAACGGCGCTGCTACGGGGAGCGGGAGTCACGGCAATATGGCCTAGCACCACCTACTACCTTGGTGACATCAGAATATCGTCACTGGAATACCACAGCATGCTTGTAATTACCCGCGCGGCCTTTTTCTTGCTCGATCAGAGACACAGGAAGCCCAATGTCTTAGCCGGTTGCATACCTAGGGTCTTACGCCTAATGCAGTACTTTCCGTACGAGGTACCGAGTTTTCGGGATGGGGTTGCATCGAGTCGTCTTCCGAGAGTCATCGTTCACTCCCACTCCCGCTCCCGCTCATAGCTGATGGTTGATGGCATTCCTACCCCCCTCCGGCATGCCAGTTGCCGTTGCAACCGTTCATAGGTAGCCAATCTCCGCTCCACTTGCCTTCTGAATTGCGGTTCTGTAGTGGCAATGCATACTGCATTCTTCTTTATGATGGTGAGATGGGAGGTAATAGAGAAAACCTTGCGGCCACCGGACAGACGACACGATTAGACAACACGATAGCGGTGTCGTTGGTGTTGGAGCACAATGTATAGGTAAGTTGGATGGTCATATGAGAAAACTGCGCCCTATCCGAGTCAGTGTCTCGCGTCATCACCCAAGGAATTTTTTAGGCCTTCCCTTGATTAATAGTAAAGGCGTGTTTAGTAGGTAAGAGATAAATTTATAGAGAGGGGTTCGAGTTGAGAAGGATCGCGGCGTGTTTCTTTAGTGCGAGAAACTAATCTATCTTAATATCTTCTTTCCCTTACCTACCAAGATCGCCAGACGAGCCATAACTAGAAACTGCCATATGCCGTCTAGACGATTCTATTTTAACTTTCGAATCATGGCTAGTTGATGTTTGAAGATCCTCAGCATCTGATCGAAATTTATGGGTTACATGCGGATGATGTGCAACAGGGTGTGCGGCAAAGCCGCATCATCAACTCGAGACGCATGGATCTTCTAAGGACCTTCGAATCATATTTTATATTCCTCCGTCTTGTGTGAGTATATACCTTAGAGGAATCATCAGGTTTCGGATAGGAGACGAACATCAGATATAATTCAAGACTTAGAGATAAACACTGACTCGAAGTTAGCTTTAGATGTGATGTTTCTCGAGAGCAAAAATAAGATAAAGATATTTTAAGACCTCTCTAAGGCAAGTTTTGACGAACCCGAAGAACTACCTTAGGTACCTATAGGTAATAGCGTAGAAGCAATCAATAAGTGTATACGTATACATATCTTGGCGTATAGTTTATGCCATGGAATATTGTCAGAGCCTCAGACCGATATCATTCGATTCTCTCCTTAGTTAGTCTGGTGTTTACGAAATCTCTCTTCTAATTGGATAACAGTTGATTTCATCTTGTGACAGGTTGTATCTAATTCTTAACACGGACCACATTCTGGTATGTGCATCAGCTTCTGACACAGGGCTATCCCCTGTTCTCCTTCTACCCTATACAAATCTCAAACACCAAGCGTAAGAGATCAAACATCATCACCTTTACTTCAAAGCTTTCTAATTTCCCTTCTTTCTAAATTCATAGTACTATGTAGGCGGAGCCCTGGTGGCATGGTATTTTTGTTCAGTCTTTTTTTTTTGGTTTTGTTAATTCGGGCAGGCCGTTGCGTGTCTTTTCTCGTCGTATCTCATTCTTAATCCCCTTGCCCTGCCGCTTGGCTTCGCACGTTTCTCCCATTTCGGAGCCATCCGAGAAAGAAAAGCGGTAGCGTTTTAGTTTAGTTTTCAACAAGCCCGGCGCTTAAGGTCCCTTCTATTCTCCAATAGTCCGTGCTATGCATCGTATTATTTTCACTTTACTCCTTTTTTCATAATTGCTACTTTCGCTTCGCTATCTTCTTTTCTCCTTTTTCGGATTGCTGGTCAAGGTGTAAGTGCTGTCGCGCTACGCTCTAAGCCGACTTTTGATATTACATTCTTTCGCTATTTTATTTTGCCACACACTCGTTCGTCGCCTACGACAGCCAAATTTACTATACGAGACGCCGGTCGTCAATAGAATAGCACCTCGAAAAAAAAAATCATTACGCGTATTGGGGGGGTTAGAAGGAGGAAAAGTACATTTGTGTACTAAGAGATTGGGAATACTAGCCGTGTATTTCCAGAACTAAAAATTTAGGGACAACCACTTCGCAATAAATCAAGATGGTGAACAAGGTGCTTGCGACCTTCGTGACCATGGACATATTGTTCGTGGCCATGGGGGCTATTATGTTGGGGTTCTCTGTCATCGTACAGCAAACGTGCTTCGATACGCCAACGGAAGGAAACGATGCAGCTCGAGACTTACTATACCAAAGATTTCCTTTTACAGCTGGGATCGTCAACGCTATCTTCATTTTTGTTACCTTCTTAGTTACGCTCCCAGCGTTAGCAACGAATAGCAGGGGTTGGTTGAAGGTGGCTGTCTACATGATTGTGGTTGATGCTATTTTCACCATGTCTATCGGCGTAGACTTATGGATTCTCACCCTGAAGATGAAAGAAGCATTCCTCGAGATTTGGCTCTCGCAACCACCTCAAGTACAAGGCCTCATGCAGACAGCTGTTAGTAATACCATAGCTACGCCTTTTTTTTTTTTTCACTTAATAGGTTAGGCTAACTCTGTTCCCAGTTCTCTTGCTGCGGCTTCAACAACAGTTCTTCCCCTGCTTTCATTACCGATGCGACTTGTCCCAGTCCCGCCGCCGCCGCCCTAATGCGAGGATGTGCTGCCCCTTTAAACTCATTCGGAAACACATTCGTGGACAACATCTTCACAGCTATGTTTGGTATGGTCGGCATTGACGTCGTCCTGATTATGTCTATCGCCTGTTTATTGAAGGACCGGAAGGAGCGTGAACGGTACCGCGATATCGATGAGAAGAGTGGTGCCCGAGGCACTTTCTAAACTAGCTGGCTTGGTTAAGAAACTTGCAAAACCGTGCCGGGAGGAAGAACGTCCAGTTCTCTTAATACGCTCCGAATTTGGTGAAGCAGCTTGGAGTTACCCAAGACCTGCTGGACTACTCAAGTACGTCCTTATTGTGATTTAGAACAATTGTTAATACGGCCTATTATACCTGCGTTCCATGCATGCTTTCAGCGTTTTCTATATATACTCGGGTTTATGTTTTACGATAGGACTATTACAGTCTATTTTCTAGCCATGGAACTAATATATCCATTTTAACTTCACCTTCAGTTTAGATCAACCCATTGCAATATATGTATTTTATACAACTGCCGTAAGACTGTTAGATAAAACAAGATTTGGATAAAACCACGGGTTATCTAAGACTAGTAATTCATCTTGGCAAAACTATTATTTCACTAATATCGATCCCGTCAAACACGGCATATGGAAAACCAGATTTATTTTCTCTACACTATTATGCGAGAAACAACGGTAAAGTATGGCAACGTTCCAAAATCCTTCACAGTCCCCATAGTAGTACTTCCAAGCATTCCATAGGTAGATTGACGGCCAGGCATTGCATAGGAAGTGTATATTGAATTGCTCCCTGGCGTAATTTTAACATGAGGATATATTTCGATGTTGAGAATGGGTGTCTTGCGGGATGCGATGTCCATAGGGAAAATAATTTGGACCCATATTTGTCCTGACCTCGAGTGCTAATAGAACATGCCAAAGGAGCCTTCCCCATATGCTTGAGATGACCTGAGAATGGTATACAAAGGAAGTAAGATTATGGATGTTGTGAAGGTTTGTTGGAGGATTATCGACCTGATACCGTCCAGCATTCGCGTGAGACGTCTACTCGTGATTGTGATATAACAATCTAGTTCGTCCATACGGGCTAAAACGCACCAAAAGGATAATGTGGAAATGGGACTGGGACCAGGCTTGCGCTGCCATACTTCCCCAAACAAGAGAACACCCGTAAAAACCAAAAAGGCCACACCGTACCTTTTCTCTTTTCCCTCCACGCGACGGCATTCACCGGGACACGGCAACGTCTACAAGAGATAGTACTCAAAAGCATCAATCGAAAGGGGGCCGGCGAGGCGGTGGACTACATCGCGGTAAGCGAGTCGGCGGGGAAAGTCGATCAACAACAGTTCTTCTACCGAGAACCTGGAGAGGTTCAACCGGGAAGGCTCGTGGACGGATATTCGCACACGCAGGCTCAAGCTTTCGTCACGATGGATCGTATCGTCATCAGCAGCAGCACACACGCAACTTCGAGAAACTCTGTCCGTCTCGATTGGAGATGTCGTGTACAACCGGGAATTGCTCGTCTAGCACGGATAGGTGGACGGAGAAAATAGTCGGTATGTAGATGTTCGAAGCCATAGCCATGCGAGTAAGCGAGTCGAAGATACCGAGAGCAATGTTTACACATCACTCGACCGGTATAGTCTCATCGTCACGTCAAGCAATGGCATGGGCATAGCCAGCAAGCGAACGACCTACCTCGAGACAATAAATTGTCGATCGAGGGGCATATCAACTGCGGCTGTAAGGTGAACCAGTAACCGTGGTCGGCGGGATGCCCGTTTGCTCGTCTGCATGAAAAGAGGAGGGGGTTACCTGCAACTCAGTTTCATCCTGTCAGGGCGGGAGACCGCACCCTGAGGGGAGGTAGCGACTTGCCCGACTCCCCGCGGAGATGGGGGGTGAAGCTACCTGCGCGGCAAAGCATGGATAAGAAGGGAAAAAAAAAAGAAAAAAGTCTGCAGCATAGGGGAGGGGGCTTCGTCATATATAATTTTCATAGTACGTGTATATTGTGGCGTATTCTACGTTAGACTATGGAAGGGTGGCATGGGACAGGATCAAGCCTGTTATTAGATATTATTAGATATTATTAGAAGCAGTATAGAAAACTTAGATGTGTGAGAGCCTGATCACCACGAGTAAGAGCCAGCTCCGCTTTGTTTCTTGGGCATAATGTAGGTATAGGTAATACGATGACGACGCTAGGTCTAGGAGGAGGTACCAACACGAGGAAGAGATTAATACAGCTTGTCTCGCTTATTGGTTAAGGGCTGAAAAAGATCTAAGCAAGGGTTCTAGTCGCATCTTACCAAAAGTGCGTCATCCCGCGTGTTAAATCATTCCCTTTTAAGAAAATAAACAGGTTTTTTTTTTGGCTTTGGGCACTTATAAAATCGAATATGCAGACACGTCAAGCCCCATCGACGATATTAGCCCCTCTTCTGTGGCGCTGTGGCGCTCTTATTTCCTCTTTAGGAAGGATATTAAAGACAAGCCACAGATCTATGACAGCATCACTTTTACCCGCCGTTTGTCTGTCGAATCCTTGAGGTTTAATTTTAAGTCTTTCCGGACCATTTACACCGGTGAGGTTGTGATTCGCAGCGTAGGCGAATTAAAGTACCGAATACTGAAGGCGAACCCCTTTCTAAAGTTTAGATCACGATGACGGCGAGCGGGTACATACAATGATACAATGTCGTTGTGACGTCAACTTCTTTATACAAATCAAACCACGAGGACCAAATCTGTCAAAGATGGGTTTTCCATGCACGTAATTATTATTGGGGATCTACAAGGATCTGAATATGTAGATATCACATAATGTATGTACATACGCCTTTAGTTATCGTGCCGTAACCCGATATATGCCCCTGTAATGTTATTGTTATGGCGATTAACCATCTTTAATATGCTGTTGATATGAACGCGGGCTTGAAAGAATGATCTCATTGGAAGCTTACCTGCAACTCTATGACCTAACATTGCTGTAGTGTCTTTGAGAAATTCGATGCCCAGGTTTTCCTTGGCTAACGGCGTATGATGTTTTGCCCATACGAATAATGTGACCTGGTTCGTATATAAGTCGTCACTCCCTCTATCACAACTGCAACTAAGTTCGTAACTTATAATCCAGAACATTTTCAATACCCAGAAAAACAGCAAGCGCAAACTCTACGCTTTACTATACACACACTACAACAGTCTTAAAAACAATATACCTATACCCAACCTATCAAATCAACCTAAACCGTCAATATGGGTGCCGTAGTATCTTGCGTAAGTTCTACCTTTGCCACAACTAACACTCGACTCTATCCACAACTACAGATAAACTAACAAGCGCAATAATAGGTTCAATCCATCTTCCGTACCATCGGAAACGTCATCATGGCCATTATCTCTGGCATTGGTAACATCCTTGTATCCATCATCAACGGCATCGTGTCCTTTTTCGGCATTATCATCAGCTTCCTGACCTGCGGCTACTGCGGCGGCCACAAGCGCAGGACAGGCGGCGGTATGTCCACCGGCACATCAACCGGTACGCGGCGCGGCGGATGGGGCCGACGTCGCCATGCTACCACCGCGAGCCGCATCTAGAGGAGGTGGTAATGCGCTACGGAGGAAAAGAGGAGAGTCGAAAAAAAAATTTTAAACCAAAAAAGGCCGGAAACTAAATTCGAGTAATTCGTTTCATATGGGCTGGTTGGACGATGATGATGAGCGGAGTGTTGGTCAACGAGAGATTGGGACTTTCAAGAGTCATCACGATCGAATGAGCATTACGATACCCCCTATTTTCTTTTTTCTTAAGTACAATACCTTGACACCCGATGTTCTTGTTTAACGTGGAGATGGAGTGATGGAATTGTCAAAACATCCTCGTATATAGAAACATAATAGACATTTCAAACCACCATTATATACTGTGACATTCACATTAACTATAGCGTGTCAGATGAAATAGTATGAACTTTCTTGTTATTGTGGTCTTAATCATCTAGATCAATTAGATTCCGGTTAAAGAATCCGTATACCTGTCTTGCGGCTTCTTTCCCGATTAGCGGGTTGAGTTCAGCCTCAGTCATGTTTGCTACTTCGCGAACATTCTCTACTTCTAGGGTTAAGTTCTTTAAGTTCTTTGGGTTGACGCCTGGCACTACTCCCAGCATCTCGTGTGGCTCGAGATTGAACACTTGATCCTCTGCTTTCATATCTTTATCTAAACCTGCTCGGACCGCTGCTATGGGGTCTGGTTCTTCCTGCTGCGTCTTTAAACCCTCAAAGATCTCGGCGGTTTGATATGGACTACTGCTCCAGATGATTCTCAGTCTTGGGAACGCGAGAGTGAGTAGCACGATTTTGGACTGAAGATCCGACGGTACCTCATTAGGGTTAACCGACTTCAGGTTGCCCGAAAAATCTGCGAATGGCTCAAGCGTGAACGATTTGTTCTGGTCGAACTCGATTAATAGCATCGGGTTTTTGTAGTGCTGAAACATTGCCTCAGCTTGGCTATAGAGACGTCCGTCTTTGAACGAGCTGATTAAATCACTAATAGACTTACGTTCGACACATATAGTTGGCGAGAGAATATAGTCGCCGACTGTGAGCATGCAGGGTACGATTACCATGCTACGCCCATGAAGAAGGGACGGAAGCGATGAGCGGAACTCTCGGACATCAACAACAACCCTTGGGGGCTCCGCTGTGGCTGCTAACCGACCCCCACCGGCTATTCGAGTATTGACTGTCCTTAAGAACGCCTCCTGCGGATCTTCGACACCTTGCGAATCAACCGTCATAACGACAGACATGCTGGCACGTTCTTTGATAAGTCTAGTGAACGAGTCTTTCTCTCGTCGAACCGTAGCAAGATATCGTTGCTCTTCGACCGACTGGCCGTAAAACATAAAATACACTCTAACGTTCCTATCGTTATGTGATGATCGATAAACTTCGATCCGGCGTATGAATGCGGCGTCTGGCTCGTACATGATTATGTATCGAGGCTTGACCTCTTCGAGAATATGCTCGTCCTGATCGCCATCGTATGCGTGCACTACGACAAGATCCTGCATTTCGTAAAGCTCAAAGTAATCATCCATATCCTCTAGCGGATCAGCTACGACATCTGCCTTTTGATTTGCCTCTTCCCCTGTAATCCGAATCTCGTCCATGAGGTCAGCAACTTCGTTGGGCTTCTCGAAGTACTGCGCTACACTTCCGTTTGCTGCCCTACCAGGTGCTGTGCCCACACTACCGCCACCACGTACTCGGCGCCTCTTGTTCGCTGGTGCCCTTCCTTTGTAAGTACCCTGGGCTATCCGTGGATCAACAGCTCCCTCGAGAGCCTTTTGGTTCTCAGTAAATAAGGCATTGCTGACTTGCGCGAATTCTCTCTTCCAATTTAAATAGCCTCGAAGTCTTCTCCGCATCATGAACGCAGCAGAAGCTTTATGCTCCTCCCTGTTTTGTTTTGTGTCATGCTCGGTCTTTGGTTCTACGTGCATCATCTGAAGATAATCTCGGAGCTGGCGGGTCGTCGCCTCATCAGAACACATGATGAGGATGGTTCCATTAGAGTCATCCCTCATCGGAGGTTCGAAGTAGAGGTCTCTATCAATCTCCTCTAGAATTTCGGCGAGTAGAGCCCACTTCGGTTGCTCCTCTAGCACTGGGCGGAGAGAGTCGATTGAGGATTTCGCGTTAGCTTTCGCATTGCTAGCATATACTCTCCGCTTGGCGGTTTCGAAGATGGTATGTGCGGCATCAAGGAATAACCACGGAGACTGAGTTTGCCTTGTAGATCCGGGTTGAGGGGAATGAGCAGCATGGATAGTATCAAGATGCTGTAGGAAAGACACACAATCAAGAGCGAGGACCGAGTGCAGTAGGCCGCGAAGTACTGTTAGATCGCTTACAATCTGCTTCGTTTTCCAGCTAACTCTGTGCCAGTTCGGATCCAATTGTCGCCTAACCATAACGTCGAAATTCTTCAGCAACGCGCTGTCAAGATTCCAATCGTCCATCTCCAATCCCGAGTTACCCTTTTTTAGCTCATGAATACTGACCTCGACGCATTCCATGATCGCTGTTTGGATGTCCCGCATAGAGTCTGTCATAGGTATTTCAAGTTCAATAACCTCTGCTTTCTTCTTGCCCTCAAGGGAATCCGCAACTGTCATATGGAATCGAGGCCATAGCGATGTCTTCCGAAGGAATAAGTTCCTCATCATCGTGGCTAGCGGTGAAAAGCCGATCGTGAATGGATCCGGGTTATCGGAGAATGCCTTTAGAAACCCATTCTTATTCTTTTGACGGTATACGCGAAGAATAAAAGCTTCGAGGGATGTAGCTATCACTCTGTCCGCATGTAAGACGATTAGGCCAGTGATAATGCCTGGGTCGAGGAGACTCGTTAATAGGTCGACAACTAGGATTCGGGAGGTAATACTGTAGATGCCGCCTTTTGCGTACATCTTCTCCCTGGCTGCGACACTGGTGAAGTCGGTGTTTACTACTGTTAGACCTCTAGCCTTAGGAGCCATGCTAATAGCAGCAGACTCAGCGAGAGCTTCTCCAATCCATGCATTTTCCCTCTCTTCAGCGCCCACGACTATTATTAGATTATTTCCAGCGGCATCGTAGCTGTGTAGCAAATTGGTGACGAGGCGCATAAGGCCGAGGCCTTTAGCAATAACGACGAGTTCATCTTCGGCGCGGAGTTCTTGGAAGAGGTGTTGTTGGTATTCCTAGTTCAAATAAAATTAAGCAAACCACTTATTATAATAATAAAGACTAGAAAATCATACAAGAGGCAGTGAAAGCTTCACCGGTTGAGGAGCATTATTCGTAGACATGCGGGGCACGTCTTAGACGGAAGGGGAGAAGCGCGACGGGATAGAATTCAAGGGACCTCGTGCATATTCGCATACGGCATCATCCTATTACACGAGTTCGATATCAATGAGAAGGATGTGGTACGTAAGTGTCCGTGTATATGGTGTAGAGCTGGTCGAATAGCAAGTCAAGTGGTAAGTCTAGGTATGTAGTAGTAGGAGTAGGCATCATAGAATTTGAATTAGGCAACTAAGGTACCTACCTAATAGACAGGCCACCTACAATCGCGCTTTAGCAAATCCGGGGTTGCGAATCACCTGTTGCTGTTGTGACGCCGGGTCACGGGCAATTGCGGGCAATTGCGGGCCATTAAGTTCTAGAAAGTCTAAGTACGTACGTCATATCGATCGAAAGACGGTTACACCATCAAGAACTTAGGAATGTCTAAGTTATCTAAGTGGTATAAAAGCGATTATAGATCCGAAAGAAGGCTCTACACTTTTTAGATTCTTATTAACTATTACATACAACGATTTACAATATACTCGATACCAAATCAACCAAATAGTACTAAAGTTCTTGATATAAACCAAAATGCCCGAGACATTCCAGGTACAACTTATATCAGCTCATAATAATAAATGATATACTGACCGAATAATATAAGCAGACCGGCAAGGTTGACAGCGACTCTCAGTCGAACTCTACTAGCGAGGCAGCTCAGTCTCAAACCGCAAAGCTTTTTGCAGCTCACAAGGCGCATCCGGGTCCTGTCGTTCCTCAAAGTATGCCAGAGCAGGAGGGGACTAAGGAGGAAAGGCAAGCGAAGGCTAAGGAGTTGAACAAATAGACTTAGGATATAATGATATTAAACTGGAAGAGGGTTCTTGGATATGTCGTACGTACGGATACGTAATAATAAATAAGCATGATGACAGGGAATAAAGATTGTAGTATTTTCGATTTTCGATTTTCGAGATATCTAGCTGCCTGATTGATAGCTTATGAACCATTAAGTGCATGTAAATAGAATGACCGCATCCATGTAGGATGATTCTTCGGTATCGTTATCTATCCGACACCGACCTTCGAATTCGATTGACCGCTTTATCCGAAGTACATAGGTTAGGTAGTGAATGAAATTAAGATGAGCAACTTGAATGTTTGGCGGGGCATTTCCGAAAGGTGGCGTCTAAGAGATATTATTGAACTGCGGCTGTGCTTAAATGTGGCTGTTTCATTTTTCGACTACATTCGAGAACTTCCATTGGTCAAGGTCTTCAAATATAGGTAGTCAGATAACGCTTGATGATGTCGGGCGGGTTTCGTGCAGATACATCCACCTATCCTTGGTCACTTCATGTACATTGTCACGAAACACTATTCCGAAATTACTACAACAGTAAAAGAGGACAATGTCACTTACGAAATAAATGAATTAAACTACTTTTTCTCTTTCTATCATCTATTTCTTCACTTGACTACCAAGTCCGTACATGCAAATTACAATCAATATTTCCTCTTTTCCAAGTCTTTCCAAAGCCCAAGCTGCATCAGTTGCATCTGCTGCATCTGCCTTTGAAATTTGGTTGCCTCCCAATCGCTTCTTTTCGATTTCCAGCGTAACCAACCAACCGCTACTTAGCACCCCGAACCTGCGTAACCGCCTACCGACCGCATCTTGACGCCAACTTCCGGTGCAATACTACGGGTAGCCGCGCACGCTTCATGTTACGCATCTTACAAGGCGCAGATAGGCAGCCTTAAAACATACACTACGTTCTATTCCAATTACATATGTCAATTCAAATGATTGCTTAGTGGTATTTACTAGGTAATTCTACACTAGCCTGGGGAAGGTTGGAGATAGTCACCGACTTCCCATGATCTCCCCCTTCTCTTCTCTCCCCTACCCCCCTTACATCACACGACCTCGTCACAACTGTCACTATGCCGTCCATCCTCAGCGAGGAGGATAAGGAGACCGTTCGGCGAGTAGTACCAAAACATACCAACAAGATCCACGCCGTAGCTGTCGCGAGATTGTACGTCGCATACCCGAATACTTCAAAATGGACCTATACCGGCCTACAGGGCGCTATCGTCCTCTCCAACGACTTGGTAGGACATACGTATTGGTTAAAGCTGGTTGACGTATCTGTGAGTCCTTGTTTGGTCTTAAGCTATGCACTTCTTAATCTCTAACAATTTGTAGCCCGCCAGTCGGGGTGTAATATGGGATCAGGAAATATTTGAGAACTGGTCTTACAACCAGGACCGAACTTTCTTCCATACCTTCGAACTCGAAGACTGCTTAGCAGGTTTATCTTTCGTCGACGAGAAGGAAGCCAAACAATTTAAGAAGAAGATGGACGATAGGGAGAAAAACGCCTCGAAAGCTACAAGAAATACCCCTTTCGGTGGAGCAACACAACAACCGGCCAAGACTGGGTTCTTCGGAGGCTTATTTGGAGGACATAGGCATGCCTCAGCACCTACGCCCCCTGAGTCACCTCGAAGTAGCGTCCCACCTTCTCACTCACACGGCAGAGTCTCTTCGGGAAGTGTTAATGGTTTTCACAAGCCAGCCTCCAAATTTGCTAAGCTAGAGGCATATGATCCTAACTGGCGAGATAATTTTGGAAATTTCCTGTCAGAGCAGGGCCTCACAGATGAGTTCATTAGGGAAAACCAAGACTTTATTGTTGAGTTTTTAAAGGAACAGGGCACTGGAATATCCGAAAATGGGACATCACGTTCTACACCGGCACCACCACCGCCGCCTCCCCCGCCATCCAGTAACTCGACTTCCAATGGGTATAATGCATACGGCCACGGTCGCCTACCCCCTCCTCCCCCACCTCCTCCTGCCGGAGGGGGCCGCTCAGTGTCGGAAAGTATAACATCGTCAGGCTCGCGTCGTGGTGCTCCCCCGCCCCCTCCCGCGCCTCGTAGGTCCGGTAAGATAGAGCTTGTGCATAGAGAGCCAACACCACCAGAAGAACCAGTACCACCTCGGCCACGGTTCAATGCTCCTCCTCCGCTACCAGATGCTGGTAAGTATGCTCATACCGAGAGCACGTCCCGAGCTCCACCCGGACCAGCACCTCCCCCAAGACCGCCAAAGACTCCGATAGAAGACAACGAAGAGATGTCTACGGGACACAAATTTAGCGTACCCCCTGCTTTTACTGGCCAGAAGCTAAACCACGCGCCTCCACCACCAGCCAGAGGTCCGGTACCTCCACCGCCAAGGGAGCAGCCTCAGTCTGCACCACCACCACTCCCTCCAAGTCTTCCACCAAAAGTGCCTGGTCCGAGTGCAGCGGCGCCGCCACCGGCACCGCCTCCACCTCCTGCCATGTCTCGACCAACTCCCGCGCCTCCTCCGCGGAGCACACCTCAGCCACCAGTTCTACCGCCGAGCGCACCCGCTCCACCCCCTTTACCTCAGTCATCGGCACCACCGCCACCTCCACCACTGCCTGGCGCCGGCTCTGGTCCTGGTGCACCTCCTCCGCCACCACCACCTCCCCCCTCCGGATTCGCAGGAATTCCTCCGCCGCCGCCCCCACCTCCTCCACCCGGAGCTGGAATACCAGCAGCACCGCCGCTACCGCCTCCCAATCGCGACTCGGGCTATTCATCTGGAGTTCCACCTGGAGTTCCAGCTGCAGCCGTTGCCGATACTGGGCGCTCTGCAATGCTTGAAAGTATCCAAAAGGCCGGTGGAATTGGAGCGCTCAAAAAGGTGGATAGGTCTCAAATCAGAGATAGGAGCGCGGCTCCAGTTGGTGGAGGGGCAGATACGGGACCGCACGGTAGTGGACTGCCACCCGCAGGCATTGCCCCCGGAGGACCCGGAGGCGGAATGGCCGATGCTTTGGCTGCGGCATTGCAGAAGCGGAAGGAAAGAGTTCGTGATAGCGGTAAGTTCCTATTTATCCCAATACAGACTAGTGCTTGGAGACTAACGGCTGCGAAGATGATGAGAAGAGTGATGATGAGTGGTAGAGCCATATTCATAAGATTCATCCAGAGGAAAGCACAAGTTATTCGATTATCATGGGATAGGCTGGCTTATGAGTATGTAGCCTGAAAGTGATGAGAAGAGAATGGAAGTAGAAACGCCTGCTTGGTCGCAGTTATTAAGGCACCCCAGAAAATGAGGATTCTATAAGTAGCGGAGCTTCATCCGTTGGTTATCAAATAGGTTGCGAGAGAACTAGACGGACTTAACAGGTGGGTAACTAGCCGACCCTCTATTTCAAGAAACAGGCAAAGCCTTGAAAGCTGTTTATATGCAAACAAATATGTACAACTAAAACCAAGCATACAAGGCGGAAAGGAGGGTGGTATTCTGTTCATTATAGCGGAATCGATTACTACACCCGAGTGAGGGCGGAGTAAATAAGGTAGCGGTATATCGCTTAGCGGATTGGGGGAGCAAAACTTATAGGGACTTGGGGCCTGTTGTCGACGTCTAAAGAGCCTGCACGCAGAATGAGGATATAGAATATGGGCACGAGTACGTCGAACAGGTCCAGGTAGTCGGGGTTGATTGTTTATCAACTATTGACTTGAAGCTCTGAGCTTGGTATAGTTTTGGAATAGAAGGAATTAGAGAATTGATAGGCTTAGTTAACTACAAACCATAAAAATGAGTATCATATCAAATAATTGCATCATGTCACGAATAATTGCCCAAGCGTAGAGTATGTTGAGAAAGGAAGCATATGTATTGAACGCTGGCAACGAACTGACTTCGTATTGGAAGCCATGCCCCGCAACGCAGGTTCATTATGATTATGCCATGATTCTGTAATCACCCTTCCTGTCTTCATCAATGCTAAAACCACCGAGAAATAGACTGCAAAAAGGGAAAATAATATCCGTAGTAGCGAACAAAATAGTCGTCGTATCTAAGTTGCCAAACGGCAAAGGGCCATGACGTCTCTCCCACCATGTACCCTGCCGCTTGCTTGCCATCAAAGCCGCACCACCCGACTGTCGTGGAACCCAGACTACATGGTAGTAAGTACGATCCGGGTTTGAGAGAGAAGACAGGCTTTTCCTCTGGTCTTGAAGTTGCTATGAGGTAGGTTGTAGGGCGTAGCGGAACCAGAAGACCAGGTGAGTGATACTTCCCCATCCAAGCAGGAAGGGAGAACTAGATGTCGTCAATGTCGACCTCCTTGCCGCCAGCACCTACTTCGTCGGATTCGGAATCGCGGTCCTCGTCGAACTCGAAGCCGCAATCGCCCTCGTCGTTGGGGCCGTAGGTATCTGTTTCGTTGATCTTGGCACTCTCGGGTAGTTCGCCATAGGCTTTTAGGGAACGGGCCTCATCCGCTGAGTACTTGAGGATAACGTCGCCTTTCTCGTCCTGGTAGTCTCGTAGGGAGAGTAGGATGATGTCACCGTTGTTGATCCAAACTTTTTTGCGCAGTTTGCCACGGATATGTGCTAGTCGCTTTGCGCCATCAAAGCACTGCGCCTCGAGACGACCGTTGCCAAGCATCTTGACTACCTGAGCGTATTCTGTTTCATCATTGTTAGAATCCACTATTTTCTTCTTCTTTTATCGCGGGCTTTGGTATGTGATAGGAATGTAAGTGGTGATGGGGAATCAGATATGCGACGTACCTTGTCCCTCCTCTTTGAAGGTTAACTCGCGCTTTTCGTTGTCGTTCTCGTTCTTTCCACGACGACGATTCTTACCTCCCTATTGAAGAAATGTTAGTTTTAATCGAATATTTGATATTGCGACGCGAGATAATATAATGAGGGGTATAAATGTTGAAAGTGTGATGGGTTTGTCAAATGACTTGGTATGCCATTTCTCTTTGATAAGCACAGCAGACAAGAAATTCCATAAGTTCCCCTAATCCATGTCTATTTGAACGCTGGTTTTAGGGTAATCATTGTCTCTGGACGGGATCAAGTTCACAAGCTGACCACACATAAAGAGAAAATGATAGAAATTTAAGACTTGTGGCGGGGTTGATGTTGAAATATTGCACTCACCTTTCCCTTGTTCTTAGGCATGTTGACGGAAAATTAGGTAGTTCTCTGGTATATGTAGGATGAAATGGTATCTGATCTGTTATGTTTTGGTATTGAAGCTTGAAGTTGAGAAACTCGGAGTGGTAGTTGATTTACGTCGAATGTTGTCAAGGGTAGGAAATGCGTTGGTGACGAGGGGCACTTAAATAACAAATAGAAATGAATAGTGAGTAATAGTGGGGCAGCTTATTTCTTTCAAAACTTTACTGGGCAGATGTACGGTTAGTGGCTAATAGATAGCAGGTTTTTATTGGTTGCCTTTTTGCCAGTTTAAAGTGTAAATACGTAGATGTACTTACCGCAGCGGGACTATGTAGTTATATAGATTTATTAAACAATGATTGTCCTATATTACAATCATTAGTTCATTACACAATCATTGTATAGGAAACAATAATTGTATAAGAAATAATTATTGTATAAGAAATAATCATTGTGTGGCCCGTGCACCACAAAAAAGGAAGAATTGAACAATGAGGTTTACGGATTACGGATTACGGATTGTGGATTATGTGCTACATACTACATGTTACGAGTTACGGACTTATTAGTTACCTATACATAGGTACAGTTGTAAAGCACGGATGTTTTAGCCTATTGAGATAAAGCTTAGTAGTACGAGCTAATCCTGATACATACTAAATAAGTCACAATAATTGTTACCCACACAATGATTGTTGCCCCTCTTCTTATAAGTAATACCTTTTAAGCTAAGGGGAATTTCACAAGGCTGAATCATATTGAATCATACCTGTTAAAATTTATCAAAAACGCCACTACCTATAACCAACATAATACGGTTCACTAAAAGCTATGAGCCGTTTGATAACTCATCAGTTGGACGGGGGACGGCCTAGGTAAATCATGACAAGCTTGCATCTTGGCCGGCCCCTGGGAAAACTACGGCTTCCACATAATGGTCAATATATTTCTCTCCAAAGATGGATAAGCAATGAGAGAACTCTTACGGATGAGCGCCGCCCAAAACGCCCAAATCCAAGTACCTTTTCGAGTGGCTTGAGAGAAGCTACACCTGAAGGGGAAATCCAACCTGGTGATCATATCATTGCTTTCTGTAGAAAGTACCAAGTCTCGTTCCCTTCAGTCCTACGACGCGCCCCTGGAGTGAAATTGACGCCGAATCCGTTCGGGTTAGGTGTCATGATTTCTGAGAAGCATTGCTTCAACAAGCAGTCGCTGAGATACCTGGATAAATATGAACAGCCTTTTACTAAATCGGTTTTGGAAATGTATATTGCCCAGAAAAAGCAGCCTCTGTGGTATTCGGTCTATTCTGTTCCTATAACCTCGCCTCTTCCGTGCAGAGTAGGAGCAAGAAGAATACGCCATGCGTTTCGCGATGCATTAGCTGCTCACGGATATGACCTGGAGGGTAGAAAAATTACGACGGACGATTCTATTATTGCGGATTTGCATGGGACAGTGAGCATCGTTTGCGCAAATCCAAAGGCTGCTTGCAATCTGAAATTCCCAGAACTACTAAAGCAAGCGAACAAAATTGTGTATGCTATTGAACCTATACTCGCACGAGACAAACATGGCAAACGCATCCACGCAATGCAAAACTATCGACAACCCGAGAAACAGCACTCAAAATCGGGGTGGAAGTCGATGGATAATAAGAAGGCTAAAACACAATCCCACAGTCGTGCCAAATGGTAGCTGCTCTCAGCATTCATGAATACCTCCTAATATAAATGTATAAATATAACAAGGAATATATCAATATATCTTGATATATAAATGTTATGTCTTGAGAAATGAAAATCGCTATCACATGTTTTAATATTCATAGTTATATGTAAATAGTAGATATTCGCGGGGTATCGAAGGTTCCTTCTACATGCGATAACGCGTAAGGGGCCAAGTCCCGCTGACACGTCGAATTGGAAATCATGGCCCTAAATTTCCAAGAAATAAGGTACAAGCTCAGGTACAAGCTCAGGCACCTTTTCTAGGTTTTCTAGGTTTTTTAGGTACATCATTGATCTGTACCAACATTTGAAGTTCTATCCACACTACAAATCCACACTACAACTTTCATCGTCGACCTTATATTCCCACTTCATTTCGAGCCTCAAAAGCGTCTTTAGTGACAATGCTCGTTTCTCTTACCGTCGGCAAAGTTGATGCCGGCGTAACTGTTCTATTAACCCCCGATAAACGTTTGGTAGGTATAATTATCTACTCTTCTCCTTACTGTCGCAATTTATAATTTCATAACTCTTCAAGTTTAGAAATCCTTCTTACCCTTATACCTAACCAATTAGCCTATCTACTCTAATATCAGATCTAATGGAGATATCTAGATTGAATTCCCCTCAATTCTGTTACCCCCAAATATCGTTTCGGGTTCCATAGTCGACATCACTGTCTCTCGCAACAACGAATCTGAAGCTAAAGCAGAGGCCCAATTCTCAGCTCTTCAAGATCGCATATTCTCCTGCTTCGGCGCATCCGAACCTAGCACGCCTGTCCTTCGCTGCCGCAATGCTACCCAGACATCTGTAGTCCTCGAGTGGGACCCTATCGAACTCGCCACTGCCGACCTCATCTCCCTCTCCCTTTATCGCAATGGCCAGAAAGCCGGGAACATCCCTCGGCCCTTGCACATGCACAGCACCAAGATCAGCGGCCTTGCTGTCGACACCGAATATTCCTTCCATCTGGTTCTGCGCACTACCGCCGGTATAAACGCTAGCAAACAGGTCGTTGTCCGCACCCACAAAATGACCGACCTAAGCGGCATCACTATTACTACGGGTATCCTGCCACCTCACACGCGCGAAGAGCTCACTAAAGCTGTCGAGCGCATCGGCGCTAAGATCGTCGATAGTGTGCGCATCGACACTACGCATTTTGTCACCACCGAAGGGCGCGGCGTACCATGGGAGAAAGCTGTCGAGATGAATATACCCGTTGTACGACCCGAATGGGTCGATGCCTGCGAAAAGAATGGTCGCATCCTAGGTGTCACCAAGTTTTATCTAGATGCCCCGAGACCTGCTCCTGTTGGAGGAGGGGAGGAGACGCAGAGATCAGCGCCGTCCCCCGCGCCGATACAACAGAACCAGAAGGACCTTCCGCCGCCGCCAGCCCAGCCTAGTAGTAATAAAGAAACAGAAGCCAAGCAGGACGAGGAGAAGAGTGAAAGCAGCGATGAGGAAGACGATGAGGATAAGACTGGAGATGAAGAGAAGGCAAAAGCCACAGAGGAGCAGAAAGTAAGGCTTGAGGATAAAGAGACCCAGAAGGTTGCCCTACGACCTGGAGGCCAATCGCAAGCCGCCGAAAAGGATAGCGAGGAGAAGGAGAGCGGGAGCAGCTCAGACGAAAAGGGGCCCGCGCCATCTCCCGGAGACGAGGCGTCTTTCCAAAATGTAGAGCTGTAGGTGCAGTTGAGACTTGAAATATAGCATGGAGTTCTCAGGGGTTTCCCAACAATACCCGGCCAGGTCATGAAAATGGTAGTTGTCAAGTCAAACTATTAATATACCTGTAGTTATAGTAAGAAGGATGTTTTCTTTTACGTCCTTTAAGATCATACTTGCCGTAGTTTTAATAATCCAAGAATGCCTTTGAGAGGCACGTTATTCATACTGGTGTCAGGAGATGTAAACATGGTGTGTAGTAGATTAACCAAACATCCATCAATACGTCATTCCTATTACGAATACCATGCTTTTTCTTCCAATGCCAACCGAAGTAAGCATCCATAGCTCGGTTTAAATAATCAAATCAAGTTCAGGGCAGAATCTCATCGCCTCGATGATCCCAGCAACGACCCCTATCCTCCCTAATCTTCCTCGTCCGCACCACCTCCAACATCCGCTCAACGGCGTACTCGGGGGTAAACAGCTGCTCCACCGGCACACGACCCCAGTACTCGCGGCTCAAGCCCGTCCGCACCGTTCCCGGGTGATACGCGATAGCCCCCGCGGCATCCGCGCACCGCGCCCGCAGGTGGAGATCGAACGTCTTGGTCAGGCTGTTTACCGCCGCCTTGGACGCCCGGTACGTGTACCATCCTCCCAGCTTGTTATCCGCCGTCGAGCCCACGCGCGCCGAGGCCGTGAGCCATGTTGCGTGGCTAAAGTCGGTGGAAGTGTTAGGGAATAGGGGCGAGGGGGATATCACGACGCTTTTCCGCGGGAGGTAGTTCCCGAACCATTTCATTAGGAGGAGGGGGCCGAGGGTGTTGGTTTGGAATGTGTGCAGCGCATGCGCGTAGTCGATGTCTTGGGGGCTTTTTTCTGGGTATAGGATCCCCGGGAGTGCGAACGCGAGACGGAGATGGTGCGTTCCTGGAGGGAATAGTCTGGAAGCTTCTGCGGAGGCGGAGCGTAGTGTAGATTCGTCTGTTACGTCTACTTGGGCTATGTGTAGTCTTTCAGCCGCCGAGGCTGATTCTTTGTTTTTATCTCCTGTAGATTCGGGAGGTGACGACGCATATAGATTATCTAGGATAGACGTCCGTACGCCGGATAGATCAGTCCGGGCCGTTGCAAATATAGGAGCGGTTGTTTTCCGGAGCAGGTGCCGCGTCAGGGCGTGGCCGATCCCGCGGCTTGCTGGGGAGACGAGAATCCACGGTTTGGACATTTAGTTCTCCTGTTCTCCTGTTATTATATCCTTTGACTAATTACGATGTATTTACAATTTGGTCATAAAAGTTGATTTTCATGAATATGAAGTTAATATGCATTAATGGTGATTCATCACTACCGTCACAATGTAAGATTGATCTGTCAATACCGTTCCAAGCTATAGTAACTCGAGTAGTTACTCGAATACCACCTTTTAGTTAACTCCTACATATGAGGTTTATTATCTCTAATATATCATTATATAATGCACTGGCAATGTAGTCGTGTCTCTTATAGTGGCCAAGTCCAATATTGTATCGCTATAGTACTCATGGCATGACACGGGCGCATATATGGAAATATGAGTATATGGAAATATGAGTCAAAAATCTCGGGGTTTATTTATAACTATCCCGCTGATCATACCTTTGATATTTCAATACTTCTCCCTTCTTATTGAGGGGATGAGAAGACAAATGTGAGTCATAGGGCTGATTTACATACCAGTTACTAGCCATGGCAATACATCGTATCCCTAAGCCTATGGGGAAAAATTACGATGTGATACCCCGATATATTCTTGGCAGCACAGTTGCGTATATATGTAGATAGCTGACATCCAATTCCCTAATCTAGTGCAATGAGGCTCAGTTAAATATATATCAACCTGCCAAGCCTATTCATAATTCACTTACATTAATATTCGTGCGGACTTGATTCAGCTATGGCGTCCGATGGAAACGATATCGCCTCCTCTATGAATCAAGCAAAGATCAACGTGACATTGTCTGCATCTTCGACACTGTCTATCAGCGATCCCAAGGCAGAACTTCAGTTTATACTGAACCTCCAAATAGTCACGTCGGCACGGGAGGGCCATCCGATTACTATCTGTACCGATTTGTCTGCCTTTGATGTTCTGGATGAAGGATGTGGCCTAATCGATGTGCTTGCTCGCGGTGCTTTTGGGACACTTCGTAGCGTCTCTGGCGATGCTACTAAGAATATCTCACTTGGTTACTTCCACGTACAATATTTTACTGATAGTACATCTTCAGACCTGAAGGAGCGTGATAAGCGGTTTGTCACAATTCCTGGTGACGGATCCCCCGTAACGGTTGTCCATAGGCTAAGCTGGGAACGCATCTTCAAATACGCAGATAGACGTAAAAGGGATGACCTAATTCCAGGGGAGAGATTCAAAATCGCCATAAACAAGCGCTTCCTCAGGTCTAACTGGTGGTGTTGGGGCGACCTCGAGTCGGACCTGAAGAACAAGCATTTGCATATCTGGCACGCCGGTCGCTATACGGGGCCGAAGCCAGACGATGACGAGTTCAAGGATGGAAGTTGGGTTTTCGGCGAGGATCCGCAGTTGTTGACCTGGGAAGATGTCACTGAGGGTCGAGATGTGAGTTTTGAGATAGTTGAATAGCCGGCCTACATAAGAGCGAAGAACTTAGCCCTTTATGAAATCGAGGAGGATAAACCCCGAAATGCTAAGACATATGGTAATTAACTCCCATTATGCGGAGAATAATATAAGAAGATACAGGGATAGCGATGTTTTCTATCCCTGTGGACATCTCGGGGGCTTCGAATTAAACCTAAAATTGATGCTCTCTCAGTTTGACATAACAATGACTCGTCCAACTAGGGGCAAAAGCCGTTAGTTGAATGCCTTGAAAGTATTTATTTAAATATTCCAATCACCGTATGGAACGGGATATCCAGTCCTCGAGGCCGCTAGCTAGTCAGCTACATAGTCTGGCGTACGGACATAGCAGTCAATATTTCTCGGGAGTGGCTTTGGACAGTTGACACATGTCTAACATGGATATAGGTTTGAGTATTTCCCGTAATAAATCAATTCAAATAATATCAGTTGAAAAAAGAAAGTCGAACGCGTGGCAAAAATCAGAGTTACTAGCATGCCAATCTCATTCACACTCTTATAAAACATGTTACATACCTCGAGGATATCCTCGAGTCACTTAGCTACACTTAGAAATACGACGTGTTGTCTGGTATCATTTATCATGTCTAAAGTTCTGCTTCTCGTCGAAATCTATTCTACTTAGGACGAGTGATAAAAAAACTGCCATGCATTCACCCAGGTCATAGCCTGTAAGTCATAAACTCAGTTATTATACTTCTCCAAGTTGGGCTAGCTAGTCTTTATATCCATATGTCGATCAACAAGTTGCGAGACAGGCTTCTCTTATTGCCGACCATGTCTAACTCGGATGAATAGTGAATTGAGTTTCTCGGCCAAGTTGCCGAACTCTACCATTTTCTTTAACCCATCATTTAACTGGAGCTCTTTTCTTATTTGTTAGATTCTCGTTCTAACCGTCCGTACTTATCCCTGACTAAGTCCTTATTTGTCCTCTTAGAGACTGAAAGAGGCCTCGTACAATGTACGGGGTTGCTCTACGTGTCGTAGTCTTTTTTCTAACCCCCTCGTGAAGACTATATACGAGCTAACCTCGAGAGAGATTCTTTTTGATACCAACTTTGGTTCGATGATAGCCAAAATTGTACAATACCTGATTCTGATGCTCTTTGTCATGTCACTGATACCGGGGGCGGGAGGAGTTGAAGTAATTGCGGCGTACATTGTCACTACTTTACACATGAATGATAGCGTCGCTTGAGAAATAGAGTTTCTGCCATCCTGTCGTCTCCGCTCAAGGATTTTATTATGGAGAGCATCTTCTTAAAGTCAATTAACTTGGGGATTCTTGTGGAAAAGGAAATAGTGGTCCAAACAAATCATGAAGTCGTTGGAGACTTGGCAGCGTCCCATCCGCCATCTATCGTATCTATTGTTCACTCTGGGCCCGACTTGAGGAGGGGAACTACAATTCACGAGGCGCATGAGAGACCATCGTCTCGTCCTCAAGGCAAGATGGTTCCTCGTCCTGACGTCAGGGAGAGAGAAAATCCTGAAGAGGGCCTTGCCGACTTTTTCCGTAGGGACCCCCCTCCAGGGAATTTTATGTCGATACCCGACGATGTGAGCGTTTATTCAGTCCATAAGAAATGGGATATGTTTAAGGTCTTTGGGAAAAGGCGAAAGAGTCGAAAGCGCCAACCACCGATTATTAGACTTCCGGATACAGCTATTTCTGCTAGAACTATTAGCGGTCACCGATACATCGCCATATCGGTTCCTTCCGGTAATTCGCATTCTGAATCAATTCCTACCCAGGAACATTCAACACTAGGGTCTATTGGGGCAAAGTCTCGCCAGGGAATTGGATCAGAACATAGTCCGACGTCTGGTCATAATATCCAGGTCCAGAGGCCTGTAACTAGGGATCGTGAATCACAATCCTCAGTATCGCTGGCGCCAATGTCATCGAGGCAACCAGAGGCATTCACCTTGCTTGCGCCTCCTCCTAGAAAGGTGTCTGTACTTTCAACGGTACCATCGCAAGAAGAAACCCATTCTGCAAAGGGAAAGGAGCCAGATAGGCAGAATAAGCTCGAGAGCAGTATATTGAGTAAATTACCGATAAGTCCTTTGGGGGCTAGGAGAACGACATCTATTGCCGAACAAGCATCTAGGGTGCTTACAAGAAGCTTAGAACAAGAAAGTGAGCATCAGATGAAGGCGCCAAACCTTGGACAACTTGAAATTGGGACAGTCCCTCAGATAGTTGAAAGCCCACCTCAGAAACAGACTATGCAAGAATCTGAGCAGAAGCAACTAGGACCAACTAGCGATAGCTCTATGGCGAGAGACAGGTTTAGGAAAGCCGAAAAATCTCATCTTATTCCACGTATTCTCTCGGCGAATCTGTTATCCATACCAGCTTTGCCGGTACGAACTTCCAGCAAAAGAGCAGTAACAACAACAAAAACATCTGAGCCTAGTGGTATTGACAATGATGCTGTTGGTAGACCGGCACTGATCAGTAGAGCTACCACTGGTTCTAACGGCGGCGGCAGCGGAAATGGGGTTGCAACCGGACCTCGTGGGTCGTTTGCTGAGAGTTTAATGACGGAATCTTCACCAAAGGTGTTAAAAGCAGAGACAGCCACGGCATACCAATCCGTCCCTATAGTAGTTCGTCCGTCTTCGAGGCCTGAGATTGACTCTCCCCTGAATCTGAACTTCCCCTCTCCACCTACAAACAGAGTTAATCGCTCGGTGCAGGCGAATATTTTACCTCCCGCCACATCTGAAGAAGCTACGAGTCGCAAGGATCGTGTTAGGGAGCGAAAGAAAAGGGATATGGAGAAGTTAAAGACCCAGATGTATCGACCTCCAGCGTCACGTCTTCTCCGGGTTGAGCCACAAGCCGAAAATGTCTGGCCAGAGTCTCCGGTGCTTGGCCGGTTTAACCCAGACCTAGGTTTGCCGCCTTCTAGGCCGTATTTAACAGGGAAAATGTCAGATATCGGCCCTATCAGACCTGGTATTCAACTAAAATCACCTTACTTATCAGCAGAGACTGTTGCGAAGAAGCGACGTGGGAGAAGTATCAGTGTCCCGATACTAACTAGTTTATCCTCTCCATCCTCCCCCTTAGACTCCTTTAGAGCACCTTGGGAGGATAACACATCTTACTATCGCCGAAGAGAACGGCAGGCAGAACACGAAGAGGCAGCAGCAAGGAGGACACGATATGCAGCTCACGCACTGGCGGAGCAAAAGGAGACCTATGAATGGGTGATGCGACAGAAGCTTCTAAGACGATACGAAAAGCTAAAGGAAAGTCGTACAAAAGACTTAGAGAAACGACTGCGTCGCGTAGAACGGAACGGGGAGGTCCTCATGCAGACTTTGGTATCTCTGATGGAAACTCTTAACACATTGTTGCAAGACCGACGCGCCTTACAACGCAGTGTTTCCTCGGCATATCCTGAACATTCGCAGCATCAAAAATTAACCAAGGGACGCGCTCAACCCTTAAGGTCTGTACGCAGCTTCGACAATTCGATCCCAACGCTATGGCCACAGCAGAGCAGAGGAAGGGAAGAGAGCGGCGAGGTGGACACCCGCGTACGTCAGTCGACATTAGAAGCACTACAGGCGCAGTTGCAATCCCAATCTCGATTTCCTCGTAGCACTCGAGCCCAAGGGCTTTCGAGCTACTCTAGCAGTATTAGCAATACTCATAGCGACGAAGCAAGTAGCCTCGAGATCATGGAGCCGCTTATGCGCGAACTCCAGGAAGCAGCAGGGTACGGCGTCGAGCGACGCCAGGGGGGAGAACGTGTGGAAGAGGGTAGGGCGCCTCTTAGCGAGAGCGAGGTCTTTAATCTTTTCTGATTTACCTAGGAAATTCGTTGGTTTATACCCTCCCTTTATATTTCATTTGTTTTTATCCAAACTATACTCTACCCAAACTTGGCCATGGGTGTCTTTTATGTATACAAGATCTAAGAGCTAGGATAGTGTATGGATAATACGTTCCCAAGGATAATACGTTCCCAAGGCAAAAGGAGGTATCTGGAGAAGGGATGGTTTACGGAATTATAAAAAATATGTACCTAAGTTGGCTGGCTATTTATCATTGGATTGTACGATCCTTGATCTATCCACGTATTTATTAACCCTCGTAATTCAAGTACGTCTTGCAGCATTCCGTGAGTAGAAATGGATATTGCTATAGTGTAGTTGTTGTACAATATAGGTATCTCTGGATAAAAGTGGGATGTTGTATCAAGAAGTATATAATAGGATAAGGCTATCTTTAAGTGATATGGGATGGTCGCCTGTTATATTACGCCTGTGTGGTCTGTGAAGTATATTGGTGGCCACACAGATTAGCGTGAAGATTTACACGACTGGATGGGTACATGTAATAGAAACAGTATATAATGAGGATAATAGACAAAAGAGACAAGAATAATTGAGGAATTAATGGGAGGTCAACAGTAGGAATTTACTGCTCTAAATTGTAAAATACTAAACCATCGAGACGGAGAATATCACGCGTAAGTTGTCACAGACGACCATAGACTAGACTACCTAGTCTACTTACCTAGGTTAGCCCTAGTCTTAAATCGGGCTCATCGTAAATATTTAACGACTTGAGGTGCCTAGCCCTGGACTGAGTCTATGAGGGCGACCTCGACTACCTAGTCTAATCCTCTCTATGAAGTTGTGTCCTGTATCTCGTTTAAGACGTGATACCCGGGTATCAAAAGAGCCGACCAAGGCTACCCAATTAAAGTCTTTGAAGAGAAGAAGGAATTGTGCTATCTACAATAAGTGGAATAATCCAAAGCCGTACGCCGTGGGAATGCGTTTAGATGTTATTAGTACCTGTGACGCCTTCTCTGCAAATATAAATGCATCCCGCCTATGAATACTATCGAGGTCTATTAGGTTTACGTTTGATGAAAGGATCGGAAGTCGGTTTTTTTCTTGGTGGAAGCGGTTTGGGTGGTACAGAACTAGATGGACCCTGGCAATTATTGTTAGCTAAAGAAGGGGCAAAACGACGATATTACAAACCTTGGGGGCATTCGGGGGCCCAGGAGGGGGGTTGCGCGTTATTGGAGGGTGTTTGGGGGGAATACCCAACACGGCCATTGCCGATGGATCTTGCGGTTGTGGCATTGCTCGAGGAGCACTTGGTGGAGCTCTTGGTTTAGTTTCGCTGGCAACCTGTGATATTATAATTTAGTTATATGTAAGTGTCTCATTTTGTTCAGATAATTTTACCCTCTTCGGTGCTTTGCTATCTTCACTACCTTCTCTGGGTCGTTTTTGACCTGACTGGTGTATTATAGGACGTTCAGAAGAACGAATGACAGTAGAGCTCTCGCCGCGTTCGTTAAGTCCGCCAAATCCTTTTTGCGCTGAATTATCTATCGGTCCACTTTGTCCTTGTCGCTCGATAACAGTATAGGTCTGTGGCAGCTGGGGTGTTTGGTGCTTCTTCTTAGATAATCGATTGAAAGGTGCGGCATCTTCCATGATTACATCTTGATCATTAGCCTGCGTGGACTTCCTTGTTGCATTAGTATTCTCGACTGCCGCTTCCCCGGAAACTTGAGAATCGTTGGACTGGGGGGCTGATGGCATTGGCGCGGATGGAATATCAAAGTTAGGAGGTGGTAATTGGGCCCCGGGCTTCCTAAGCAAAGAGACAACATCGCCGGCGGTATAACGATCTCGAGCTTTGGCATCTACAATGAGCTTGTTCCAGAATTCTCCCTGAACTAGAGCTCTTGAGTCTCCTAAGATGAAAAGTGACGATTTTGCACGGGTTAGACCAACGTTCATACGTCGAATATCCGTCATGAAACCAATACCACCTGTAGGACTGGCCCGAACACACGAGAAGATGATAATCTCACACTCGCGACCCTGGAAAGCATCAGTAGTGTTGAACTCGATTTGCTCTTTGACCTTATCTCCGTATCGGCGAGAGAAGCGTTCACGGAGCTCAAATAATTGAGCCTTGTAAGGTGTGATGATTCCAATTTTCCCCTTAAAATCGATTGTCGAATAATCCGCTATTAACCTGTCATATAACTGCATAGCAACTTTGAGCTCTTCCAAGTTGACAAGCGATTGACCTTTACGACCCTTCTCTTGGATACCCTTCACATCGAAGAAACGGTATGGACCTAACAATGCACTCTGGTGCCACGGTTGGTGTCGGAGTTTCCTCATGTCATCACCGTCTATGAGACGTCGTTCATAGAATTCTTGACTAGGGAATAGACTGATTTCTGGGTGCATACGGTATTGCGTATCGAGTAGATGAACATCGTCGGGATGATTACGCTGCATACGAACGAAAAGACTTTGATCATATCCATATCGCGCAGCAGATTGTGACAGCACTGTTGGCGGAAGTTGCTTTGGGTCTCCGACGAGGATGCACTTGGAACAGCCGTATTTTAAGGGAATTAACGCGCTCAGTTCAACGCACTGAGCCGCTTCATCAATGATCACTGTCTCGAACTCGACTTGTAGATTCTTGAACATCTCATGCCCGCTACCGCTGAGCGTTGCGCACAGAACTTGAGCCGAGTCAAGAATCTCCTGCTGAATTTGGCGCCGTCGGATTTCGCTCTCTCTCGCAGCTGTGTTTCCACTATCCTTGTCGGCATCGATTTTTGCACCAATTTGACCCTGGCGGCGCTTTAGCTCATCGAATTTTCGCTGTAATTGATTAATCTGCGTGCGATCCCCGACAGTCCTCGCGGCCTCTAGCTGCGGTCGTAGATCAGCCAGCTCCGACTTGATCTGCCCGGCTTCTTGGTGCATCAAATCCCGTGAACTAGGCCCATTATTCTGATTCGCAGCGCCCTCTACGCGAGCTTTAACCATCTCGTCCAGAGTGACATCTCTTACAGCCGCATTTATGGCATCACTACGACCCAGACGTAAGATATTAATCTTATGTAATAAACCAGTAGTAGATTTAACGCCATTCTTGAGACGCAAGACCAATTCATCGACGGCAGCGTTACTTGGGGCACAGACTAACAACTTTTTCGCCATCCCTTTATTACTTGTTGAATTAATCCCTCCGGGTCGTTTGATAGCCGTGCCGCTGGTCGTAGAGAAGCTGCCCGTCAAAAGGGCGCCTACCATTGCTACTATTGTTTTTGTTTTACCTGTTCCCGGTGGACTACATTCAATTAGCTGGGCTTCAAGTACGATTATTTATTGTTCTCGGTGCTTACCCTTGAACAAGTGTAAATGCATCGTTCTCTTTGGCATTGAGAATTGCCTTTGCCTGACCAGGATTCAATTGATAGTTCTGCATGACCTGGTCAATAGCATCCTGGCCAAATTTGAGCATAGGTGAAGGCTTGGCATCTAGCACTTCTGGCATCAAATCATAGTACTGAAGACTTTCCAGAGAAGCATATTCACGTTCAATCGTAGTCATGTTAGTAATCTTAACAGCGTAGAGTTCAGCCTGAGGCATCATAGTAGATAATATAGGACCCGCCCGGCCGCTCAAGCGGAACTGTACTTCCAAATTGCCGTTTTTAAACTGAACACGCCAGATTCGTGCAAGACAATGTAGCTCATCTGTTGCTTCTAATGGGTTCGAAGCATGTGAAAATAATATGATATCCCCCTCTGATAAGAATCTGTCCTTATTTTCGGTTATGGGCATGGCTGTGCTGACTTCGACAAATTTGTCGACGTTCATCCGATTGACAACCTTGATGCCAAAAGGTTTTGAGGTTGCTTCGTCCTTGGCCGTTACAAAAGATCTCCAAGCTTCGTTGATGAGAAGCGGTAAGAATGTTTCCTTGTACTTCCGCGGATCTTCATATGAATCAGAGACCTGAGAGCACCTTATACCATTCGGAGGGTCATTGCCTTCATGGAAGATGTCCCATTCGAGGATGGCCTGATGTAGCACGTCCATCGGAGGGATTAATCGCGCCCGCATGTCCTTTGCAGAACGCTGGATTTTTACCTTCTTCACCGGCAGGCGGACATTGGGTTTCACAAATTGCCCACTCTTGGTTGTTTTCTGCCCTGCAGCAGACCGGGCTAAAAATTCGGCATCGTCATCTGAATCCTCCTCATCTTCCGAGGAAGAGTTGACCATAATCTCGCTTTTCTGAGGTGCGTGGTCTTTGCCGTGTACACCAGAAACCCCCTGAAGGCCAGACCCTTCGCCACCAACAAGCGGCTTAGGAGTTCGTAAAGCCTTAGCTCTGGCAACAATTTCAGCGTTTCTCTTTTTCTTTTCTTCGGCCTCCTTCTGACGCTTTTCGCGGATAGCTGCCACATCAACTACTGGGGGTTTTCGCTCCGCTTGGCGGGCTCTCATCATGTCCAATGTAGCCCGGCTCTTATCTGAAGAAGAGGTTTTGAGTAACTCACGGATATCATCCTTGCTCGATCTGACTCGTATCTTCTCCCTCTGAGGACCACTTGACGCCGAAGTCTCAGGGCTTGACTTTGACCAAGCATCAAGCTTAGTTTGTCGTCTAAGAGGCTCGCTCTTCCGAGCTGAAATAATCTGGATGTCATCTTCTTGAGTATCCTCTCCCAGAGCTCTTATCAACTCAGCCCGTTGACGTTCATTCATGTTCGTCTGAGTATTATATCTTCCATCTTTGTTTTTAATGCAGGTGTTCTTGACGAATGCTAGAGCCTGAGAGGGGAGCTCCATGTCAAACTCTACCAGTCGTTTCATGAGTTTCCCAACGACACTGACGATTACCGTCACTAGGTACAGATCTTTCAAGCGGAGCATCTTGCAAAGCCCTAGGCAGTATTTGCGCGGCTGCTCGAGAATATCCCTCATGGCTTGCTTCTCAGGCTGTTCGCTGTTATCGATTGAAGCGGAATGGGCAGACTGGGGGCTCAGTGCGGAAGCTAGAAGACCATCCTGGGTTAAGAGAGCCTCGGCAAGTTCCATAGCTTCTCGACAAAAATTCTTCATGGTTTCCATATCAATCAATCGGCTCCAGTCTTCCGTCTGAGTGAAGGCGTTGTCAAGAAATATCCATTGTGTGTTCCACCAATTTCCAAGAACTTCGCGTTCTGTGTCTGTCAAATCCTTTGATCGGAGTATGCCAGACGTTGGATCACAGAGACTGCTAAGTATATCTCTCGAATACCGAATAATATTAAATTGTGGCGACCAAAGGGACATCTTCTCGTTGACATCGTTGACAACTGCCGTGTAAGAAGATAAGGTGTGCACGAAGTAACCTTCAAGCAATTTAAGTACGGCGTCCGTTCTTCTTACCTCGCCGGTGACCGTCTTAATAAAAGAAGCACCAGCTGTGCTTATAACCTCTTCTCCATGAACGAGAGCCGCCACGATGGGTAAAATCGTAGAAGTATCTTGACAAAGATCTCGAAGCGCATATTCACTGAAGTCAGCCAATCTTTCAATAGCCCGTCCAATAACTTCAGCCGTCTTCTGGAACTCAATATTAAATTCCTTTTTAGTTGGCGATAGAGATTGTCTCTTCAGCGGCCGGAAAATCTCCACGGCAATTAACGGACCTGTGGCAACTAACATTGACCTGGCCAAGTCATCTGCGCCGGGTTGGAGGATTTCCAAAAATGCCTCCCAAATCCCCGACGAATTCCGTTTGACCTCCCGTTGAACATGACTATCACTATTCTGGAGTGCGTTGAACTCTTCGACGGTGATACGAGAATCTAGGGCAAGGGCAAACCTAATTACAGACAAACCAACTTGTGACATGGCAGCATTTTGCCGGTCACCGGAGGGAAGTTGGGCTAGCTGCATGATCAGATCTTTATATTTTAACGTAAGATTCAAGGCCGTATTTGTGTGAATGGTAGAAGAGCCAGCGTGCAACTTGTAACTTGGCGAGACGAATGACTCCAAAGTAGATGATAGAGCTTCAACCGCTGCGAGAGTACAAGCTAGCTTGCCTCCGGGCGTCATATCAGGATCCTGTGCATACCTCTGGAGAAAGTGATGCAAAAGGGAATCACAAGCATCGCTTTTTTGATGCGTAGGAATTGATTCTACGAAAGGCTTTACCCAAGAAATAGCCGCGGGACCTTCCAACATCAAGTCATGCTCCCCAGATTGGGTGAGCAGTGATCTGAAGGCAGGGCTCCCCAATATCTGTTCAGCAACAGCCGTGTGAGAATAATGACTATACGCATCCCAAAATGCTTTAGGCGACTTTCGTATTAGGGAACAGAAGGCCTTCAGCAGTACTTTTAAGACCGAAACCGAAGTAACTCGAGGCATCTGGGCTAGCATTAAATCGTATATGCTCGGCTGAACGGACATTGCTCGCAGAGAATGGAACACAAGATTCTCATCGAGGACATTGAGGATATGGAGAAAGCCTTGCCAGAATCGAAGCAGGAATTGGGGAGATGCATTGAGGTCATTTGCTCTTAAAATTGCATTCACCAAGTTGTCGTGAATTGCCCATTCGAAGTCCTCGGCGGTAATAGAAGGCTGTCGAGAGAATGTGTGGACAGCAAATCTATTACGAATTTCATTCTCGTCGAAGAGAAAGAAGGTCATTGTCGGTAGGATCTCGTCTAGCTTAAGGATCTTTCGTTTCTGGATGGATTCGAACACATAATTGAATTGCTTTCGGTTTTCCGGCAAGCTCAAGTATGGCATGCAGCAAATAGCTTCATAGAGAGATATAAGGAGCTCCTCTTTCTCCTCCTTGAGGAAAGTACTTTGGCCGGCTACGCCGTTGTGGGCATTGATAAATTCGGCGGCGGCTTCGAGGCCCTGGGTGATGCGGCTGAAGTCGAATTGATTCAGGCGGTCTTCCATCTCAGATACGACACTGTCGTCGTATCCCCTACTCTGTGGGTTAGTACGTCCCCTCCAAAGTATAATCGGAATAACTCTTACTGAGAAATATCCTTGAGAAAGGACTTGCGTCCCTTGTGCCAATTACGCACACAAGTTGGGCAGAGTCTCAGGAAGTTGTTAGTTCGTATCCCAAATTCCTGGCCTAGATCCCCTGCCGAGTCCTCAGCCAACCCTAGTACCAACGAACATATGTATGTCTGGTTTAACCTTTCCTTGCCCTCCTCGATCCTATCCTGCTTCTCGGCGGCACTGATTTTGCTTGGCGCATCCGGATCGTCATAAATCTCGTCATCTTCGTCTGAAATCTTTGGGCAACATAGGTGGGAGGTTTCAGGGAACTTGCGGAAACTATCGAAAGCATCCACAAGCGCTTTAGGGACGGACATGTTGAAGTTTATTGGGGCATGTCCCTATGGACCCCAAATCAACGTCGTGAAGTCCAAGTTTTGCTACTATTCGTTATCGGTTTTCTATCCGTTTCAGTAATTCTCGTCTAGGGCTAAATGGCAAATGCTTGGTACTTTTGTTGCGTTAATGGGATTACGTATATTGAGTTTACGCGGGATGTTCGGGCTGTCTAGAAATAATAAGGAAGGAAAGATGACAAAGGAAAAGGTGCAAGTTGAATGAGAGGCTTGGTACAACAGATATGCTCCGCTATACGAGCAGACCTAGCCTCGCGCGTGAGAAAAGTTGAAAGAGAAGCGACGCTATCGCGTTGAATTGTAGAAAAGTGAGTAATATGCTTCTGGCGCGTGAAGTTTCAAGGAACATGCCAATGTATTTATCGATAAGAATCAATTACGCTAGATAAGGTAAGACCAAGGAAGGGAACGCGCCTTTCATGCATGGGGCCGGGGCTTATTTAATCTTGCTTACCTTACCTACTTAGGTAAGTACCTAAGTACCATTTACATGCCCTCAGAGCTTCCGTATTTGCTTTCAAGGACGTGATTGTACTCAATAGCATATCTCCTCAGTCATGTCATAAAATACACCAATTAGATGAGACATAAGCTAAAGTGATTTAAGTAAATCTGGAAGCCCATCGCATTTTCTGTCTAGGTAGCTAATTAGTTCTACTACATATACTGTTGCCCATGCTACAGATCTACAGATTTGTTGATTAAATCAATCCCATCTAACCACCCCCTGTAGCAAAACCATTAGCTACCTCTTCTATGATAGCACCCGCCTCTCTAGTGTATGGGGCACACCAATTCAGCGGGGAAAGCACAAGCTAGAGCCTTGGCCAAAGGCCATGCAAGTGCCACCACCACTAGTAAGAGTGTGCACCTGCATAAGCAGATAAGGTAGGAAAATCAGAAGCTTTGCGATCTTTTCTCCGCCACATCTTGCTAAACTAGGACTCGTCCATAGACTCTTCCAGCTTCTCTTGGTTTTGGTTTTTATCTTGTTCTTCGTCCTTCTGTTTACCTTTCTTGGCCGGCTTCGACTTAGCCTTTGACTGCTTCTTGTCGTAGCGATCAAGAAGGCTCTCCAAAGGGCACTCAGGAAGCATATCCCAATCCGCCGTCCCTTCAGCAGTGCTTGAACTACACTTGCCACAGCGTTGACCGTGTCGGATGAATAGCTGGTGCAAGCCATACTTAAGATGGTCTGGACAATGGACTTCGAGATGGCTGAAAACGTCCGTCACATTAGCATTTTTTGGTACCCATCCAAGCCACTTGGAAAATCGGTAGACATGCGTGTCGACAGCAATACAAGGTATTTGAAAGCAAAAAAGAATGACGCACGCCGCAGTCTTGACGCCAATTCCGGGATATTTCGTGAGTTCTTTTAGGATTTCGTGCTTTGATAAGCCACGAAGATGTTCAAGGGAGAGATCATCTCGATTTGTTGCCTGTGTCTCGGTGTCTTTCTGCTCATTCGTCTCCTTCCCTGCAGGTGTATCAGCTTTGATTTCAAGGCAGGCCTTGTGTCGTTCAGTATTTTCCTGGTATACTGTATCGAGGATGGCCTTGATATGCTTAGCTTTGATATTTGCCAGTCCTCCAGAGTGAATTGCATCAACCAAATCCTTGTAAGATCCCAGCCTGACATTGTTCCAGTTGATGCTTTCTTTTCCAACCCCCTCCTTTGATACGCCATATTTCTCAGCCAAGGGTATCAACGTCATGTCTATATGCTCTATTCTTGTAGCGCCACTCAAGAGGGTTCTAAGTAACCCATCTAGCACAGAAGGAACCTCACCACACCCCATTACTTCAAGCGAGGGGGTAGAGATGGCTTGAGGTGCCTTGACTTCACCATGTATCTTTGTGAGAAAACTGTGAACTTCTTCACATTGTTCGACGCTTGGTGCTAACCATTGGGGAAAAGGGCTCTCCCCTGGTGGCATTAGACCATATTGGTTGTCCTTCGTTTTCTTGGCTATACTTTTCAAATGACCCTCGCCTGTTTTTACGACCTGACTTTTCACCTTCTTTGGTTTAGGCAAGGAGGTATCGGGATCTAATCCTTCATCGGCTGTTGTAGGGCTGGGCTGTGATCCTCGCTTTCGCTTCCTTGGCGCTCCCTTATCACTTTGCTCACCAGCGATTTGTTCTACCACAGCAGAACCACAACTATCCGCGCTGATTTTAGGCACTCCAGATTCTAGCTTTAGCTTCCTTGGTCGTAACTGTCGCCCGGTATTTTGTGCGACGGCCGTCTCAATATTCTCAGTCTTACACTTTTCCTCCGCTGTTTTTGGCTCAGGGGCAAGATCTCCATTAGACTCCAGTATTTCGTCTATATCAACTTGTTTCGGAACCTTGATTTTGATAGTGATCTTACGCTTGATATTCTGGGATGTGGTATCGTCTTCAGCAATATCAAGCTGAGTAGAAGGGGTTACCAAGAGGGTGTTTTCCGCCACTCCTGATGGAACTTTTTCGGGAGTAGTGACTGCAGTCGCTGGTGTTAAATCTACGTAAGACAGTGGCTCACTGATTGAATGGGACTCCGCCTGAGACGATGGCTCGGCAATGGATGGCGTTGGAATAAGAGACTGTACATCTTGACTTCCAGCTGTTAGGGAAACACCCATACCATGTGGCAAGACACCCCATCCGCCTTTGACGGGCGCGGCATGGCCCTTTCGACCACGTCTCGGCATCCTATATAGATACTAGGTGCGGCTGTATACTAATAGGAGTACTAGCTATATCAGACAAGACGGCTAGTTGGGGTTTACGGGACAGTAAATTACGGAGTTGGTGATTGATATATGGCGAAAAAATAGGGATATGCTGGCAGTACTGCTAAATCTCAGTTACAAAGAGATGCAACTTTATATCGTTGACTATTGCTATGTCGGATCCTGTCGGCGAAGGAGCTATAATCAATAATGACATACGTCAGGAGGTATCGGCGACAGAAAACTGTAATTGATAGAGGGCAAAGGTATAGGATGTATGGTCAGAGGTTTCAAGTGATGTCGGCGATCAATAGTTATAGGTAAATACTAGAGTCTATACCTAAGATCCTAGCAGTATTGGCTGATTAAAAGAATATTGATTGCGCAGTATAGATTGTGAGTTAAGCGGCTTATCTTAGGCCTGCCGAATAATTGGGTGTCCTCTGGCGGTACAATTGTGTTAGTGGGTGTCGAATATTAAGGACGGGAATATCAATGAAGTACATGTATATAATAAGTAAAAAATATTAAATGCACCATCTAGGATATAAACTAAGTCAAGGAAGCAGCAGGAGGAGAAATTTCAATCTGAAAGGGGAAACCGTGCCCTATCAGAAAAGAGTGCTATAGTTGGCTACGACTACCTTGATAATTGGTACGTACCTACCTACCTTGAAACAATATTGAAGAACAGAGAAGTCACATCCCCATCAGACCTAGGAACTCAATTGAAAGCTTTATTTGGATATATCAGAGACTAAGCCAAGTCTATAAGTGCATATTTACTTGCATTTATATCGCCAATATAAATTTTGTGAATAATAAGAGTATAATATCTTCATGGTATAGTATAGTGGTTTTTATCAATGATAGGAACGGCATAGTCAATTGTTATATTAAAAACTATGATAACTACCTAGGTACCTAAGTAGATAACCTGGCTAATTTGTAATGACTTTGTTTAACCGAGGAGTGAACAAGAAGAATTAGGTACAGCATTCACTCACTATCCAATCCTGAGAGTCAACAATCTAAATAGCACTACGTCAAGGTAAATTGGCAATAACTAATGCTTGCATTGCATGATCAACTTGTAATAGAATCTCGCCCAGTTATCTATATCGTTTACTGAGCTGCTAACCCTATCTATCATCGTCGCTCAGGTTCAGTGGCCACGTTGTGGAGGCTAATATCTTCCCGAATTAAAGGTGAAATAGTACCATTTCTCAGCTTCTCAGCCGACTCCTTCTCGGCTCCTTGTGCCGTAACATGTAATGTTGAGCCATTCGTGTCAGTTAGGCTACCCCCTGCAACTATCGTTGGGCCACTGTTAGAAATTTGTGCATGTGTAGCATGCTTTCGTTTCGTGCCGCGCAATTGGTTCAAATGCTCGAAGTAACCTTCCGGGACCGGCGTAATATACTTGCCACAGAATACACCAACCTCAAATTGAGTAGGGCCATCTGGTTGTGCAAGTTCTGCACAGGATGCCTTGAGGTCATCGAGATCTTGATATATTACTTCCTCTGCATCAATACCTAAGGCTTAGGTTAGTATCCAATTCGAAGTAGATATAAGATTCAAATCTGTATTTTAAGAAGCTACGCGGGACATAGCGAGTTTCTGAACTTACTTTTGGCGATGGCAAAACGGTCTTTGCCGGAAGCAATCAATTCCATGGGACTAGCCAAGTCAACTGCACACACTCGGGTTAGTAAACCAACTACAGGTGTATGGACCATAGTTCAAGGCGACCAAAGACACAACGGGGTACGGATTACTTACTACCGTAGATGTGCGGTGCGGTGATAGGCGGAGCACAACTAGCAAATATTACTTTCCGCGCGCCAGCCTCTCGTGCCATAGCCACGATCTCCTTGCTGGTTGTTCCTCTTACGATCGAATCGTCCACAAGCAGAACACATCGTCCTTCGAATTCGGTTTGGATAGCGCTAAGCTTCCTTCTAACTCCTTTCTGGCGAGCTCCTTGTTGTGGCATACTATAAATACCTAATTAGCAACGGCCATTTCCCACTCAAAAAATAGAAACGATCGCACGTTGCAATGCTAATTTCATAATGACACGACAAGGGCTTCGAATCAATTAGGGAAATAAGGGTAACTGACATGAACGTCCTGAAAACATATCTGTTCTTGACAAAACCTTGACAGTAAGGCTTGCCCAGTTGTTCGGAGACGCTTGCAGCTGCCGTGTTCGATGTCTCGGGTATCGGAATAACAGCATCGATGTCTTTAATTGCTTCATCTCCAAGAAGCTCTCGTATTTTATCGGCTAGTTTATAACCCATTCGCTGTCGGGAAGCGTGAACACTGATGCCATCCATGACTAAGAATAGGGTTAGTTTGATAATGGACAAGGCGACTGTGAACTAACTCGTATCAGGTCGTGCAAAGTAAACCTGTAATGTAATACATATAGTTAGCAAAACCTCGCTGGCTAATTTAAATATACCACGACTTTTTAATACGAAGGGCTCGTAGGGCGAAAAGCCTTGGCTAGGGAGGGATGCCGACAGTATATAATATTGACATACATATTCAAAAATATCAGGCGAGTAAGCCTTCGGTTTTTGAACCTGGTGGAAAACAGGTGCTCGGCCCTTCTGAATAAAAACGGCCTGGCCGGGTAAGATATCTCGAATATTACGGAAACCAAGTTGGCGTAGGGCAATAGACTCTGATGCAAGCATATAATCTTTTGCACCTGGAAGAGTTTCTGACTCTTTTTCTCCAAGAACTAAGGGTCTGATTCCATAAGAATCGCGGAAGCCCAAAACACCGAATCCTGCAATCATGGCAGTACAAGCCCAACCGCCCTAATTGAAGTATTAGTATTTAATTAGATGAGACAGACTAGGACTTTAGCGGTACAACGCACCGAACAACGATCGTACATTCGGCCTAAGGAGGCTATAATGAATTAGCACTTGTTAAATATCCTAAGAGCATCCCCAATCCATAGTATAGGGTCTACATGAATGGGGCGCGACGGCAGACATGGGTAATGGGGGGAAATTGATGAATTTGCAAACTGGAAAAACTTACTGAATATGTCATCCGTGTTAACTCTAGCCTTTCCGGTTTCATTCAGTTCATTCGCAAACACATTGAGCATGCTAAACTCTCCTATTAGCCTTGACTGTTCTTGTGTTTTATATTATAAGCAGTATAACTAGAGTGCGACTATCGACTTACAGTTCGCTGTCGCTATCTGTGTTGATATGTCGATGGGCGACAGTGTCAAGATACCGACGTAACTCGGGGGCATTGATGAGATTTCCGTTATGGGCAAACTGTAGCATCTCTCATTAGTGATTGCTTTTAGAAAGAAAAAAAGAAAACAATTGATCGAGCTTGAGACAACCAGTCTTGTGTCTACAAGATGCTCTCAAATGCCCTAAGTAGAATATTTTTTTTGTCTCATGGAGGGTCAAATATGCTCAATATATTTCAAGGAGAGGAGCTTTAGAAAGATAACCATAGGAACAACTTACACATATGCCATAGGGACTGTTAACGTAAAATCTATTATTTGTTAGTACCCACATATAACCATATGTCTCCCATCACAAGACAATCAACGAGTTGATAGGGGGTATATGATAGAAATGAACGGATTGCATTGCAACATACTATTAACGTGTTAGCTCCCTTGACTCTCTACAAAGGTTCGGATGCCTTAATAGGAAGTAAATATAACTTGTTCAGTTAGAAGAGATCATTACTTACCGGTTGTGACTCGGCATTCGACGAAGTGCCTGCTGTTGGATAACGTAGATCTGGACGTTGAGTGTTAGCAAATATTTCGTTGTAAACGCTGCAAGGGGTAAGGGTGAAACTATCTTTTCGATAACTTGACTTCGATAGTTAAAAGATAGGGGCAATGTTCCTGATAATGAAAACACTTACGTCCAATACCCATCGAACCAGGCAAGTCCTGAACCCTCATGCCATCACCAAATACTTTGGCGGCCATTCCATTACCCTAGTATCGATGTTAGATAATGATAATGTTTTGGGACGAAATAACTGTAAGGCTTACCTTGCATTGGTATATGCGGCCGCCAGCGGCGCAAGTTGCTATACCGCATGCTAATAAGTGTTAGCTTATTTGTTGTCTATCATATCCCACTTGAATCTTAATCCTATCGATCTTGTTACAGGTGTTACTAACCATCTTGGCCTCTATGTTGCAAGAAGTACAAAGCCTCATGAAGCGCAACTGCAGCTTTGCATGGGGAATTGGGGTCGTCACTGACGTGACCCAAGATCAAGCCGATTACACCACACATGATTGCAGCTCAGTTTGCGCCAATAGCTATGCCTAATAGATATGTACCTGTTAGTAGGAAAACCCCAGTTATAGTACCATAACACCCTTCCGATGACGACACAACAGCAACTGTGCAGAGCAAAAAAAGGACTCGGACTCGATCTGCACGCCAAGGCGCATTCAGACCCGAGATTTACATCTATCAGTGCTGTTGTGTGTGGCCTCTCGAGATGTAAACATGGAAAATGATATGATATTGTTCAGAGTATGTTTATCCGCAGCATTGACTAGGCAGTCGAACATTTATAAAGAAAATAGCTCATCATAACAATATTTATGGCTTATCCTCGAAGGTAATGGCCTTGTTATAAGCCGTGATTGCTTCCACGTCTATTCCCATTCTTCCATGGTTAGATGGAATCTTGAATCAGGAGATCGGTGGGATCAATTGGCATCAAACCTCTCTACCAAATAGTAGGGCCATAGATTCGGAAGGCCATTTATATGATATAAAAAGAAGAAGTACCCGGTTAGGACTTACTTTGCTTACCTCGATTTTCTGGGCTGGGTGTATGGAAGATCGAGCTCTGGATAGTTGATCGCGGGGCAACGCCACGTAGTCGATTAAAGTGCTCGTCGTGTTACGCGCAATTACCGAGACTCGTCCGCGAAATGAATAAGGGTTGAAATTAAATAAGGTCTTGTACTCGTATGAGTTCAAGTTACTTGCCGATAATATGAGTGTACACCTTTGAATGGAAGTGCAGAAGCACTTGCACTAGAGAGAAAAAAGCGCGCGCTCAGCATCGTGATTTAAATCTAATAATTTTTTTTTCTTTCCTATCTGGGGAGATCTAAAGGTTTGCGACCAAAAAAAATGTTGGAGAAAAAAAGTGGAATGGCAGTTGGCGCCCTCAGATGATTGGATGTACCGGTTGCTAGTTTTTTCCGAACTCTAACCTCAAGCACTTGCAGCCCGTGCCACATGCTTTCCAGCCTCTATTATGTACCTAAAGCTCACCCAGGGTTCTGGAATTCCCGCCGGCTTGTCGGAGCAATCGGGCGCCCCGGAGAGGATTTGACGTTCCATTGCGTTAGATCCAAGTCTCTTTCATATGCACGTGGCAGCAATCATAGTTACAATTAAATTATGAAATGGTAGGTTGATTATCTGAGATGACAAATGATCATCTATTAATGAGATGCCGATGAGATATATCTTACCAGCTATGATAGCGTGAGCTATTTCTTCTTCTACGTTCATTCTTCTTTACATAATATTTTATGTAGTACGTACCTAAGGTACTGGTATCAGTCGTCTTCACGATATATAATAAGCATGAGCTAATTCGTTGTAAGCAATCTTTTGACTACATAACACTTCTCCATATTAGGAGAGGTGGCAAGGTGAAAATGCAATAGCGGAGTACGCGACTAACCCTATAGGGTCATAGTTCGTCCCATCGAGTCTCTTGAGAGTTCAGATTGAAGTTCGAAGTCAATAATCCAATACTCAGCAATTGTTAATTGCTTTGCAAGCAGAATATGAGACGTTAGTATTTATGCGTGCAAGGTCGCTCTGGAATTAAATATAAAGAATAAATATAACCCATCTTATATCGTTTGAAATTAACCATCATCTATATATATAACTACCTAACAGGTAACCTAGTAGGCAATCGAATTAAAAACTCGTTTCTATTTCTATAATCCAGACTCACATCGAGTTAACCCTCAGTATATGAACACTATTAAGAGCACAATGTCTAAAATGCTCTCGCATGCTAAAATCACTCCTCATCGGTCGGCTGCCCGTGGGCACTCGGATCATGGTTGGCTCAACACTTACCACAGCTTTTCGTTCGCCGACTGGTACGACCCTAAGTTTACGCACTTTGGCTCGCTGAGAGTGTTAAATGAAGACCGAGTCAAGCCGAATTCGGGGTTTCCAACACACCCTCATCGCGATTTTGAGATTTTTAGTTACATCATTTCCGGCGAACTAACCCACCGGGATAGTATGCTTCGTAAGGGTGCCGAGGGTGGGCAGTCGGACAAGTTTTATCGGATGGGTCGAGGGGATGTCCAGTTTACCACCGGCGGTACGGGCATTGCGCATTCCGAACAGAACGAGCACGCAAGAGATACAGTTCATTTCCTCCAGATCTGGGCAATTCCGTGGAAACGAGGACTCACCCCTAGATACCACACTCGCCATTTTGATGACGAGGAAAAGCGCAAGGGTTTTGTACCGATTTTAAGTCCGCTTAAGGGTGGTCCGGAGGCTACATTTGAGCAGGAGAAAGTTGCTGAGCCGACAATTGAGGGGACCATACCTATTCATGCCGACTTCGTCATGGGAGCCGCTTTAATCCCGCCTCAGGGAAGATTCGATTGGGTTATTGGGGCCCACATTGCGGGGAGCAGCAGGAGAAAGTTGTACATTCACATTCCGATGACGAAGAAGGGACAAGCAAAAATCCGACTCGACGGCCGTGACGAAGTTCTTGACGAAGGCGATGGCGCGTTTATTGACGGTGTTAATACAGGGGATAGGTTGACTGTGGAAAGTATTGGCGAGGTTGAAGCCGAGGTCGTGGTTCTTGATACAGCGTGATTAGTACCTAACCTAGTAGGATATTATATCATAAACAATCAATCAATTAAATATCACTTAATTTTACTTTCATCTCTTAGTTATCTCTTCAGGAATTGTCTTCCTACCTCTTAACATGATAATAGTAACAACCTTTCGCTGAAAGAGAAAAATGAGTTTACTCATTAGCGAAGAGCACCTAACTTGGTTAAATGACAGATATAAAGTAGCATTTATTTCAACTAGTATCATTGTCAAGCTGAAAGTCGTCGCCCGAGCCTGGTATGCATGTAGGGTATGGATGCGCAGGTTAGATTCTGCGCAATTGCGCAACGATTGAGGAGGGGAAAACTGTCAGCATTCGTTACCTCAAATTAATCCAAATCCCAACTTAGACAAATATAATTTCTCTACATGACAACTTGCATCATCCTTACTCGTTCTTCAGGTGTGTATTTAACTTCGCTCCTGAAGATATTTCAAATCAAGAGCCTATTATGGAATTGGCATACCCAGAAAATTTAACCCGAGATGCATCACCGCCGGAATGGCCTCACAGTGGAAGAAACGGGATTAGTACTAGTGATGAAGGCGTTGAACCAAAAGTTCATCAAAGCGAACATTTAGCACTCTCATTAGAATCACGCATACTTCCTATGCCTCATGAGCAAATCCCGCCTCTGCCAGGTAATGTCCCTGAACATCCTTTATATCGGACTATCATCTTGTCTGACAGTTTTATTCTTAGATGTATTCACCTTCGTGCAAGGACGCAACCAAACAAAACGAAGAGGTAGGTTGGATTATGACATATTGTATTTTCATTACCACAAAAGAACCGCAGCTAATAGATTTTTCTTTATTCTTCTTTTTTTATAGTAATAGTTGCTTGCATTAATTGTAGAAAAAGAAAAATCCGATGTGATATAGCGACATTCCAATCGTCATCCTGTTCATATTGTGCGCGAATGGGAATGGATTGCGAAGTACGACGTGATGGACAGCGCGAAGAACCACCAAAGGAAATGTCGGCCTCGACAGCCATCCCGCCACGCAAATCAATCTTTTCTAGCTCAAGTAGGAAACCTAGGAGTAAACGAGGATCTATGGTACTCCGAGAACGAGATGCCAATGCAAGGAGCGATACACAATCAATCGGATCTCGACAGTCTCATAAATCTTTCATGTCGAGCATATCAATTGGGTCGATAAAATCCGCTATCTCATGCCGTTCCGTATGTTCTGGAAAGTCCATTATATCTCAAAGATCTCGAAAGTCACTGAAATCTCTCGCATCATGGAAATCGAGCAGGTCCTTTCAGTCACTTGGGACCTACGATAGTAGCGGCTCGAGGTAAGTTTTTTATTAATTCACTTATGAATTTAGATAGTTAACCGTATATAGTAATGGTGGACGTAGTCAGAGCGCATATGGACAATCAACTGAAGCAATTCATAATTGGGACGATGGATGGAAATCCTCTCAGTTCCCAGAACCGCAACCTGTATACACACATCTCTCCCTAATATGCGGCAGACCAGATCAGTTCCACGACACAGAGACTATTGAACCACCTTTTACTGAACTGTCCCTTCAGTATGCCGTAGACATACCACGCATGAAGGCAGTTCTGAGAGCTGCCGAAACTGGGAATGACCAGCTTATAGACTTTCTATTGTCCTCTTCTTTAGCGGACGCGGACCAACCTCCAATTCCCGGTGGAACTGTGGCATCCTCTACACCCATGCTGGCCGCCATAGGTCGAGAGAATATCAAAGTTATCGAGGCCCTTTTGAAGCAGAAGAATTTCGACCCTACACGTCAATTCTGGGGGCTAACCTATTATGAAATTGCTGAAAAACGTCGCGGGTCAGTCTGGGAAGATGAAGTACGCATTTTGAAGCAAGCTTTCAATTATGCATATGAGCATCAGAACAGGAACCTAAACAATATAGAGAATGCTAGAACATCGAGTTTGATTAAACCTTTACGACTTCCTGTTCGGCCAACACCTACCGCTCAATTTCGTACTATTCGTAGAACAGTCAGTAGCCTCGACGTACCAGCATCAACCAACCAACCGAGATGTCGCTCAGCTGGGCCGCAAGGTCACAGCAAGACAATAGATATGAATATGGCACACCTAGGACCACTGAAGAACAGCATGCATTCAGGGGATTTACCCATTAGCCCAACACTCATCACTAATAGTAATTCTCATGAGGATCATGGGGCGATTGGGATACCAACTAATAATGACCTCCTCATGGGGTACTCGCGGGAAAATGACCAGGTTTCCGAAGGCTATCGTGCACCTACACTTCCAAACCCCGATTTAATGAACGATTTAAGTACGCCCCAAACACCAGCGTCATCAGCGAGAAATACCTCGGAAATTACTAGTCCACTTACGATACCTTCACAAGGTGAGTCTGAGCTTTCTGATTTTTCAATGAATGAGAGCAGTGAAGACAGCCATTGCGAGGAAGAGAGCTCCTTTGTTCAGCGGGCTGAGCGAAGGAGAGTCCTACTTCGTTATTTGATGGATATGGTATACTCTACATATACCCGTCTTGTTACTTCAGGTGCAATGGAAGATGGAGAAACCGGACCATCTAATGCTCCTAGAGGAGACTCGAGCTCTGCCAGCCCATCTAACAATCAACAAAATAAGGGTCATAATACTAAGGGGAAACGCCCTCTACCAAAAGGTGACGGCAATAACGGGGGCGAGGAAGGTGATGATCAGCAACAACCAAAACGAAGAAAATCAACTACTCATAATGATGGAATCAATTCAGCAGAGAGATTTGCATGTCCATATTATCAACGGAACCGGTATCGGCGCCTACCAAGAAATTACTTGCTCAAAGGAGCTTGTTACGGCCCTGGATTTCATTCGGTACATCGTGTGAAGTGAGTCTATCCTACACTAAAAGTGATACGATTTGTGATGAATTTTCAGGCCCTGATTAAGGAGTAGGGAGCACCTTTACAGGGCACACAGACTGCCACCATGTTGCTCTCGATGCAATGTAACATTTGATTCAGATATTTCTTTGGAGAAGCATACAAGACAAGATCGCCCCTGCGAGCTTACACCAAAACAACTTAGGGAGGGTATTGATCCTACTACGGAAAAATTGCTTCGAATCCGGAACAAGGAATTTAATAGCAAAACGGAAGAAGATAAATGGCGACATGTATACACTGTACTTTTCCCCGCTGATGACCCTGTAGATCTACCCTCGCCCTGTGAGTCTGTTTCGTTCCTCCATAGTCATCTAGCATATCTAATCAAGACAGACTACGGGAATTATCTCGAGCCCAGTTCCGTCGAGAGTTCTCCTGAACTTAAACCAACAGCGAAGAGCTATGATGAATTTCTACAGAGGGAACTCTTCCGAAGAATCTATCGAGTTCTGGAGAATAAAATCGATGAAGCATTAGACTCGGCAGAGAGGAATGTCGCCGACGCGCTGAAAAGCCAACTGGAAGGAATCATTCGTGACGTCCAGACCGAGCTGTATGAGGAATTTCAGTCTTCTATTAAGCAGAAACAGGTCATTGACGGAACTAATGAGATTTCCGCGCATGTGCCAATTTCTGGAATAGACCCGATGTCGTTGTTAGAGGATGTGTTTCCCTTGGGCCCCTTTTCCCCACCTTGGTCAGCCCTCAGCCTGGAACATCAACAAGAAGCTTCAAGCTCATCGATCCCTCAGCTTGCATATAGATTGGAGGACATATCAAACATTAGGTTTGACCTTTTATCTAACCCCGTCGAGACCAGCCAGAACCACGACTTCGGCACGGTAACTTCAGTACCGTTTACAGTGAAGGCTACCTACGATTATATATCGAATCACGCGGAGGATCTCCCATTCAGACTTGGTCAGATAATAACAGTTACCGGCGAAGAAGAGATAGACTGGTATAATGGCGAATATGTCGATGACTTTGGTGTGAAGAAAGAGGGCATCTTTCCTCGGAACCTCGTGGAGAGGTACCCTCCTCCTGTGCCACCGCGCCCAATGAGGGGTCATAAGGGGAACACGGGGTCCGTTGCGACTACATTTCCCTCTTCATTCCCGCCCTATTATACAGCTTGAACTGTCTTGAAACCTAGAGACTATAATCATGAGCTATGAAACCATGCAAGACCGTTTAATTACTGGATTATCCTCGTTAGTAGTACAGAACCTGCCTCAGCATTCCTATTAACATATTCCGGAGAAATATAAAGAGTAGAGGGACCTTTTCCAAGTGGATAGCGAGAGGTAAACCTTTTAAGAATACCGGAGTTAAGTAAGTAAAACCGATCTTATAGATCAACATCAAAGAGTATGTCAACTCATATATTATACCCTAACAAGCTTATCATCGTCGATTATACGTGATCTTCAATATACAGTGTATACACAGCGTAAATACCGTGGTTACTACTCAGCGCAAATTGATATCCTTCTCTTTTCCAAACCTGTGCTTGGGAGTGTGTTTGACAACGATCTGATGCAACGTAGTTTTTCTTTTTTTTTTTTCGGCCAGCAGCTAAGTTCACTACACAAATTAGGTAGTTTATGCGCGTAATCAACCCTAAGCGCTGTGACTAGAATCGACAACGCCGAACCGAGGAGTAGATCCATGGTTATGACGATTTTTGGGTAATCTTACCGACATCAAATTCCGCGCATCGAGCTAGCCGTTCCGTCGGATTTTGATGAGTACTATCAAAAGCCGAAGCCAATCGCGATGAACATAATGCGGTGAACTAGGGTAGCGTCACCATGGTGGGATTAACGGTTTTTGAAAGTCCATCTTGGCCATTTCAAACAAAATATGGACGCACCGCGTCACCATCTACCTGGAGTGTTGCTCGTTATATAAGTATCGCCGGCACTAGGAGGAACTTATGAGGAGCTTGTTTTTCTTACCTGTGGAGTCGTGGACGTTACCAACTAGTTAAGCGCGAGAGCTCGACTAGGTCACCGAACTTCTTTAGCACCTGATCTACCTTATAGACAGACTTACCCCCCTTCAAAGTATATTAAACAGGATGAAAGGCGCTTCGGCAGGATTACGGCGTCGTAATTCAGGTATAAAATAAAAAAAGAGAATTGTGATTTATAATAGTTAGCAACCAAATATGAAGACTATATTACTCTACTTCAAAGCTTTTTTAGTCGACAGCCTTATTCTTCGGCTGTCGTCGTTGAGAATGATGATCTTTTCCTCTTCACAAAAAAATCTCCATTAAACAAACTCATTCTAAGCGAGCCTCAAATGGTCTGACGAAGACGCAAACCCCTGGTCTAGTCTGTCTAGATCTTAATCGATCTCCACGTAGGGCCGTTCTTTGGCCTATAAGCTGCCCGCTGCGCCGTGGAGATGGATTCAATATCCGGCCCTCGCAGCCGGCCAATCGCTATTCCCTGTCAACCCCATCAACCACATTTCGAGCTAAGTTCTAGGCTGAGCGCTATGCTTGTTCCTGAATTTGATAACCTTCCCGATTCTAGCAGCATTGTGTGCTTCTGGTATGTTGGGACTTATCGGGCGATGACTCTTCAGCCTACCATCATGGGTCGCTTCGGCGCGAAGTCCCATTCGGGACAACCAAATCTCACTCCATGAGATTCGGGAAATTATTAGGCAGGAGATGAATAGGCACCGACTAGAATGGACCTATCTCATGTCTTAAATTTTAGTCACACATTGTAGGACTTCACTATACTCTAGTGTACGGCTGTCACTATGCAGGATAGCCAACCCCTAACTCGGGCGGGAATGGTCCGGTTCAAACGGTTGCTCTTCATTCATAACCGCGCCGCCTTCTATCTCTCTTATTTTTTTTTCTTTCTTCCTCATCACCACTAGTCGAGTTGACAAGAAACGGCACATTAGCCAGCCGTAGCAGACATCTTGTTTGCGTCCTTTCGTTGAGTAGCTTGACGATCACATTCATTACGGCCTTGGCCACTTTACGATCTTTACGTATCATATAATCTCTTAATACGTCGTTCAAGATGCAGTTGAAAAATTCAGTTTTGGTTGCCGCCCTTTCGGCTTCCTCTGCTTTTGCTACTTATACCAAAGACTATAAGCTGAATGCTTATTGGGTATGATATTGTGTTATCAAATATGTTTCTCATATATATATACTTACTCCTATTTATAGGGACAATCAGGACCTGACACCGATAGCCTTGGCACACACTGCGAATCCGATAGCATCGACTATGTTACTCTTGGTTTCGTGAACAACTCTCCTGAAAATGGAAATGGCACTGGCTACCCGGGCACAAACTTCGCTGCTCACTGCGCAGCCGAGGTTTACGTCAACAACAACCGGAACTCTAAGCTTCTCAGCTCGTGCTCTTTCATCAAGGATGACATTAAGAAGTGCCAACAGCTTGGAAAGAAGGTTTTGCTTTCTATCGGAGGAGAATTCACTTCCTCGAGCAACTATACCCTCTCCACTGTCCAAGCTGGTATAGATTTCGCCGACTTTCTTTACAAGTCGTTCGGTCCTTTCAAGAGCGGCTATAAGGGGCCTCGACCTTTCGATATTAGCAGCACGGAACATATCACCGTTGATGGTTTCGATTTCGACATCGAGACTAAGTTCAGTAAGTTTTACCCCTTTATTTTCCCCCATAGTAATGAGGGTCGCGTCAAATCCGTAACCGAGTATATATCGATATATACTAACTACCATTATTAGGCAACCAGCAGCCATATGTCAACATGGTGAACCATCTTCGCGATCTCATCACCGCTGACAGCAAGAGCATTCTTCTCACTGCTGCTCCGCAATGCCCCCAATCTGCTGATTATTTCCAGATGAAGACCATCCTTCAGCAGGCCAAGTTCGATAAGATCTGGATCCAATTCTACAACAACCCCATCTGCGAAGCCTGGACTACTGGTTTCAACTACAATGACTGGGAGAGCTTCATCAGCGGCGGTGTTAACAGCGCTGCTGAGCTCTTCATCGGTCTTCCTGGTAGCGCTTCCGCTGTTGGCTTGCTCGGAAGCGGCTACATCACGGCTCAACAGGCTCAGAATCTGATCTGCACGTACAAGAAGAAGGAGCATTTTGGCGGTGCCATGTTGTGGGATGCCTACTATGCCTCTCAGAACAAAAACCTTGCTGGAAAGAACTACTACAACTTGGTTGCTGAGGCCTTGAAGTGCGGTGGCTGTGATGGAGATGTCTGCAAGCCTGTTATAATCAGTAGCTCGGCTACGGCTTCGTCCACGACAAGCTCCTCCACCAGCTCCTCCACCAGCTCTTCCACCTTGTCGACCGTTAGCACCACCAGCTCGTCTACTTCCTCGACTGTCAGCACTACGTCTACCTCAAGCTCTGCCTCTAGCACTAGCAGTAGCATCTCTACTTCCAGCTCTGTTGCCACATTGAGCAGTGCTTCCAGCTCAAGCTACGTTGCTACATCGAGTAGCGCCTCTAGCTCAGGATATATTGCGACATCGGCCAGTGCTTCCAGCTCAAGCTATCTTGCTACGTCTACCAGCTCCTCAGTTTCCAGCTCCAGCTCTACTGGCTCTACTAGCTCCTCAGCTTCTAGCGCGGTAACTAGCAGCAGCGTGACTTCAGCATCGTCCTCTTACGACCTCACCTCCAGCAGCTCAGCATCTGCTAGCGAGACCTATGCCGACAGCACATCGTCTTCTAGCATCGCGACTATCACAGAGTCCTCGACAAGCTCTTTAATTACAAGCACCAGTACTCTCTCAACAACCTCTACCATCTCTAGCTCTTCGTACAGCGCTTCGGCCACTTCTTCGGAAGATGACTGCCCTCCTGATGAGACTTCCAGCTCATTCGCTGAGTCGTCCACTTACAGCGTCTCGGCCAGCAGCAGCTACCCTACCGTATCGGTCACTTCAAGTATTTCGAACAATGTCTCGTTTAGCGGTTATCCCACCGCATCCCTGACTTTCAGTGCTTCGAATAGCGTCTCCGAGACCCAATCTGTGAGCGCAACTTTGTCGCCTTACCCTACCAGCAGCGCCTCCACCACGGAGTATACGACTAGCACCGTCTATTCTACTACCGTTTACACTGTGACGTCGTGCGCCCCTAGCGTCACCAACTGCCCGGCCAAGGGTTCCGTCGTTACCGAGACGATTGCCCTGTACACCACAGTCTGCCCCGTCACCGAGACACAGAAGCCGACGCAGACTCCCACTGCCGTGCCCTACACGAGCACCATCTACAGCACGCGCATCAGCACCATTACTAAGTGCCCTCCCAGCGTGACCAACTGCCCCGTCGGCTCCGTCACCACCGAGACCGTTGCTATTGAGACTACGATCGTCCCTACCACCGTTAAGACGGCGGCCGAGGCCAAGCCCACTACCTCTGGCGTGGTTTCGTACCCCGTCGGCGGCGACAACCAATACCACCAGGCCTCGCCATCCAACGACGTACAGACTGCCGCGGTGTCCAACTACCCCTCAGCGTCTACCAACGTGCAGACTGCTGCCGTATCTAGCTACCCCGCAGTAAACACTCCGGGCGCATCCTCTTCCCCTAGCGCTCAGTCCGTGTCTACCACACTGACTGTTGCTGTCTACCCCACGGGCAAGGGCGGCTACAACAATGGCAACACTAACGGCACCGTTTCGTCTTACAGCGCCGGCACAGGATACCCCGTCGCGCCCACGACTACCTCCGCTGGTAGTGGATATACCGCCATCGTGTGCAACGGCGCTGGTTGCTCGGCCTCGACCTCGTACCCTACAGCGTCGGTCGTTACCGGCGGCTCGGCTAAGGTTGCTTCTTTGAGCTTTGGTCTGTTGGCTGTTGTGGTTCTCGCTTTGTAAGAAGATAGTGGGGGGTTAGTTTGAGGGGTCAGATGAGTGTGTGTTGGTATGGTTATGTTAATGTGAAATGTACAACTACATACGACATGCATAGAGAATGATGAGTTGATTAAAAAAATTGTTTAAACTAAATATTCTAGCCCATGATATCGTTTGTGTTATAAGTGAAGAGATATGAGCCCTTGCTTCCTACCTTAGATATATATATTCTTGTATTAATGTGATGTACTTCTATACAAAGTCGACAAACCGCCGTCAAGTTTATATGCAAGTAAGCCTCAACATCGAGGAAAGGGCAGCAAAAAAAATTAGAGGGGCCACGCAAACTTTATTGTTAAACCTTTCCTATCGGAAAGCCCCCGAGAGTGGTATAAACTTGAATAGATGATTCCTTTGGCGGAAAAATACATGGTAAAACGAAGAAAAAAAAAAACTTAATAATTTTTTTAGTATAGCTGTGAAAATAGCAAAAGAAATGCATCAGCCGCGAATCGAACGCGGGGCCCATCGATGGCAACGATGGATTTTACCACTAAACCACTGATGCTTTTGTGGATGATGATTTTCCTTGTAAGTTTGTCTTATATTACTAGACTATTTTTGTGGTGCTCCTTCTTTTTGATTGGCTCTATGATCTATCTTCCCTACCGAAGACGGTTCAGTATTTTCTTGCAATATCACATTCAAATTTCGGAATTGACATAATTCTCAGTTGTGATTACAACATTTCGTGAAGCTTTCCGAGACTATGAATTTGATGGTAGCGTTAACATAGACAAGATCCTTCTACCATAGTTGCTCACAACTTAGCACTCCCACTATTTCTAGACCATTTAATACCTCTCTCCTTAATGAGAATATGGTCGGTAACACCCTTGATCTCGTTTTCACACCACACGTTATGCCCTGAAGCATTCGCAAGCGCGAATCCAAATTTGGATAGATACTCGGGATCCACGCACCCTACCGCAAGCTCAACGTCTTCAAGCGACTCATCCCGCCAGTATAGAAAGCTTCCGCAGTTTGTGCAAAACGCGCGCTGAAAACCCGGCGTCGCGTAGAATTTCTTCAACGTCTCCGTGGACGTTAGGAACGTAAAACCGCTGAGCGGGGCGGTATGTGCGATGAAGATCACAGCGCCCGTGTTCCGTCGGCATTGCGTACATTGACAACTTCCACTCTATATTGAGTCTTGTTAGTTAAGGCAACCCAATATTATTGCAAGTCGTTGAATGGATTACCACCTCCTCTCCGTTTGCTTCTAACAGCTAAGCGATGCGGTGTAAGAGATTTTATCAGGGTCTATGAATTTCGTAATTTTACGTCGTTGAATATGAAAACTACCTCAGATGCAAATAAGGCTTTGAAGACATATCACTTACTCCTTTTAAGAAATCGTGGTCCTTCGGGAAGTCGACACGGTATCTTAGGGAACCACAGAGGCAGCCACCCGTAATAGAGGTCGGCTTTGGGAAATTGTCAACTGATACAGATTTAGACATCTTGTTCAAACACTAACACCTCAAAACTGGTTCTATCGTAAGAGGATTTTCTTTGAAGGCGTATTTAATCATCACATTCTCCCTCTGGACTTAAGCCCTTAAAGAGGTCACACATATATAGAAAAATAGGTAGGTAGGTATATATGAACCCCCGCTTGTCAAACGCGCCCTATGCCATGTCCAATGACGTAGATACAGATAGTGGACACCTAAGTAAAGATATGAAGGAAAAGATTGGATTAACCATTTAATGACGGATTTATCTTGTCATCTCTTCGCCTTTAATTGGAGTTGCACTTATATCGTATGCAGACTCTAGAGTTTAGCTCTGTTTAATACAGAATGAACAATTATCATAGAGCGCGTCGTGTCTTATCTCTTATCAGTTAAAGTCGCGATTGTGAAATGCCTCCCTGACTTAACAACGACTTTTAGAAATTGTTGGTTAAGACTTAGAAAATAGCTTTCAATTTTTCAATTAGATATTCGTCAGCAGCCTTGGATTATAAAGAATTAAAGAATTGAAGATAGTTATCGGATAAATCCTTCATAACATTACTCTCTTTTACCCCTAATTCGGCGCTTTGTCAGCTAAGAAGCTAATGATTTAACTCCGCTAGCTTCTCACGGATTTAAAAATCATCAATAATTACAGATGGATATCATCGTAATATCACCAACATCGTTTTCCGGCGCTTTTACGTCAGCAGCTTTTCCATGTTAATTACCTCTTACCCACGGATTTCCGTGGAACGGCTGTTGGTCATTATGGTATTGGAAGTAGTGCTTGAATAGGCAATGTAATGTGCCGTATAGATAGGTAACTAATTTATCATGACCAATCAACAGTATATTCATCTTCATAGGTATATATATATATAACCATGGCCGTCACTCGCCTTAAGTTATGTAGAATACATTTGACACCAAAGATAACTAATAGGCTAGAACCAACTTGAAGAAAAGTGGTTGCGATGTATTCTTTACAAACCTTTCTGGCCGCCGTCTCATTGACGGTGTCAGTCGTTGAGGCTCAAGCATCGTTAAACGTTGAGCAGTCGACGGGTTTCAACTCTAGCTTTGCTCTGTCAAGCTCACAGATAGAGTCCGCAAATCTGTCGTCAACAGCAGCCACTAACATAAACATCGCTATTAACTTCGACCGCTCCCAACTCGCCAATGGAGGCCCTGCGGAGGACAGCTTCTACGAGCTCCCACCACTTTCCGGAACGCCAATACCCGGTACTCTTCTCAAGGTCCAAGAGTTCACGAATGCGTCGTCTTTTGTTATCCCCCCTAACACAGCACTCTCGCGTATTCTCTACACAACTTCAAACCTCAACGGAACCGTTATCCCAGCCTCAGCTTTTATCCTCTGGCCCTTCACGCCTAAGAAGTTCCAAACAGGAGATGGAAACGAGTCTACTAAAGCACCTGCTGTCCTCTGGACACACGGCACAGAGGGTTTCTTCGCCTCAGCCGGTCCTTCGACACATAGGGCGCTTTGGTATGGCAGCGAGGCACCCTTTACCCTGGCCCTTGCAGGTTATGCCGTGGTGGCGCCCGACTACGCTGGTCTTGGTATCCACAAGTCCTGGGATGGTAGCGAGATCCCCCACCAGTATCTGATATCACAGACATCCGGACACGATGCTCTCTACGCCTTGCAAGCCTCCTTAGAGGCTTTCTCTGACATTTTGGACGAACGTTTTGCGGTTATAGGCCACAGCCAGGGCGGTGGCGTCGCATGGGGTGTTGCCGAAGTGCTTGCGGCTAAGGGAGATAATGAATTCAAGGGGCTTGTAGATGGGTATCTCGGTACAATCGCCGTGAGCCCTACTACAGACGCGTTCGTCGGCGAAATTGGATTCATATTACCGTGGATTGGAATGATACTACCCAGCATCTTCCTCGACTTCGACCTTAGCACGTGGCTAACTCCGTTGGGCATCGCGCGAACGAAACTCTTACAGGAAGTCGAGGGCGGAATAGGCGTTTCCACACAGCTTTTCTTATCGGGTGATAATATCATCCAGGATGGCTACGACAAGACCTGGTACGTTGATGCGTACGGCAAATTGGCAAATGCGGGGCGGAAAGCCTTCAAAGGCCCGCTTCTTGTTATCCATGGCACGGAAGACTATTATATCCCTGAAAATGCTACGGCTGCAACTGTTCAGGCTACCTGCGAAGCCATCCCCGATGGAGATCTGGAATATTTAGTTGTTAATGGGACGTGGCACGTACCTACTCTTGATGCCACAAGACAGATCTGGCTTAAGTGGATTGAAGATCGGTTTGAGGGCCGAGCACTAGAGAAGACTGGTTGTGTCAAGTCCAGGTTGGAGAGTTTCCTGCCTCTGGACCGTTACCAGGCTACGGGAAATTCTTTCCCTCAATTTGCTGGTTTGCCGGAATTTAGCTACCAAGTGCCTCTAGGACTTTGAGAGGGAAATGTGAGAAGGCAAAGCGCCCCGGTACTAAATCGCCCTGAGATATCTACCCTGCGAGCTATATGCATTCCTAAGGCGTTTATAAATCATGGTATCATATTTGTCTCCATCTAGAAACTAGCATATATAGAAATAACTATAGATTAAGTTAATGCGATTGATTTTCACGTCCATAACTAGGTCCTATAAAGTTATATATATATATATATTTATGATTATGCGGTGGTATAACAAGACGTCGAAGATCAGTAAGCTCCCTGGCGTAACGACCACGCCGGACTCTCAACCAAGACTACAGGATCACGTCCCGTCAAAACCGGTTCGCCAGCCTCGAGTTTAAAATCGAGCATGGCCGTGTCGTCACTTTCTTCCATACGCCATATTGCCAGCCCAATCCAATTCTCGCCTTTATAGTCCAGGATCCCCTCTGGAACTGGGAATCGCGTCTGAGGGCCGATGTGAGGTACGTACTTACCAAACTGCCACCCGTTCACATACAATTGGATCCGCACAGCCCCGCCAGCGACATTGCGGAAAGAGAAGGAGAGCGGAATGTCGTATGTAGTGGAAGGGAGATCGAGCGAGAGCGGCGCAGTGTAGAAGAATATACCTGGTTTCTCCAGCGCCGAGAATGGCGAGCCTGATGTAAATGCCTTATCGGGAGGCTGCGGAAAGTGGTAGCCCTGCCTTTCAGCATACAGGCCGCCCTCATTAAGGGGACCCCGTGTGCGATCGACGTAATCTTCACCGCCGAGATTGCCGGTGAGCTTCCACGATATAGGGGTGCTGTCTAATATTGAGCTAGCGAGGCGATAGTTGAGGATCCCACGAGGCGCTTTACCAGTGTCGATGCCTGGTATGTAATTGCCGTCTAGTCCCATATGGTCGATCACAAGCGTCAAGACGTACGATGCCCCCTGCGAAAGACTTGGAAGCTCATACGTTGCATCATAGTTCGAAGCACTGGAGCTTCCAACCCATGATCCTATAAAGGTACTGTTTAGCCAGACTGAGTGGCCGTAAGCGGTGCCACCCTGAGTTTTGATTTTAAAAGACTTCTCGGTGCCTTTAGCAGTGAAATGGCCCCTGAAGAGCAACACTCCGGTGTTGAAGCCATAATCGCTAGCGAAAAGGGAGGTCGGTGTCTGTAGGGTCTGGTATGAATTGTTTGTTGACTGGTGGTCTGCTGCCAGCCAAGTAGAGTCATCATAATCCGTCCGGATCTCAGGAAGCGAGTCGAGGTATTTCCAGGACAGCCCAGACAGAGCAGGAATCTCGAGCGCTGGAACCAAGTATTGAATGTCTGTTACTATTCTTCCATCTTCCACCTTAAAGTCAGTTGCCTTCCCATTGATATTAAGAACGGCCGTGTTTTGGGGTGCTCCGATAACTTCAACGATTGTCGATCTATTAAAATCTGCGAAGAGTGATAGCACGTCATTCTCAAAAGAGGCAGATCTGACGAGATATGGCCCATTAATAATCAATGATGATGACTTATTGATCTCAGGTATCCAATAATTATAAGCAGAATTTCGATCTACGTTTTTCTATTAGCTTTGGTTATGCGAGCAAAATAATGCCCCATACCTAAAATGTAAATGTGAAAATTATTAATTTTAACAATATTTCTTGCCTTTGGAGTGGACCAGGCTAAAGTTATGAGGCCTTCTGTCTTATTCACTTTCACGGAGTTATCCGATATAACTGAAGAAGTGTCCTTAATTTGCACCGCAAGCTCGTCCATTTCATTCGGTCCACTATAAACAAGGAGAACAATCTTGTTTTCGAACTTCTGATGTGTTAGAATCTCTGCCGTGGAATATAGGAGTTTGATTCCTCGAACATCATAGTCGGTAACTATGATTTTTGAATCCCTGCCATGGAGAGTGAGATCATCAAATAGTGTGGGAATCGAGATATCTCCTTTTAACGTTGGAAGCTTCATCGTGTAATTATCCGAAGCGGTTCTAGAATAGTCACTATGGCGGACGACGAAGAATGACCCGCTACCAGTTGTACTATTTCCAGCAAGTCGAGTTACCGTGATGGCAGCATTGTTAGCATATGTCCACACCACGGCAGCCCCGGGTTCTGCAGTCAGATAATCTGGTGATACCTTCAACCACTCGGCCTGTAGCTTTAGTTCCGAATATTTCTCTCTCGTAAGAGATCGGTCTTCTGATATAGCCTGAGGTAGATCTGGGTTAATATACGTTTCCTAGATAGAAAGGCTCCTACCTACCGCTCCATAATCGTAAGATGTGTAGCCTCCTGGATGTCCAATATTACCCCAATTTGTCCCTCCGAAAATCTAGCTGCAATTCAGTAGAGATGCAAGAATAACCCAATCGTGACTAACCATGTATATGTTGTGGATAGTTGCACCTGCGGCAAAATTGTTCTTGAAGAAGACGCGTTCAAATTCATGATTGATAAATGCTGCACAGTTGTTGAACCCCGGACCTCCCCAAGGATCGTAGGCGCCACCTTGGAACTGGCGATAGGTTTAGTAAAGGCATCTTAAATAGTATGAAAAATTTAGTTACCAACCTCCACGAGAGAGAAAGGAGTGGATGGACTCTGCAGTTCGTGGGTCTGGTGGTAGATTCCCGATAATGCTAGTGGCGGCCAGGTAGAAGGATTTTGCTAGATCTATCAGTATCGCTGGTACTATGAACGCGAGGTTACTAACGCAGTCAAACATAACCGGATACGCGTCGTGTCCCTAATTCTTGTCAGGATATTCAGTCCAGTAATCTCATCCAGTGTAGCTCACGTAAATATCTACTGCACCCAATCCTGTACCCGGAGCGTTAGTTCCCAAAGGGGCTGCGTCGTTGCTGATGAGAGGTACGACAATTCCCGCATTCTGTGCCTGGTCCTCTACGTATTGCATGTATTTGCCACTGGGGAACGGGATAGAGACGCCGACCGTATACTCATTCTCAGGTTGATATAGGATCACGGGTCCGTCATTAGTAATCTGGGCTTTCGCAATAATGGCACCAATTTGAGCGGCATAACTATCCGGGTTAGTTAGGAACTTATTTCTATGGCGATCTTGAGGCTGACTTGTCTGTAGCCGTCAAGTAGTCGTCATCCGACGTCCTTAGGTGCCCCTTGACACGTTGGAGCCATCCGGGGAACCCACCAAAGCTTACTTCGGCATTTATATAAGGTCCAGGTCGCTTGTTCTGTTTAGCAAGATCTACTAGGGAGTTGGAGAAGTACTCACTGCGATAAGATATATACCAGCCTTAGTTGCGGCTTCGAAGAATTGTTCGTAAGAAAATACACCTTCAGCTGAGAAATTGCCTGGTTTCCCCTCCAACAAAGCCCAATTGGTATAGAAAGAGACGCAATTGAATCCTAACGCCTTTATTTTTTGAAAAATGTCAAACCATAAGGACGGAACGGGTAGCCTCCATGGATGAAATTCGCCGCTCATAACCATAACTCTTTCTCCCTTCACGTATAATGAGTGGCCATCCCAAGTAACAATGTTTTGTGCCGACGTCTTGCTATTTTCAAGGACTTTCATAGGTATTCCTCCAGTATCCCAAGCATAGCTTCGAACAGCCCAGAGTAATAATGTCAAAATCCCAAGGAGCCGCATGATATATCCGTTATTTTGACTCCAGAATACGTGTCCGGGAGAGTTTTGCCAGGAGTCGGATAAGGCGGGGCCCATGCGTTGTAGGGGAACATTATGTAGAGTCGGAGGATCCCGTTGATGCATGGGCTTCTTTACATTCTCTTAACAATCACGTGCTAGGATTAACAACCTTTTGGCATAAATAATTAAGACTACATAAATAAGACTCTCGGATCTTTGAGATTTGGGCTGGGCTTATGTTTTCATTATATTTTAACCCTGGGTTTAATGATAAAGTTATCGTTCAGAGATCCTACCAAGCCCCCTGTCCCTCCCTAAAACACTTAATTTTGCATGTAGCTTCATATGCTGTAAGAGTAGTAAACTTATTTGTAATATCTATATGCCTATACATAGCTTAGGTATCTTTCTAAGTCTAGTAAATTGGTTTATTGTCACATTCGAGGTATTTTGTGATGCGAAGGACAACACATACCCCCCTATACGGAACAACAGCCGTACGAGACGCCAGTGTGCTACAAGGACTTTAATACCCTCTCCAAGACCCCCAATAGGTATTGATAATATGATTTTTATGTTGTAGGGCTTTGGGCAAAGTCATTTTCTGATTTTTGGGTTATTACGGGCAGCGAGCACAGATTGTATTAGTGGCTTTGGTTAGCTCTTCCAGCTTAGTATGGTACATTATCTAGAATGCATAGAAGTGTGAGTCGGTGTGATTAGTTAATGTGGTTACATGATATCAAAGTAACAAGTAGCAGTCGTTTTAGAAGAGTATCTCCTACAGAAACACGTAGCCAGATAAATCCATAGATACAGGGGAGTGTCAACCTAACATACAATAGGCAAAGCAGAAGGACTAGACATTTCCATTATAAACCATATATATGTTATAATTATGGGCCTCTGGTCTCTTATATGCTGTAAAAGAAAGCTTCCCTTGAATGAGATAAGAATGATACTACTCCCCTGATATTTATAGGTACGTAGATACCTATGCGTGTATAGTCGTCGTCGCCATCCTTAGCAGCTGCAGCTGTAGATGCAGGTGCCTACCTAGGTACCTAGGTACCTAGTCAGAACTTGCTAGAACATATTGAAGTTTCTAGCACGATGGCTGTTTTTTTCGTGAGCCTTTATTATGTGCACCCACAAATACCCAACATACCTCTTATCCACCTCGTTAAACCCATCAATACCTGCTATTAGTAGCATCCACGAAGATTCGTACATATTTTAAGCTAAAGGCTCATGATAAAGCTCCGCACCTTCCACTTCTCTTCTAGGTAATCTACAAAACTTGCCTTTGGGTAGGCACCTGTTACCATACCCCCAGAGAGGTGACGTGTTGCTTGAGTTACAGGCAGGAAATCGCGTCAACATATTCCAAAACTTATCCTGAGGCTACAATAACTTAATTTCTTTACTCTTTACTCTCCTTAGAGCACCACGCGCCGTAAGTTCCCCTGCCTTTCATTATTCTAATTATTTACCCTTCCCCCACCTCTCATTATACCATATCGTTTGACCTCGCCTTAGAACTGGTGCCTTACAAGGCGACGCCTTTCCTTCCTTTCATCACTAAATCACCCACGAGTCACTTCCCTGTACTACTTTGCATATCTATCGCAACATTCTCTTCTGCATAACCCAGGGTACTTTATCATCATTGTTTACCCCATCAACACTGCCTACCCCCTCTATTTTCACAGAGTTACCTAAGTACATCATACTAAGTCTGGGTCTCCACGTAGACTCACCACTTCTATATCTATACATCATCTAGCTACTCAGTCCATCACGATGTCTGCTCCGAAATTGACTGCTGGGCCTGCGGGAAGGCCTCTCACACAATCGGTCTCTACGTTCATTCCCGCCGATATCGATGCTAGTCATGAGGTTCTTGATGCCTCATTCGTCACACACACCATTCCAGACATTAGCCCCGATTCCGGAGTTATCGGTCTCTGCGCTGTGCCTCTCGAGCGTGCAGGTACTGATGACCTCGGTTGGCACATTGCCGACTTCTTAGCATTCAAAGCACTCCTCTGCGGCGAGACTCACTCGAAAGCTCAGGCATGGCTTTCCCAGTGTGATGTTGTCAGCATCGTAAAGGATAACCCTGAACATTACGCCCATGGTAAGGACCATCGCTCAGTTAATGTGGCTGCAATGCCCTCTTCTTACACCGACCGTCATGGAAATCGTCAGGAACGAGACGACGAGATTAAGGTTGAGCCATCGGCCGAAAAACTCGTACAGGATTTCCTTATGGCCCTTTCGGATAAGTCCAGGCTCGTTAAAGGGAAGGGTCTTCCCCTAGTCATTATCATTTGTGGCCTTACTACACCAGAGCAAGACGTCTTCTTTGGTAAGACTGATCCCAAGTTTCAGGTTACAAGTGAGCAAATGCGCGAGGCACTTGGAGAGCATGCTGATGTTGTCGTTATCACCCCTGCTCTATTCTCTGCAGGTTGGCTGGTCAATCCGACCTTTTGTCAACCACCGGCTAGAAAAATGCGGGCCGATCGCACAGAGTTCCTCGCAAGGCAATTTGGTGCAATATTTGCAAAGGATGTTGTTGAAAGCTTCCTAAGTTGGTCATGTCCCTTTATTGACTGGGATCAACTTGACAAGAAGAAGGATGGCAGGTTCCCCGGTCCGGCAAAGCCTTCACAGCAGCAGCAAGATGCGATTGTAGCTTTCAAAGTACATATCCACAACACCCTCGCAGGACGATTGTCCGCCGGGCATAGAGACCACTCCTTTAACTTTGAGGCAGATAACGATGACTGGCAGAAGTTGGTTGGTCCCCGTCAGCACAAGCCATTGAGCCACTTCAAACAGAAGTGGGAGAAGCTTGGAGTAGGTGCTATGGCTTCAGCGAAAGAGCAGCGACTTGAGTTTCTTGGAGGCGCTTTCGGTGGCAATAAGAAGTCCCAGGAAAAACATATAAAGCACCTTGTATATGACTCGTTCACTGCTTGGCCCGGATATTGGGCGTTACCTTTTGGTCGAAGCGCTAGAGCCGCTTTCTACATGTTTCTTGGAAACCATCATCCGGATTACAGAGACTGCCACGAAATTTTTAATATCATAGAGCACCGCTCTACTTCAGCCGTGGTTGCAGACATGACCTTGAAATACTTTGGTTTCTCAAAACCATATGGAGAACGATGCAGAGACTGGGATGAGCCAAAGTGGATAAAAGAGTCAACTGATTCCACACACCTGGCTGTTAATCGGCTATTTGGAGAAATCAGCAATTACATTCCTAGGGTTAATGTACCTCCTGGTGTCAATCCGAACCACCTCAGCGTCATTCAAAGACGGCTAGAGGTTCCTGCCTCTTATTTGTCAGTAGCCATATATAACCACTTCCTTACTCGTACAGGATCCTCTCAGACAGTAGTAAAGAGCATCTCTGGCTGTAAGCATACCGAGGCACTATATCTAGTGATTACTGCTAACATATGATTAGTTTTTGAAGAGATTAAAGGTCGCCAGACTGAGCTACTGCTTAAGGATCCCATGTTGCACGATAAATGTAGTATTTGGTTGGACTCAATTCACCTACCTATTCGCCGTCAAGACCCAATTATGCCTCCTGTGACTACGAAGTCCCCGATAGAGAGCCCACACGTCGCCCACCAGACCCCTCGAACTTTGAATAGCGAAGTAGTAGCCTTGAAGTCTCCGACCACAATTTTACAGACCGAAAAGGCTTCTGAAATTATCTCGCCGCCTCAATCCAAGGCCAGTACGAGACTAGCTGGTCTTTCTAATAATCTCCCTACTGAGATGAAGGAACTACTTCCCGCTATTGACCCACAAATAGCCATTCGGACACTTACCCAAGAGAAGGAGGATTTGATCAAAGAGCTTACGAAAGCTCCGCCCGGCAAACTCGTAGAAATTCGGGAAAAGATAGCAGAGAACTATAGTCTTTTAGCTTTCATGGAAGACATAGCTCGAAAAAAGGAGACGAAATCTAAGAATGGCGCGCATGAATCTGAGAAGCGCATCGAAGTTGTATCGCCATCCATCCACCAGGGTGCTTCTCGCGTTCATAGTCGCGAGGGCGCGCTCCAGCCATCTCACGTACAACAAGACCAGAGCCCTGAGCAACAGACGCCCCCTCATCTCCGAGGTTCTTCAGAGGATCCCGATACGAAACCACATGCTCGACGTCGTTTCGAGGAGTCAGCCGAAGAGAAACAAGCCGGCGACGTGTCCCAGCTTGGCTCGGGAAAAGGAGGTGCCTCCAGCTCACCAAATGGAACGAAACCACCATCACCCACTCAGCGCACAACGCAGAACGAAAACAAACCGATGAAGCAGTCTGACATATGGGTCCCGCCCCATCTCCGTGGCCTATAACATGCAAATATCTAAGGCAGTTAAGCCTAAAAGCTAACACAATATGTCAGGGGTGCAACAGATAGCAGTTAAAGAGAGGACTATAGTGCCTAATATGGCTTTCGGAGTCACAGCTTTGCAAATATGGGGAGCGATTTTGGAAGGTTAGAAGATCAATATTTCGAGGTGATGGAATTCCAACCTTTCCATGTTGGAATATGTCTAACTACCGAGGTACCTACCTGGGTAGTATTTACAAATCTAAGTGGGGACTTGTTTCCTGCTCAGATGGATGTTGTTGTTTGAGGTATAAGGAGATAATACTAGTACTCATCATGGTAGCATGATAGGCTAATGGATTTCGCCCGTGGGTGACAATGTGCTACTGGCTTATTTTCTTAACTACCTAGGTACGTAATGCGGAGAGCTTTTATTAAAATGCGGTTGTAATTGACGAAGGTTAATGAGATAGGTCTGCCCAAGTATTAGAGTAGGGGATCTCTCTAGCTCCTAATGTCTTTTCGATTGCCTTAATACAAATGATTTTCTGCTTTATTTTAAGCTAGTCATTACCCATAAAGATACGCTTTTATCCTATTAATGCCAATTTCAAAGTCACTCTTTTATCTCCTACCTAACCTAGAATATATCTCTTAAAGTGTCACAGTAGAAACGAGGGTAAGGTATGACAATACAAACTGGGCACCATAAAACTCTGTAAAAGGCTATTTACTAAGTCATGTACCATCTTTCTTCAAATTACTACCACTACTAGTATCTATCTGACTAGCTACATCGGTATCGCCGGTACTAGTCGGGGCTCTGGTGCCACGTTGGAAGACGAACAGCGCCTCGTCTTTGCCCGGGAAGCTTGGCAGCGCGATCTGAACAACCTTGACCCAACCCTCACCCGCACGCTCCCGTTCCATATACTCGTCCATGCTCAAGTCCCGGAATCCCGTGTATCCATTGTGATTCTGCGTACCGACCACGGCTAACGTGTCCCCGGAATACGCATCCATCATGAGCCGCGTAAACCCGCCCTCTTCGCCGCCGGCAATGGTGCCCCCGACGATGGGGTATACGAGGAGCAGGACCGCTTCGTTGGGGTTTATTTCAGTTTTGGATTTGCTATTTCCGGCCGAGGATTTGTTGTTTCGTCGTCGCTTGCGCAGCCACTCGGCGCCATCGGCGATCGTCGTGTCGGATACCCAGTTTACGCGCCACGCACTCTGGGCGCTATCTACGGGTATAGCGCGGACCCCGTATTGTCGCAGCATGAAGCTCCAATATCCCCCGCCGGACCCTAGGTCAAGCACCTCGCGCCCCGCGGCGAGCACGCGCAGGATCGAGAGCGCTTCGTGGCTGGGACAAGCGCATCCGAAGTGGTGCATTAGGACGGGCAATACATGGTGCGAGCGGTTGCCTGCTAGGGTCGAGGAGACGCTGGGGCCGGCCCATTCGAGGTTGCGGCAGCTCCAATTTAGGAACGTTAGGTAGGGGTTCGGCGGGACATTGTTGTTGTTGTTGGTACTGTTTTTGTTTTTGTTCTTGCTCTTGTTCTGCTTGGGGATGGTGAGTTGTGACGCGAGCGCGGGGTGTAGGTATCGCTTCGACTGTAGGTAGCTAGCTATTTCGGTGCGTAGGCTGCCCTTCTTGGCGTTGGAGAGGAAGGTCTTGAGGGCGGAGGGGGTTGAGGTGCTAGGGTCGAAGATGGAGAGGTAGGCGTCGATGTCGGGGCGTGGGGGTGGTGGGAGAGCTCTCAGTTTTTTCGAAGATGGGGTTTGCTCGGGTTTTGCATCGTCTTCGGTAGGTGTGGGTGCGGGTGCAGGCTCAAAGTACCAGGCGTGGAAGGCGTTCTGACGTCCAAGTGAAACGATATGTTGGACTTCGGCCAAGGTAACGCTAACGATAGCATGGTAGACGTAGGAATCACGGCGGGGATGCGGTAACGCAAAGGAGGCTATGACAGCGGACTGGAAATCATCACTAGCGAGGAATGCTTCGGCGCGTTCGTGTAGCGCCGTGTCAGCCACATATGTCGTCGGGTTCCATGACGGCACGCCTTCGCAATACGTGAAAGCCTTGCTCGGCGCCATTTACCTTGGAGTTACACTCCTCGGGTTTGATTAATCTATATTTGTGAATACGTGTTTGGTATTAACACCGACAAGGAGAGAGAAAGGTACCTAATGTATTAACGATCGATAGGTGAGAGCTATCGTGAAATGGCGTTGGGTATCAGGTAAAAGTATCAGGGATTCCCCGCACTCAGGGGCTTTTGCAGGGTAGCTCTTCTCCTATTATGGAGAAACGTCCGTCCTTTGCCCCCCCTTTTTTTTCAACTCTACGCCATATATAAATGGGACGGCGGGTCCGGCGTGCGGCAACGATGGTGATGACCATGCATGTAAAGCGATATCGAGGAGGCGAAGGGAGCTGTGTCACCAAGCTTCCTTGCTCTAAATAGTAACACTTGTGTTAATACCAACTAAGTGCGCGTCCGCTTCGGGAACATACAACTAAATGTCCTATCCTAGGTGCCTACCTCTTACAGCAAATCATCCCAAACTCGGAGCTTACAGATACGTGTAGTAGGATAATTATTCGTGTTATATCACAAGAATGTTTTCCTAACGCTTTGGTTCGACCGTTAGGTCCTGTTTCATAATGGGCCGGTCCCTTGGCCTTGGGAGCTCGTGTTGGGAAAGTAACGCAACGGAAAAATAGGCAGCATGTAGGGAAATTCCTAGATCTAGCTTGTATTCTTCGAAGTTGAGTCGACCTATAATCCACTAAGCTCTTGCGTTATTTTAATATCCCTCGCGATGTTTCGTAAGGATACTCTCAGAATTTCTAATGAGATAGAACCTGATGGTAGTAATTCCAGGATACCTTACATAAATAGGTACGTAAGTATTTCATCTAAGCATTAATTTACTAAAATATCCCCTATAAATTAGATGTCTATAGTTTCTGTTACCTGTTCTAGCACCCCCCGATTTCTCAAGAATTTAGGTATAAAATGTTAAAAGAAAGTTTCTACTATGACGGAGATCACCCCCTCTATTTCCGAGCTACTATGTAATTAATCTTGATGGCAGAGCACGGGATTTAGTAAACTACGGCTGTATGGTGCCGAGAGCTAAACATTCATTGGACAATTGCTGGATTCCTGAAGGGGAACATGTTTAGGATGTTGTCATCTCGGAGAAATATATGCAGTTGGCCATCACAACCAATTACTTCCTTTGGGTTCCTGTATTTACCTGTTCTGTCGACTGTTTGTTTCAGTTTGTAGCAAACTGCAAATCTCGGCTCGTGATGTCACTTTTGTTCAATCGCTCCGTTTCTGTCTTCTTACGGACGCAACAAGACACAAACCCCAAATCACAAGCCCAGTGACCAATCACTACCTTTAGAACCGAAAGCCACCGCCCGAGAATGATATTAGTATTCTCTAAAAGGCATATATTCATCACAAATTCATCATATCCATACTTTAATCCAGTATGACGGTTATGAAGTTGAACTACATAAAGATCCGATTGGAAAGCCGGAGTGCTGTTTTAGGAGCAAGTGGGGGGTGGTTAAGTCGTCTATCCGAACCCCTGACCCTTGACTAATGGGGACGAGTCGGGGGATGATATGATGCTATGAGGTAGGTATTTACGGAGACCACGCAGACCATCCAATTATTTATTATATGCATACGTGACAACTCTATAAATACCTAAATTAGGTATATATTATGATTATTTGAATATATACGTTTATAACCTATTGCCTCATGCTTTCTTTGCTTCTGAACGAAATCCTCGGTGGTAAATACCAATGTAGATCTATTGTGTCAATATTATTTACGATCTCTTGTTTATTTCTTATTGTACGTACTCACCCGCAGATTGACCTTTACAGGCGAGCTGCCGTGTATCGGTATTGCAGTCCTCATTACGCGGATACCTTTGTCATCCAGACTACCTATTCACCACTTTTGGTGCTCATGCGGGCATCCGAGCCTGATGCTACCAATCTCTTTAGTAGGCCATATTAGAATAATTGTATTCCATCTGCCATTCACATTGTGATACTACTGCTGTGGCTACGCAAAATATAGCAAGCCCTGTCGGCGCCAATGGAAAACCGAGGGTGTTCCCCCATTTTCTTTCAATAATATTAGTCGAGCCAGTCCGATAACTTCAGGACCAGATGCATACACGCATGGCTGCTTGAATGTCTCAGATCACTATCCATCACCTGACTAATGACATATAACGACAAGTCTCATTAATTATTTGGATATCTATTTACTTCTTCGTTAACCATGGCTGACTTTGGCCGTGGTTCAACTGTCCTTGTCTCTCCAAAGCTTCAATATCAAGTCAACGCCCATATTCATCCTGGCATATCACATTACACACCGAAAGATTTCTCTCCAGTTCAAGTTCAGGGGGACGAAAAAAATAGTACACCAACTATCCTACCTCGTCCCCAAATAAACATTGTGGGAGGAACTCCTCCTAGTAGCGCGAATAGCGTAATCCCCGAGGATCGATCTGGTGAACATCCCTGTCCACTTTCGACCTACCCTACCAACTTTAATGGATTTCCAATAAAACTGAACTACAGCTTACAGCTAGTTCCTCCAGGGCCTCATGATGCTGAAAAATGTTCAATGCTCCGCCCAACGAATGATAGTCTTAGTGCAGATGTCTATCTCGTACAAACACCACAACCACCGCCTATGGCGTCACAAGACGAGAACAATCCGTATGGAAATACGCAATATCTATTACAGGATTCCCAGGAACTAGAAGACAGTGTCGACCTAGCTGATCAATTTGAGGCTAGATCTGCCGTGCTAGATAACGAATCCGTTACCGATGGCGGGTACGAATCAGATTCGGAAACAAGCGCATCCACCTCGGTTTCTTCAAGCATATGGGACTTTTCATTCGAGAATGGTAGGAGATACCACAAGTTCAGGGAAGGTCGATACAACTTTCCGAATGACGATGTCGAACAGGAACGAGAGGATATGAAACATGCTATGGTCAAGTTATTGTGCCAAAAATTACACTTCGCGCCCATAGGAGACAACCCCCATGAGATACTTGACGTCGGGACCGGTACTGGAATCTGGGCGATCGAAAGTAAGCCTATACTCTCTTATTCTATGGTCGTTTGGCTATCAAAGTACTGACCTGCCCAGTGGGCGATGCTTATCCCAGCGCAAATGTCCTTGGTGTAGACTTAAGTCCTATTCAACCGCAATGGGTGCCACCTAATGTCCGATTCATGGTTGACGATGTAGAAAGCGAGTGGCTCCATCCGTTAAATCATTTTGATTATATACATTCTCGACACACTATCATGGCTATAAAGGACTGGGATCAATTGTTAATGACGTCCTACGAGTAAGTTCTATTTCCTAGGCGCGATATACCATTTCAAAGTCAAGAATTTGAACTAAATGCTATCTAATTAGACATTTGAAACCTGGAGGCTGGTTGGAGCTACAAGAAATCTACCATTTCCCTATGAGCAGTAACAATACCCTTGAGGAGGATCACCCAGTCGCTCAGTACTGGAAATATGTGGATGAGGGACTTGAAAGTCTCGGCGTTGACTTCAGGTTTTCGGATGAAGGTCGGATAGCCGCTTTAATGCGACAGTGCGGATATATCAACGTAACCGAACGCGTCTTCCACATACCCATCGGTACGTGGCCGAAAAACAAGACCTTGAAGAGCGTTGGGCTATATTGGAAGAAGATCCTACTGGATGGTATTCAAGCCATAGCACTCGGGCCAATGACTAGGGGACTTCACTGGGGAAGAGAGGAGGTCGAGACCTTCTTAGTTTCGGTGCGAAAGGGGTATCATGACAACTCATTGTTGTTGTACATGCCGCTCGTCTGTGTTTACGGTCAGAAACCTGGTGGCCAGTGACTGGAGTACTGGTGTTCGCCCGAGTAGTAGTAAAAAGACAGGGAGGTCGCGTAATAAAAACCCAAAATACGAATGAAATTGGGAGAAGAGGGGGGGGGGGGGGATGTCGAGATTGACTACGGTATCAACCGACATTAGTTTGGCTCATTTTAGACGTTTAGCTACCCTTGCTCGCAGGAGCTGTTGTCATTGGAGAATACCACCATCCATAGCCGGAATAGGAAACATCTTTCATATACTGTATACATGATGCTCTCCTTCAAATACTACGAAGAAGTTATCCGTCATTCGCAAATCTGACTAGTACCTAAGGAAGATGATTAAAATGCTATAGCAAGTAATATTTACAAGTATACCTTAGGTACGTATAAGATGCTATAGAATAGAATATAAAGATGAAGCCTAACTTCATATCACACATCTTGCCCGTTTACTTCTTCTAAAAACAGTGTACATCCGTTAGGTGTGTATATTTTTATCACATGCGATGCAAGTACGTATTATTATCATTTATGCCTGCCAGGGGTAACACCCGATGGCGTCGGAAACCTGTCAAACGAACTTCTGTGTGCTCTTAGTCTACACACGCGCGACATATACACGAGGAATGAAACGTTCTCCTCACCTAGTATACCTCATCGCCAACATTATATCACATTTCACTCCGATTAAGTTCTTACCTCCCCCACATCTTACCAAGATCTTGAGCATCGATTCTGTTTGCTTGTTTTTTTTTTCTGGCTAGGTACAGATGGTTACGGGATATCTAAGTATCATACGCCCGAGGCAATCAAATACGCACCTTAGACTCCAAACGATGATTCGTCACCGCTTGTCTATGTAGGTACCCCAAGTTCACTGGCATTCACCTATCCGGATCCAGAATCGCCGATATCATCACCATCCCATACACAAGTACACAGTGAGGCTTTCTACCTCCAAAACGAGCTCCATGCAGCAACGGCCGCTGTCACGTCAGGCAAGTAACCGCGCACATACGCACAGTTGCCGCTGCTAACGATAGAACGCGAGTGAATATGACGCGGATTTACAGGTGGCAACGAGGAAAGGAACAAACACACTTTAGGACCTCCGCTCTCCCCCAAGCTGAACGTGGCGTAATGTGAGGAATAGGCCTAATGCAAGATAACCCAGACGGAAAGGTTGCCGAAGAACTATGCGGTCAGTTGCCGATAGAGAGATAAATGACATATCCAACCCTTCCAGCTACCTACCTCATATGGCCCCAGGTCTCGCACGATATTCCACGACATACCTACGAGGTAGCAGTGTGCTGATATCTGCTGTGCGACTATCTAGGAACAGTAGGTTTGGTGATATTTGGACGTGCTAAAGTTCTACTTGCACAGCGTGTGTATTTATTTCTTGGCGTACACACTCGCATTCTACTAAAAGTGATCTTAATCCTTTTTTTTTAAAAAAGAAATTTTCAAAAGAAAGAAGAAGAGAAAAAAAAAAGCATCCCAACTTCCCGCCTTGAAAAGGGGACAACTGTCAGTGGCTGCATTGGAGGCGTGACAAATTCCAACGGCCTCGTTCCAGCCAACCAGATAACCAGCACTAGCGCCACTCATGTATTATGCCCCTTTTGTGGAAGATGCTACCTATATCTACCCCAGGCGTTCTGCATATTTAATTATTACCTACTTTACTTGACCCGTTACTCTCCGAAGAACTTAAGAGCGCAGCGACCCCTGATAGATAAAGGGTTCCCCCTTTCCCTAAAAATCCTAGATTAATGAAAGCACTTATATATTAACGTCTAGATCATTGGTAAGCATGAAAAAATGCACCAATGAGCTAAATCACTTCCATGACATACCCTTAAGCAGGTATTAAAATAAGATATTGAAACCATACCTAAGTACCTTAGGTAGTTAAGAAGCCTTGCCATATCAAACATCAGCAACACAGAAACAGTCGCAACAGCCCTAATGTTCACCTTGTTTCTTTCCTTCCCTGAATATGTTCCAGAAAGGTTAAGCTTTTCCTCCCACTTGATTTCGCGAGTTGTTAGATGAGGGTTGTTTTCTCTACCGAGGTTTGTGATCATCGTAAGGCTTTTCACACATCAAGGACCAATTGTGACGATGGCTTTAAATAATGAGCTATTGGATTTAGGCTAGGTAAATAATCTGATGGTATATTTCTTAGGCGTTTCTTGCAATTACAGTATCTCTTTATAATGAAGTTGTCGCTACGCCAGGTTACCTTGTGGTAATTTCCAGTAGATAATAGTAGAGTCCAATTCAGATACCAATTGTGAGTTTTGAAAGACGGATAATAACACGCTAGGTACCTAAGTTAGGTAGGTACCTGTCTTAATATATTACTTTTAACGATGCGTTTAGCATCTTCTAAGTCAGTCAAGATCTAAGTAAAACCCCCTTCCTTAAGACACCCTAATGACCATTAATGAGGTTTCTTGGATATATTATATAGAAACATTGACACGTATATGTTAAACCGGTGCCTCAAGATCTAAGACACCATCTAGAATAAGTGAGTCTAGAATAGACCGTTATATCGGAGCTTCCCTAAGCTAAGCTTTTTACTTCCCAGATGAGATCGAGCCGACAGGCTGAGTTTCATCTAAATTTAACTAAGATACCATCTCTCATTACCATATTTAGATACTTATAGCCTCTTTCAGACTCCAACTCGCGATATCGGTGCTAGTTTAGTCATTAGGTAACACATTCAAGATCCAATCATTGTTATCACTAGTTAGGAAAAACAATACAAGGTTCCTTTCCCCCCGGAACTTTGGGCGTATAAATTTTAGTCCGATAACTTTTATCAGAGGATCTATTTACTTCTGATATCAGTTATAATGACTACTGATCCGTTCTCTCTAGCATTGAGACCAAATGAGAAAATACCACAATTGGTTGACTACGTTAGGTAGGTAGGTACTAAATATTAGGGTATGAGTGAATGGGTTAGGGGTAGATCTAGGAGTAGATATATCTACAATGTAAGAGGCGCATAGCGCCCTCGAAAGAGGATAGAAGGTAGCCGTCAATAGTTTAATCCAACCATCCTAGCATTCACTTGTATAAATCCGATACTGAACCTATCTAAATATCTAACCTAACCTAGGTATCTAATTTGACAGGATTTACTTTCGCTTGATACTCAAGAAGTCTACAGCAAAATATGAAGATAGGATCCCGAAAGGTCAACCATTATCCATTCAGTAACTTCATAAGCTTCTATCATGAAGAATAGGCTTCAAATACGTATTAACTACTATGTAGACTTAAACTAAACCAATGCCTTAGGAGGTAGGTAGGTATTAATCATTATCAGCCGTAGGTTTACTAGATAAAAGCACTACACAAAAATAAACCGGCTTACAAACGTACAGGGGTTACAGCCCACTGCAGTGCAGACACCCGGGCAAGAAAAGGATAACTGCAGCTAAACAGCCCACAGCAGGTCCGCACGACGGCCGAACAACACACACAACCAACCAGCCAGAACAGTCACATAACGAAATCTACACTTGAGTCTACGTTCCCTTAGGCTTTCCAGGTCGTCGGGATCCTGACCGTTCTGGTTGTTGGGAACCGAGTCACTGGGTCCTTATGGTCCAAGACACGTCGGGTTATACAAATGTAGAAAAAAGGTAATCGCCGTCTAAGAGCTGCGTGTCTCTCGCGATCCCACTTTGGTGGACGAATTCCTCCAATCCCTTACAACTACGGAGACAATACACGCGCACACAGATTTTCTTTCCCTCGTCTCCCCGGTTGCTTGTACCGAAAAGTGAAGAGAACCACGGTTCTTTTCACATGTCTGCTGTGTCACACACCACAAGCGAACGCCTCTTGGACCCAAGACCAAGTCCCCGGTAGCTGTCAACCAGTTCTCTGGTCCGGAAGATCCCTGGAGTTGTCTTATCTTAATTACCTATGACCAGTTTTTCCTAGACATATATCTATCTCACCTAAGAGCTCCTAGTGATTTGGGAAGGTATCGCATCCGACGGCAAATCTTAAACGTTGACGATACCAATTACGTCTCTAGATAGCTCCTCCTTTTATCGACTAAGCCTACGTACTTAGGTATTAACCTCTTCGTAGAGGGAGAAGGGCAAGAAATACTTCTACTTAGGTATGCAGCATCCAGCATATTGACTCGCTCTTGCGGGGCTTTGTTCTAAGACAATATATACTGTATCTGGAAAGAGAAAGACCATTCATGGAAACTAGACGAAAGAAATCAGGAGAGGATGCCAGACAGATAAAAAAAAACTCAAACCAATGAGAATACTAACCTCCTTATTAGCAGGGTGTGTGTGGATCTTCTAGTTTGACTTCATTCATTTATGGTCTTCGAATCCTAGCACCAGTTGTCTCGCGTAATAAACACCTTTCAGGGAGTAATACAATATTGATAGCCCCGGTTTATTTCTCTTCTTCTAAGCTGCCTAACCTAGAAGATTCGGAGTTCGTTTACACAACGTTGACATCAATCTGGCTTATAATGATTTCCGAGCTTATAAAGACTAAATGTTTATGCTCTGTGCAGCCCAACCTCATTTCCTAAGTTATCATCATATTCGCCTGACCTACTTAATGTTTCCAATATCACAACATTGCATACATCCGATTGTGTATAACTTCCAGTTTCTCTAACTTCTTCTGTTAAAGCTGTTATTGTTCTTCGCCTTATACCTGTTAGTAGGTATACATTAGGTAGTTGCATTCACGTTGGCGGCCAACTTGACTTCCGTCGCAAATTTCGGCATATTACGCAGGAGTTACCATCACAACTGTTGCTGTCGTTACCATTACCCAGGAGCAAAAATGGCTAGGCTTAGATTGGCTGCTTGGCTCCACCCCACTTCACCCGTGGCAACTTCTTCAAATACGGAGCATAAAAGACAGAACCTTAAGCACACGCTTGAGCTGCCAACAGGTACACTAGAAAATAAACATCACAAGCAGAAGGTTCACAGAGAAGAGCCTAACAACAACAACAACAACATCCGAGTTACAAGCTTTCCAAGAAAGAGCACTCCTCCCACGATGGCGTCGTCAAAGATGATTGCGCTCGCGCAAAAAATTGCCTCTGAAACGGAGAAAGTCGAGGCCTACTTCAAAAATAATGACCTTCTAACTCCAAGCTTCGATGCAGATGCGCCCAATGACTTTCCTATTATGCCGGATGACGTTTCCAGAAGCCGTAGAGAAGTCATTCACGCTACCCAAGAGCTGCATGATCTCATGGTTGGACCCCGCGAATCGGTTCGATGGATGGCTTGGGATGTAAGTTCCTCTCTGCATTTCTACTGCCTATACTACCTATATTCCCTATACTCCCATTGATCCAATATATGTTAGGTACTCAGGTATTTATTATCCTACTAACTTAATAAAATAGTTTCTGAGCACCCAGAGCCTACAGCTTATCAGCAATTTTGGGCTCGGTATGTTTACGATAACCGTATGCTATTTATCTATGATATACTGATATTATATCATAGCAACACTTGTGCCCCTTGATGGTTCTATCACGCTCTCAGAGCTCCAGGCCAAAACCTCTCTTGACCCGATCAACCTCGCCCGCTTGCTACGACATGCTATGACAAATCATGTATTCCAGGAACTAAAGCCAGGCGTAATTGCGCATACAGCCGCGTCAAGACTACTAGCCGAGGATCAAGATCTCCAGGCTTGGGTCATATTCAATACAGAAGATGTTTATCAAGCATCCGCCCAAGTGGTCAAAGCTCTAAGAGCGTACCCCGAAGCGACGAGTCTTACCCGCACCGGGTTCAACTTCGCCTTCGATACAGTTGACCTAGAGCCTATTTTCGTCACAATGGGAAAAGAACCCAGGCGCGCCGAGCGCATGGCACGAGCTATGAACAGTCTCACAGGAGGTGAGGGATACGAACTATGGTACCTATCAGAGGGCTGCGATCTGAGGGACGTGGACATCCGCGGCGGAACTCTGGTCGATATCGGAGGTAGTCATGGTTTCGTGGATGTGCATCTGGCTAAGATGTACAAGAATATCAAGTTTGTGGTACAGGACCTCCCCAGTACCGTCGCCAGCGCGCCGAAGCCCATATGCGCAGACGTTAAGATCGCTAAGCGCATTCAATTCCAGGCGCATGACTTCTTCACAGAACAACCCATCCATGGAGCCGATGTGTATTTCTTCCGTTGGATCATGCACAATTATTCGACACCCTATGCTGTCCAGATCCTCCGTAATCTGATTCCGGCACTAAAACCCGGCGCTCGAATCATCATCAACGACCACTGCCTTCGAGAGCCTGGCACCGAAAACCCCTGGGATGAGCGCCTAATAAGAAGCATGGACCTCGTCATGATGAGCTTGCTGAATGCACAGGAGCGTGGAGAAGAAGACTTCAAACAGCTGTTCGAGATGGCTGGAGATGGTTTCGTCTTCAAGGTAAGTTTCTTCCTTCAAAACCAAAGGCTAATATTCTAACTTATCGTCGAAGGGCGTCACTAGACCAAAGGGTTGCCGCATGAGCATCATCGAGGCAGTGTGGCAGCCAGATGAAGTGGACCAGGCCTTGGCTATAGAGAGTCTGTCTGGACTTACACTTACGTAGAAGCTACAGGCGCAGGTGGAATCGTTAGTATACAAGGGCTGCCATCTCGAGGTGTGTGAGTGGTCGAGTGGCCCAGTCTGCAAGTAATTTTTACTTGAAAAGTTAATACGGCGAAAGGACTATTGTGCATAAGTCAACGGTAGTAATCTGCTGGGTAGAGAAGGTCCCTCCTGTTGATCGCATAGCCGGAGGAATAGTTCATGAGCTTTGCTTTCTCTTTTTTTTTTTTTTTTCAGTCTCTTGAGCTTGATACCCGACCCCCTTTACCATTGGCGACTGAATGAATGAACAACGAATAATGAGTAGGAGGGAAGGGATACTAATTCGGGCAAACTGTTCATGATGATGATGTCACGGCGAACGGAGACTGTATGATTAAGGGGCACCCACTACGAGTCTGTTAATACGATTGGCATTGAAAAAAAAATTTTAGGTATTTCCTAGAAATGTTGGGTTTCGCCCCAGACCTAATCTTAAGGGCTTTAAAATACCAATTCGGCCCATTACTTGTCCACCCAACGAAGTTGTCACGACTCGTTGGAGTAGGTATAACTGATCTGTTAAGAGGTCTAACATCCAAAGCGGAGTCTACCAGCGGAGTTTATAGTTGATGATTCGTTTAGAGCTCGGAGGCTGAGGTAGCTTAATGTTGGCAATGCATTTGAGAGATCTACGACAGAACAAGAGCCGCCGGACATGGAGCCAACTCTAGAATCGTTCCATCCGGCGCTTTCTCGGACTGGATCACATGTATTTTGACCTGCTCAAGGGTTATCAAACGGGGAGATCCTTAGCGGGCTCTCCAAGCAACCCCAGATCATATATCCCCTGTAAATGTGGAGTTTCCCCGTCCCAAGACCCAGGATAGTTCTTCAACTCCAAGATAAATTCTACATATAGCCACATATAGCCTAGGTTCATGCATTACATCAGTGCTATAATCCGGGGTCCTCCTCCACAACACGATATGCGCCTAGAGCTACCGATGAACGCCCGGAGCTATGAGGCTTAACGCTAGGTATAATACCGCTTCCCCAGAAAACTTCCTCCGAGTGGACAATTGTAGCGTAGGAGCGGGGCCGACAAGTTGGAAATGACCTCGGCGGTATATCATAGAGCAAAGCGACGTTAGCTGCAGATGAAGCAACAAGTTTCCTCCGCCGTCCCCATTCAAAATCTCGGTCCTTCTCACGTATATGCCGCGATACAGCCGGTATGAGCATCGAGTTGACGAGTATATATATCGGCAAACCAGCGTGCTATGAAGTCGACTACATGAGCTTTGACACATCCACAAGATCATCTTCAGTCCTCGCATTCTTAGCACCCTCAAGGCTCTACACCAGTTCAACTTTCCCAACACTTCAAGATGAAAGCGATCGCTGCGTTAGCCGGCTCCGGCCTCATCACCCTCGCTCACGGCCACGGGTATCTTACTAGCCCCGTAAGCCGCACGCGCCAAGGAGCGGAGGTACGTCTACTTGCCTTGATAAGTTTCGGGGTTCTAATGAAGCTGATTCACTGTTTTAATACATATAGTCTGGAGGGGATACTTGCCCAGAATGCACGATTCTCGAGCCGGTGACAGCTTGGCCGGATGTCGATGAGGCAAAGGTCGGCCGCTCAGGCCCTTGTGGGTACAACGCCCGCGTGAGCTTTGACTACAACCAGCCATCGGCGAACTGGGGAAACAAAGTCGTAGCCACGTACACTCCCGGCCAGGTCATCGACGTTGAGTGGTGCGTCGATCACAACGGTGATCACGGTGGGATGTTTGCCTACCGCATCTGCCAGGACCAGGCTATCGTCGACAAGTTCCTCGATGCTAGCTATCTCCCCACCGAAGAAGAGAAGCAGGCTGCTGAAGACTGCTTCGAGGCGGGTCTTCTCCCTTGCACTGATGTTGACGGCCAGGACTGCGGATACAACCCCGACTGCACCCAGGGCCAGGCGTGCTACCGAAACGACTGGTTCACGTGCAATGGATTCGACAACGGCGACCATACCAAGTGCCAGGGCGTCGATAATGCGGCGCTGAACTCGTGCTTCACGACCATCGCAGGGGGCTACACAGTCACCAAGAAGATCAAGATCCCAGACTTCGTGTCTAACCACACGCTGCTCTCGTTCAAGTGGAACTCATTCCAGACGCCTCAGGTATACCTATCGTGCGCGGACATCGCCATCGCCGACAGCGGCTCCGCATCGACAACGACTAGGCGATCCACAGCAACCAGTTCGTCCTCGGCCCCTGCAACCAGCACCGCCGCGTGTACCGCCACCACTAGTAATGTAGCACTGACATTCAACCAGGCCGTCGTAACCTCGTACGGGGAGACAATTAAGCTCGTGGGCTCCATCCCCGAGCTCGGCAATTGGAACGTCGCGGCTGCGCCGGCTCTGTCGGCCGCCAAGTACACAGCTTCCAACCCCTTGTGGACGCTCTCCCTGAGCCTCGCGCCGGGCCGCAAGTTCGAGTACAAGTTTGTTAAGGTGGCAAGCAACGGGGCTGCCACGTGGGAGAGCGACCCGAACCGCTCATACACAGTACCAAGTTCGTGCGGCTCGTCTGCGACCGCTGTCGAGGGAACTTGGCGCTAGATTCTGTATATTTTTATTCTTTATTATTGGATATATACATTTGGTACATACATACATACATACATGCATACATAGGTATGTTGATGAATTTGATGATCAGGGGCTTTAATTATTATAAAATCGAAAAGTCTTTCCTTTGCAGATGTTCTTCCTTGAGTGTGCTTTTTTTTCATGTGCTCATAATTACATATTCCATGTTATTTGAATCGTAAGAGTAGAAGAGTAGAATTTATTCATGTATCAGGGATCATAGTTCATCTCATTTCCTCTCGTCATGACCTATCCATCTTATCTTCCTCTCTTTCCTCTACGTATGATAGTTTGTGACTCGGGAGCGCCTGGCCAATGATCAGTTACTAGATTCAAATATCTCTCAGATCGTGGAAGATAATACATGATACTACCATTTACTTCTACAGGTAGCTACTATGATTTTCTATATTGCGAACGATTTATTATTACTACAGTTCGTCATCGCGTTTGTAATGGATCGGACTAGAACTCGTCGAATACGTCTTAATGACGGGAACGGCCGTCATTCATCATAATCCTTGACGCGATGATTGACACAAATGTGATTAATATCAATCAACTTGTTCGCGGCTCTTAAGCTATCGTCGTTACCATGGATCAATCTTGAAGATACTAAGCTTGATAATCGCGATACGTTGACGGTTGAAGCATTATTATCATGTTCCGACAATCACTTCGACTGGCACGGAAGAAGAACTTTGGAGCACGGCAACTATCTGTGCCGCCGACTCCTATAACCTTACTTCGTCCGTATTCTAACAATCAGACGACTCAAGACAATAGTTCCCCGAATGACCCAGCACAGACTCTCACCCAAGTAGACAGCATCTCGTCGGTGATAAAACAGGACCACCGGCAGATTGAGAAATATCACCACAAGATTCTCAATTCGAAGGATCATGATACTCAGCGGCGATACCAAAATGCCTTTGTGTGGGAGCTGACGAGGCACGCAATAGCCGAAGAGCTAGTTGTATATCCTTCAATGGAAACAGGCCTCAACAACGGTAAAGAGATAGCTGATAAAGATCGAGAAGAGCATCAAATCGTACGTGTAGCACATCCCTATATAAGTCATTCCAGTTACGTCGAGCAGTATGTACTAACAAATTCTCGCCGCACAGGCTAAAGAGCAGCTCTACAAGTTCCAGAACATGACCCCCGACGATAGTGATTTTATCCCAACTCTCGAGTCGCTGATGACTGATCTCAAAATTCATATCCAACAAGAGGAAGAACATGATCTCGTCAAATTGGAAGAGGCACTACGGCCGACAAGGTCGAGAGACCTTGCCCAGCAATTCGAGATGACGAAAGTATTCACACCAACACGTAGTCACCCGAGTGCGCCGAATAAGCCGCCATACGAGACTGCTGCTGGCCTCATGACAGCGCCACTAGACAAGCTTGGCGATATGTTTCGCGCATGGCCAGACGAGCCCGGGCCGAAACCAGCTTCTGGCGGAGCTGGGAGATGATTACGAGCGCGTAAGAACACACGGTTACGTCTGCTAGAACACCACGGTAACTTTCTAGTAGAGGTTAGCGATGAGTTTACTAAAAAGTGAATTATATTAGGTTTCATATACATGGATAAATATATTAGTATCGCATAACGTTCATCAAGTTCTATACAATCGATTAAATCCGAGCCTACCCATACATAACGTGCCATAGCTTAGATGAGGCAAGGAACGAGATTTGAGCAACGATACATGCATATGCATCACGTTAAAAATAATTTTCATTATCATTGGTCGTGCATCTCGTATTCAGTGTCTGAGGTCCTAGTGGAATACCAGAATCAATGATTCGATCGCGGCAATTTAGCCGATTCGACATCTGTGATGACAACGTCCGAGTATAAATCCTTCTACGCCGACTTTCGTAATAAGCTCGGTCTAGATCAGCCACTGTTACGCTATATGCTAACGTTACGCCATGGTAGCAAACCATAATTCAAGCAGGGAACTATATATAACCTTTGAGTAAACACGTTCTAATTAGAAGTTGACATACGCATCACACAGCTTTCATATACCAATTTCACATACAGATCTTACTACAAAATGAGAAACCTCAAGTTCTTCGCTCTTACGAGCCTCTTCACCCTCGGCCGCTCATCCGAGCAATATCAACAACCTAATGAAGATCTAAAACCATGGGAAGTAAGCAGACTATCTACATACTCTCCTTCAGGCCGTCCGGGAAGTAGCCCTCTCGCCCACCTATGGGCAACGATCGCAAATCCCAACTCCATTCCCGCGGGTTCAGGAGCCTCATTCGAACCGAGTAAGGTTAACTGCACAGTGGATTGGACATGGTATGTTGAAGAGCCATATGGGCGTACTGTCGAGTGCACGGCAGGAAACCAAACAATCGTTTCAAATTCAATCTCAAAGTGGACCATCGAGATTATCAAGTCAAGCAGCAACTACTCGTCGCCAACCGAGGACTTCGATGTCAAGTTCACGCTCACGGCCAATTTAACAGTGGACGGAGAGGATTATTACAAGGTCCTGGCCGGGACACAGCATTTCGCTATCGGAGAAAATATGAGAGGGACTTGCGGTGGCAGTGGTTTGGTATGTACATTTTTATCCTTTCATATATCTCCTCCTTAATGCATTATCAACTCAGGCGCTAACTTCGATGACTACTGCAGTGTTCCTGGCATCTCATGGAGGAAAGCAATCCGGTGTTAATTAAGCCTACCATTGTCGCCTCTTCCTAACCGTTTCGATAACCCTAATATCTGATCAGAAGATATAAAGGGGCATTATGAGGCCAAGACCTGACCAGGTTATATATGTTATTAAGAGCATCAATTTGAGGGTATTACTTGGATATTGGTCATACCCTATGGGTCTATCTTGACGTATGGAAACTTAAGAAAAGTTTATCTTATATAATTTCTCGTATTCTCTAACCATTCAACTTCAACACAATATTCAACACACTAACCAGCATCTACAATTATCCAAAACGTTATCACAGAGTAGCCTTCTCGTCAGGCAGAGGCACCACAGGCAGACCCCAAATAATGCGAGGTCCGGCATCCTCACCACTCCAGGGTTCGTCAAAAGCAATACTTGACCATTCCGCTGCCTTCGATCCTCTTTCAATCATTTCGTCTTGATAATCCCCAAGCACCCTTGTAATTTCATCGGTGTTGTTTGTCTGTAATCGAGTTAAGATTTTCCCAAGCTTGAGCGCATCAAGCAAGGCGTGGAACCCTCCTTCACCTCGAACTGCTCTTGCACGTTAGTCTCTTCTTTAAGCCGCTAGGTTCATCATAGCCACTTACATGAGGGCATACAATGCGCAGCATCGCCAAGTAGCGTAACCCTTCCCTTAGGCAATAACTCCGGGTCCATGGTCAACGTGTAGATGTGCAAGGGCGGGTTCTTCATTCCTTGAGGTCCCGTTTTCTCTACGATAGATCTGAACTTGGCCGGCAGATGCTTTGTTTTCTCCAACGCTGTCTCGTATAACTTCTCACTGCTGGCTGAGTACGTCCAGAAATCCTTCTTAGTTGCTTCATCGTCGCGCCAAAACAAATTAAAGAAATATTTGCCGGATTTCCCATCAGGATAGGCCTCGCTTAGGCCAACGAAGAGGAACGAAGGAGCTTCATCAGTCAAACTCGCATCGACTATATAACAGGAACATCCTATCTGGAGTTGTTCCTCCATATCGCGGCCGCTTAGGATGATCTCTCCGTTTATTACCCCTTGGCGTGGTTTCCTGATGACATCCTGCCCGCCTAGGAGGTATTTCCTAGCTAAAGATCAGTCAACACGCAGTCCTATTTCTACCCAGAGTACACCAAATACTTACTAGGACTATAAGGGCCATCCGCTCCAATAAGGATGTCGCCAGTGGCCGAAGTCCCGTCTTCGAAGTATACAGTTACGGAATTATCATGTTCTTCAATGCGAACGGCATGCTTGCCATATTGGATCGGCATGTTCGTTGCTAACCACTTCCGAAGTCGAGCACGGTTCGCACGAATAAATTTCCCACTGCCATCGTCACGGACTCCAAGCTTTCTAGTGCGGTCATGTCTATACCAGGCGCACTCATAGTTGTATTTCAGGGGCAGCAAATGGTTTACGAAATCGCGTGATGGCATATCATCGGGGATAGACGTATCGAGCTCTTCGAGAATACTTGCTAATTATTAGCTCCCACGCTTCTCTATCTCATTAAGGATCACTCACGTGTGGAGGCCAATCGCCCACCCCTGAACTCGAATATTGTCACTACGATCTCGCTCAAAAATCTCAAAAGAGACCTTATTCTTACGCAGTGTCTGGCCGAGAAGCAAGCCTCCCAGGCCACCGCCCACGATTAAAATATGAGGAGTCCCTTTCGCCATTCTCGTCGGTCCGGTATATAGAGGTTTAAGATATTGGTACAAAGAACAGTCGCCCTTACTATCCAACTAAACCATCCTCAACGGTGCGCCGCTTCGGTATCAACTTTATATACATGTTTTAGCCTTAGGAGATTAACCATAGTTAAAACTCAAGGCTCGCTCGGACTAGAGATCAGCGAAACCTAAGGGGGGCGCTCGGCTCGGTTATACACCCGGGTCCGAATACATGCCCATACGTTTACTGTACCCGTAAGGAAATAACACCGGAGCGAAGACATTTAATCATATCAATATATTCCACTGCTACCCAGAAAATAGGATATATGACGACATGGTGTTCATTCAGGGTTATCAAGGGGAAGCCATAATAGAGTATTCGAAAGTTTCACACCCAATCGATTCACAAACCTGTGTAGTACTAATAATTCCCGTACATATATTCATCCAGTTGCAGAAGTTACACGGTACAACCTTAACTACATATAGAGGCAATTCTACTAAATCCTGTTGTCTTAACCAAGGTAATGTCTTACTTAGGTTCCGGTTAAGGGTTAATAAGAGCATTCAAGGCGTTAATGCAAAACTCCTTCGCCGAAACCAACATGTTCTAATCACAATATCAACCAGGAAGCGAATTCCACGACGCCCCCGGATCCGAATTTGACGAATTAAACCCGTACCTTTTCCACTGTGTTACATCACGGGAGCGGCCGCATCCTCCCGTTCCCTAAGAACTTTATTAAAGCATAGCGTTTGTCAATAGACATCCCCGCATAGAATCCGAGTTAAACATTCTAACTATAGTATATTCAAGTTTACCAATTAAAGCCGCAGGGTGCAAGAAGTCTTTAGGATATTCGAATAATCGAGCTTCTGTGCCTCCTTAAGGGTGCTTCCTAAACTATGAGCTCGTTGTATCACATTAGGATATTTAATCTCGCATGTGCTGATGTAAAACATATGATCAATTTCGGGCCATGGGAGAAAATATTGCAGTGTATCTTACAGCTACGGGGTTTAAAGTTACATTCGACTGTCGGCTCCGAGGTTCACACCTCGGTCAAGCCATCTATACACTAGTAGCCTAATTACCTTAGGTACCTATTTATGGATCATCACCGCCCTTTTCTTCACGACAGTTATATGGTTACCCTTCTTCTATATAATTAGTGGCGCCCGGAAGGTAATGATAATTCACTTATTGGCTGATATTTCATGCTTTCTTTCTGAGATTAGGGAAAGGTTGAGACAGTCATACGTCATGAATAAGCTGAGACATAGCAAAAGCACTACGCTGCCCATCCAACTCAGCGCCACTGACTTACTCAACTTTTTCCAAATTCCAATAGTTACCCAGCTAGCTTGATGTACGTCTCGGTGGGTTCCGCCACTTACTTCAGGGTCCCTACAGAAGTTCCGAAATCTCGGAAACCATACAGGTTATAAAAGCTGAGCTATAATTAGCCGTACGTAGTTACCTTCGTATGGCTTAGATGTTGTCACTAAGAGAGTAAAAAGCAAAAGGTACCTCTCAAGTGTCAAAAGAGAGAACTTTAGTCATCCTCGTAATATCACTTCTCCCCTCTTCAACGTTATATTCTATAGACCATCGCCACAGTCCGGAGCGACGTAGCTTAGATTGGCTCTCCAAAGAAATATCACCACGGCGCCACAATATACTAGAGTATATCTCTATTACCAGCCGTAAATTTTGGATTTAAATCGCTCTACTCGTTCTGTTCCGTAACACTAACTTCTCGACTGTAAGTAGAATCTCGATATAGATTAGACCATAATAAGCGAGCATCGTCCGTATATTCAAAAATACCTTGCATAAGACCTTAAAAAGAAAATCAAGGCAATGGCTAATAGCCCAATAGTACGGACAGTCTCAACTCCATCGACACGTGTTGGTTGTCTCAAACCCTATCGACTTGGCAAACCTTAGCCTGCTTGGCTCTCGAAAATAGTCAAGACACGCGACTAGGCCAACTTACAGTGATAATTATGAAGGTAGACAATATTCCCGAGGCATATAATGGAAATGGAGGCGTCTCTGTCTCTGTAAGACAATATTAGCAATTGCCTTAATCTTAACCTATCCGTTCATGAAATGGTGTATGCATGCCTTACGTATATCATCATTACATAATAATAAACAAAAACAGTATTCTTCTCCTAACAAAGCCTGTTCTGAAATAATTCGATTTCAAGCTCCAAAATTAAATCGTTCAATCGAGCCTTTACTTTCAACCGAGCCGTCGACTCCCTTCACCCGGCCGGGCTGGTCTACGTAAACTTAGAGCCATATTCCACGGAAAATTATGCCCGTGGTTTCCTAAAGCGAGTAGACCTCTTGATCAACGACTCTATTATCTTCACGATACCTAGGATACCAAGGACAGCACACCGAATACGGCGGGTTGGGCCGTTCAATGCCAAGAGGGATTCACCCCTCCGGTAAAATTCCACGATGGCCTTAGTCGCGGTCTAGAAGTCGTGGCACACCCCGCAACAAGTCCAAATAGCTTAGCAATGCGGCTCCATGTGAAGAATATGGAATGGCTCTCACCTGGTTCCAGTGCTCTGGGCTATGTATTTTCCCGGGTCTTGGATGCCGGATGCCTGCTTAGACGTAGCATCGTGAATTTAACCTACGCGCTCAATATGCGGTTACTAAAACTTCCAGGGCGTATACAGCATCAGGGTTATTCGAGTAAAGTTTGTATCAAATGGGATCGTCAGGTACGGGATCCAGATGGTCCTGGTACCTCCAAGGCGATTAGCAGCGGGAGGACGAGAGTATAAAGGCAGCGCACGTCGCAGTGCTATTAACCACTCTAGTGTCCAGGCAGCTTAAGGTTGAAGCAATCAATTTCTAAGCTTTCAGCATCATGGTCTCGTTCAAGTCCCTAATCGTCGCGTGGGCTTCCCTTACAGGTGTGGTTTCCGCCTCGCCGCTTAATATTACGGACTCTGGTATCCTCGAGAAGCGCCAGTCCACTCCCAGTGCCACAGGCCGTCACAATGGCTATTACTTCTCGTGGTGGACCGACGGCGGTTCTCAGGTTACATACACCAATGAAGCAGGTGGCAAATACAGCGTGAAGTGGGGTACGTATATGACATGTTCATCTAGCCACTATCTTCATTATTACCTTTCGAGGTACCATAAGCCAACTTAGGGGGGGTATTTGCAGCTTCATTTATGGATCTATGGGTCTCGATATATGATGGACACTTACTAACAAAAGGTTGTTATAGGTGGAGGCGGTGGTAACTTCGTCGGTGGTAAGGGATGGAATCCAGGTGGCTCAAAGTAAGGCATGAATCTGTCCTCGCGCCCCTCTTTCAATATAAAGGGGTGGTTTTATTCTATATGGCTTACCTTCTCTAAACTATAGGGAGATCAAGTACTCTGGTTCATACCAGCCAAATGGCAATAGTGTAAGTACTTTCTAACGACAATACATCTGCTCCGAGGAGTTGATATTAACCCCATATGAAGTACCTTGCTGTCTACGGCTGGACTCAGAACCCGCTCGTCGAGTACTACGTCGTTGAAAACTTTGGCACATACAACCCGGCTTCAAACGCGCAGAAAAAGGGGTCGGTCACTACCGATGGTGGCACTTACGATATCTACGTTAGCACACGAGTAAGCTGAAGTTATTACACAACTTCAAACAATAAATCTTAATATTTCCATAGACAAACCAGCCGAGTATTGAAGGTACACGAACCTTCCAGCAGTATTGGTCTATCGTAAGTGGCTTCTCTATCCCCCCTTTTCCAAGCTCGCCTCTAGAGAACCAGTTTTTCGCACTTATTTATAAAGATATGCTGATGTAAATTTTCCAGCGAACGCAAAAGCGGACAGGAGGTACTGTGACCACAGGCAACCATTTCGCGGCATGGGAAAAGGCTGGCTTGAAGCTCGGCACGCATAATTACATGATTGTCGCTACGGAAGGCTACTTCAGCAGCGGGTCAGCTACTATCAACGTCGAGACTCCCGCGTAATTCACTCATGACTTAGCTATCATATCTTCTCTTTCCACTAGAGAATATGACACTTAAGGGGGTAAAGACTATTTGCAGTGTGTGAGTGAGGTATAGTCCGATATGCTCCCAACGGTAGTAAGGTAGAAACGCAGTCAGTACTTCAACTATTATTATAGTCTATAGTATATCCACCTAGGTTACCTAAGATAATCATACCGTTTATCTTATGGTATTCTCCGTGACCAAATCGCTCAATACTAAGTAAGAGAAACTAAGTTGCTGTTTAACATATCGTACTGTTATATTTATTCAAAACCCCCGCATTTTTGCTTCATCCAGATGACAAGCAGAGTAAACATGGAAATGAACGGATTATGAAGTATCCTATGTCTATTTTATTGTTTTATCCCATGTCTGAGTTAGTAGCCGTATAATTTTACTTGGTAGTATAATGTATTCAAAGTCATTTGCCTATCTACCTACCTAATTAAGGCTTTACTATTGATAGCCCACGACAACGACGTCTTCGGAATCTGATAAGTCGAGCCTATAGCCTAGGAACTAGTTTATCTGATTAACCGGCGAAGTTAGAGTCCCTATACGTCAAATATGAGCTACATGGTAGTTTAATCTAAAAGAGAGTTGAGAGGAGGATGCAGGCTGACAAGCTTCGAAAAAAGCAATGAAGATTACCTTGCATGGCTTTCACTCTCAAGCTATTTGCCGTTTGTAAACTTACTTTAGGATCATTGGCTAGCATTGAATTTGCTAGTAACCTCGGTCGAGTGATGGTTCTGGTTCTACATATAGAATTGTCACGAGGTGGAACCAAACAGCACGGAATCAACCTCGTTGTTCCGCAAGGAACTCTAGCTATCTAAGAGGTTCTATGTCTATACATACTAAACCTGTTCTTTATTCTAGATGGAACATCTAGAATCCTGACAAGAATGACCGTAGAAACGAGTCAGTTGTACCACTACGAGAAGCGTCTATAATCAAAATGCTTACCCCTGAATTTTTGAACCGGGTTATTACAAGGAGTAGAATGGATAGAAAAACGTCGTTATAACAGGATAAAAAACATTTCCCTAAAAGCTTATGGTCTGCGGTATAATACACAATGGACAATATCCTATTTGAAGCCGTGTAATTTTGGCCCAATGTTATTTAGACTTGGCTACAGAAGATAACCTGGCAAACATACATGAGGAGAGCGCCTATTTCGAGATAGTTAAGATTAGATGTTAGGCAACTTGGACAATGGAGTTAATAATATGGTAAATACTATGGTACACCTAGAAACGATCACTATGATGCTAAATAATTATATTCCATTAACAAAACCGTAATATTCAATGAAGATACTCAAATTTTTATGTTAGAGCACCATCTAAAGATACTTCTTTGCTATGACTACATCACGGCTAAAATGATCACTCATAATATCTTAAATGACTTGATATCAAATCGTACGGCGCAGTGTTGACACGTTTGAAATTATTATAGCCTTCATTATGTGTCATGGTTCCCTCATCTGCCGACTAGAAATGGTAACTTTGAACCCGAGTCCCTTTGAATGATGTTGATGAATCCTGAACCCACCCGTATTCGTATGTAGGCGACACTAGTGTGTAATAAGCAAAGATTGAGCGAGGAGTGAAATTCCTCATATGAGCAGAAGCAATAAGTTGAATGTATTGGGCATGTCTCACTCAAAGAAGGATTGTGTCTGCATATGACAGCAATCACTATACATATCCGCGCTATGAGGGTAGCATCCCGAGCGAGGCGTATGAGAAATTACCGGTTTACGCGTTAGTAAAAGCCGGAGGTACTATCAGGCGAAACCGCACCAGGCGGTGTCGGCGTCCGCTATTGAATCCTATCCGGCCTAGTAACAAGACCTAGACGGACGGAGATATTCAACCCGAAATCCCATCTTCAAGTACCTTTCACTTTCAGGGGGAGAAAGGCTGGGATGATCTTTCCTATCTTGTATAGTTCGCCGTCAAATTAGCTACGCGTATATTGTTTGGTTCTTTTGGGACGATATGTTTGTGCTTCCCGTAAGAATCTAGTCTATCCGGTTCGAGCTACTTTCCGGTCCCAATCCCTTATCGTACCTATCCTCGAGAAATGATTGACATTACCACGCGAAAAGTGTGTGTGATGATGGCGGGTTTGAAAACGCCCTAATGTACGTGCTCGTTTCGAATTAGTCATCTCTGTCGACTCGGATGAGCCGTTGAGATGCCGGGGATGTTTCAGCCATTCCTTCTACATATCTCAACATCCCGCGTGAGGCTCCCTCCTTTCTGCAAGGCGGAGCTATACGTTTTATGGATTTTCTGGTCTGATTTTCTGATATGTATGTATGGCAATGTTCAGACCGGTGTTGGCTGATATATATTTTTTCATATATCACTTATCCTACGCATATGCGAGTGTGTTTCTTTTCTTTTACATAGGCGGTTCAAATAACCGGTCAAGATGTGGACAGGATTCTTAGTCAGGTTGATCTTCTCTACATATATAACGACAAAGCTTAGTGCTCCAGCTAATCGACATTATGATATAAAACCTGAAAAAGCTTAACCATTTTAAAACTAGTGTATTTGGATGGCCACGCATACATAGTGGTTTGGGTACCCTACATATCTGATTGTTAGTTTGGGCTACTATTTTTTTTTATCGTATATACATAATATAGAGGTCAAGCTCGAGGTTCCCCCACAACGGGAAACATGCCTGTTCAACCCCCAATCTGACAAGAGGGCTTGCTTGGGTTCCCCCTTGTGTGTGCGTGCTCGTTCCCTTGCCCATGCACCGAACCCCAAAATGTCCCCAAGACCTACTATCCCCTGGCAGGCCGCTGAACAAGGGCATTAGGAACGACACTGGTGGGCGCCCCAGCTCCACGGTTCACCTCTGTCGCATCCCTGAGGTGTCGCACAAACCATAGGCAATCGGGCTTATCCCTTGCTCACACTCGCAGACTCGTACAAAGATCCCCTTTTATTATTCCGCTACACGTTGCGACGGTAGACATAGATGCGCCATGCGAAGCACGGCATTTTTACGGGCAAGGATGTAGTGGATGGAGGCAGGGGAAATGACGGGGTGGGCATGAAAGTGGACTTTTGGATATGAGCTAGGTAGTAGTATATAATAGTAGTGTATATCAATTGCGTGTGCGTAGGCTATTGCAAATGTCCTTTCAGGTACTTACGCATTGCGTGGACCACGCTACTGTATGATTTGTACATCCGGTCTGCAATGGTACGGAATGGGGAAATACGACGGATTGGTCGAGATCGAACTAACTTCTTAACGCAAGGCGAAATGAAGAAGGGGAAAAGCCGCAAACATTAGTCGTAGGATTGCGGAGATGAGCGAAGAGAAGGTCTAAGAAGAGTATTACAATACGGATGTCCCTTTCAAAAGTTTTTACCATAGGGAACCCCTGTCAAGATCGTCGCCAGCTGTTTGATACTTGGCCAACAACTGTCGGGTGATTTAAAGATGTATACATTATTATCCCTAAGGTTTACTACTAGGTTTTACAGCCAAATATAAATCTAAAATAAAATAAAAAACTATTATATTAGAAGTAAGTCTTTTATATTTATAATTTACATTTTTGGAGAATTTTAGAATCTAGTATAAGAAAGCTATATCCTATTGAAATAGTAGAGTAAAATAAGATACACATATCAAAAAGGTGAGCAGTTGTTGCCAAGCTTGGTCAAAGCTTGCCGGGGGTGACAAGGGTCTTCCTATGGTAAAAACTTTTTAAAGGGACATCCGTACATACTATGTATCTTACCTATACTACGCTTGCACTTATCTGCAATAAAAGTAGCCTAGCCGAGCTCGCTACCAGATATGGATATACAGAGGAAGGGAAATTCCGCTCGGTTTCACTTCACAAGTACCTACTATAGATTGTCATCGGTGAGTTCTGACGACGCTACTATACATCTTGCACTGTATAATATTAACTAATGTAAACAGTATACTATGAGAACTAGCTTATTTTATAGGACAGCATTGAACAATTTTTGGACAAGGTATAATAGTAGCTACGCACGGGAGACATGGTATATCTGCAGGAACACCGGTCCCGGCTGGGTCCCCATCGAATTTTCATTTTACCTTAGCATGGACACTTGCTCATCTTCCCTTTTCAAGTCCTACATACAAAGACGCGTCTGCTATAGTGACCCTGTCCCATGTCACAATAGAGAGGCAGCCTTCTCGAACAATGGACCTCTAGTCGCGGTAAGGCCTGCAAGCTCGCGGCAAAGCAGAAGCAGGTGAAGTAATAGTAATGCGGTCAACGCGCCCATGCAAGCGCGCGGCAGAACTCTGACAGCGTATTTCATATTTGGTCAACGCGGTGACTACATGTTAGGGCTATAATAGATGTAACGTATTTGGAAGTAGCCTCAAGTAATAGATAACTACATGATTTATAAGGAGGAATTGACCTTTTCTACCTGTTATGCATAGATAGCGTACTGAAAGCCTTTAGAGATAGAGAAATAGCAATACGCGTCAAGTTTACGCGAACGAACGATCAAACTATGATAATACGATGGTGTAGTATCGGAAAGCCGAAGTATAGTTATGGAACGTTAATGGAAACATGGAATGTCACAAGACCGTAGAGAGTCGGCTATTTAATGCACTAAAACGCAGGACCGCGGCACAGTGAGCAACGGCTTACCTGAATAACTACTGCACAGGGAAAAAGTTGCATAGATAGTACGTATAGAGTACGTATGTCATGCGCCTGCAAGGGTCAAGTGGAATGGCACCGTAGCATTCGCATTACATCCTATGGCAAACGAAACAGGGAATGAAAAGATTTGCCCCCTTGTTTGCCTGCAAGGTCCAGGGGGGAGGGGTGTGAAAGTAAAGGTAGTTTGAAATACATATTTGTCCGCTTACACGGGCGAGAGTCTTCTCCATCAAGGGCGAATCGGACGAGAAAGGCGATCTGGATTTACAGG